CCAAGAAACGAAAGCCAATAAGGGAGCCAAGGCCGGGTGCCAGAGCACAAGCAACGTTGAAAATGACAAAAAGCGCATTGCAGGCATGGTAGAGATACATTCGTCCATATAATTCTGAAAGTGGAGCGATAATAAGGGGGCCAAATGCATATCCTACTAGATAAACAGACACAACAAACGACGCGAGTTCTTGATTTGAACTTTTGAACTCGCGCATGACGTCCATAGTGCCAGGGGCGAACATGGAGGATCCAAGGGGTCTAGCCATTGAGCGTTAGCCGTGAGAAGTGGATTTTTTTCAAAACAAAACCAATGAAAGCGGTTCCAGCTTGACATGCAATTGACATACGTTAGGAAGGTAATCAATGCTATGTTTAGAACGATGGAAGTTTTCTTGGTCATGGGCCAATTGTACGGATTCATGGGATCATCTGGTCCATCCCAGTCGACTTTGTTCAAATCTGAAACCTCCCCATCTGTTTCTGACGTGTCGCAGGTCGGAGTGCAGTCCACATCCTCAGACGGTAAGCAAGGCCTTTTCTCTATATCGACCAGGCCTTTATGTGTATCCACTGGAAAGGATGGTCGTAATGTCTGGTCAACAGATCTTGTTTCCCCGCCATCACCATCAGACACGGGTTTAACCATTGTTGAAAACTCTAGGAGGGTGCATTAGTATCAAACGTGGTTATCATTCAGCAGGTACTTGTTAGATACGTACTGTCACTGGCCCCCAATTTGGACCGATGACAGAAACCAGGTGGAATAATCAATGTCAACTATTGCGTCTCCTTGCGTCTCCCGAGTTCCCTCTTAGGACCTTTCGACAAATGTGTCAAAATTCAAGCGTGATTGAACACTGCTTCGCTCCCATTCTTTTAACGGAAACGAATGCGGAGATTCAGGGGTGGAGTAGTGTGTTCGGGGAAAACAGGAGGGCAAAATTTAACCACCCAAAAAAAAAAAAAAAAAAAAAAAAAAAAAATTCACATCAGGTTTGAGGTGTAGGGAGGGAGAGAAGAGGTTCCGTGTCTGTGGTAATTAGCAAAATTAAGAAGAATACCGGAGTGGCCAAATCTCCCGGAGGGAACGAAAACTTCCTAGATCGATGGTCTAAAAGGAAACAGGGGATCAATGGAAAAATTCCCTGAGCGTAGAAAGATATTCAAACAAGCAGCTTTGAATGGCGGAATAAGGAGGTGTCAGATAATATGTATCGGGTAAGAACACTTGCTGGGGGGGGGGGGTATCAAGGAATGAACGTGGTCATTCCAGGGGTGATAACAGGTATTATTAAATATCTTTCAGGTTAAAAGGGAAAAGCGGACCATGGAACAGCTGAAGAAATTGCTTGACAGAAGCTTATCATAGCCATCCCTGCCAAACCCTTTGTGCAAAAGAAGCACGCCGGTGACTTGAATCCGGGATGGCAATTACCAAGTGCAGACACCGCGCCCCACCAGGCTGTGTGGGTCTAGCAGTGTTTAGATCCACCACAGAGGACTTGTTCGGCATTTCTTTTCGTATGATCCATCTTCATAAATCATAACTTGGGCATTGCAGCATCGACCGCCGTATCTCCCTCCAAGCAGGACGCCTTGGCTTCAGGATCTAACAACGGTTGCAGGCTTCCCAGTGGCAGAATCTTTTGAAACCGGTGTGGACATTAATAATGCACCCTGTTCTCCCCATGTTGGGTCGATCTCCTCTTCACCCTAAAGGATTTCAAGCTTTTGCACATCCAGCACAATTGGGTTGGTTGCTGAAGTCTGATACAAAATCCTATCAGTTGTGACCAGGAGGAGAATCAAGGGAATAGTCAGAGTTTTAGAGGGACCGCACCGCCAGAATGAAAGCAACACCTCTGCTGTCATTTCAATGGGTTTCATTTCTAACGGGTTGGAGCCTTAAGAGAACGTCTGATTCGGGTCCATCTGGACGATGTCGCATCCACCGTTGCTCCTCCATCCCCAGAACTGGAGAGATAAGACTGTTGGAGTGTATCCAGTGATGAGCACCAAGCATCAGTGCAAAAGGTTGACATTCCCCTTGATCAGCTCTGTGCAGGAAGTGGGAAACAGCGTTTAATGGCTGGGATTGGTTAGTTCACAACTAACTAGCTAGTTAGTTATGCATGCACAAACAATTTTCACAAATATTCACAGATCCAACCCCCCACTGAAAAACTAACTAACTATGAGTAATCATCTATTATTATAGTTAAAAGTTAAAGGTCGAAACCTTTTCCCAGTGTGTTTCTTTTCTTTTTTCTTTTCTTTTTTCTTTTTTTTTTTTTGTCTGCTTGTTGTTTACCCCTGACTGAACAAGCTTCTGTTTTCCATAGTTCTTTTCTGGTCTGGGGTTGATCCTCAGAAGTCATAACAGGTCTGCTGTCTCCCTTCTGAGGGAAATTAATGTTGGGCAGTGTATTGTTGGCAGCAGAATTGAACTACCGATGACGCGAGTCCAACGCCAGTCGTATCATATCATCCATCCTTCGACCGAGTTTTGCGGGGGGAAGAGGGGGGCATCCATGGATGCTCGCATCGACATAACTCGGCACGGAGTTAGCCCCGGCTCTTTGGCTTAGAGCAATTCTCTGAACTCTTCATTTAGTTGCTTATTTCATAACTATATGCATAATGTTGATAACGCTCGAACACACATAAAAAGTTATGCAGCTGCCCCCCCCCCTGCAGATATTTCCCCCAGTTGTTTTGCCTTGAGAAGCAGAGACTTGCAAACAATTAGTTTGTTGGCCCTCCAAACCATCTGAAACCTGGGTGGACGATTAATACTAATAATAGGCAATAGGCAATAGCATGCCCCCTGAGAATGGAACATCACGTGAATCAACCCATTCAGGAGTAATTGGATTGCTAATTATACGTTGAATCGGACATACCGCAACCAAAGTACCGTCTTGGGATATCAAAGTCGCTTTTCCTTCATTATCCAAAGGCAATACAGAAGCTTTCATTCATATGCATCTTAGACTCGGTGAAGATCCAAATGACATCTCTATGGCCAACTTTCGACAATGCATGCTGACGGCGCTATGAAATCAGGGAACTCTCTTCTTGACGTCTGGTTAGTAGTGAGAAGACTAGCGGACTCATTATTCCATCTTTTTCATTGCAGCTGGTTGCCCATAACAGCGGCCGCAAATACTTCCTGCTGATAGCTTTCAATTACGAATTGCAATCACTTGTGTGGTTAATTGAATGGGTAATTTTGATTCCTCCAGAACAGCCAAACCGCCCAATGCGCCGTACCCAATACTCATGTTCTCCCAGTGAGCCTCTGAAGAGAGCTAGCTATTTATCCCATAACATTGACTCGAAGAGCTCCCTTGGACCCAGGGGGGAGTTGATTTTGATAGAACGGAAGAGATTCGGTGATGTTGACGACCAAGTTTCCCCCACAATGGGTCTTAATTGGGCCTACTTTTATGGCACCTGACGACACATAAATGTGTATGTATGTATGGATGTATCGTGCATGCATTGTTAACTAGATATACACTTATCAACACCAGTGGAATGAGAATCCATAATTATTTATAATAAGGTGTGCAGAAGCTTATCGGGATTCAGTTATCTTCATGTGGGCGAGTTAAGCAACTACAATAGTTAACACAGCCTAGAGCCTTTCTGCGATATTCCCCAGCCGTTTCCCCCCATCTACAGCGATAACAACACCGTTACTTTTCATAAATCAGCTGCGTTCAAACCATCATTGGCTAATCAGGAAGTTGGAGGAGACACTTACATGTAGTTTCCTGCTGGGGAGCAGAGATATATCATGACTCCGGCGATATCCTCCGGTTCCCCCAATCTTCCACGAGGAACATTTGAACTCAGCTTCCCTACTCCCCCGAGATTTTCGATTAGCCCGTTTGCAAGCTTTGATGGGAAAAATCCAGGAGAAACGGTGTTTGTTGTGATGTTCCGGGGTCCCAGCTCAAGGGCGAGATTCCTTGCCAAGTGATTTGCTGCAGCCTTGGAGACCGAATACATGATCGTGCCGTTTTCACCGACGTGGGGGACATTTGTACCCGCAACGGAACTGACAATGATCACTCTCGACGGATCTCGAGGTGTGCCAGCGGCTTCCAGCAGAGGAGCAAATCTGTTCGCAAGTCAGCTAGCTTATTCACGAAGGCAGTGGCTGTATGTCAGAATAATCCCTTGCTTACAATCTAGCTAAATTGAAAACACCTCTGACGTTGAGATCGAGGATCTTCTGCGAACTCCAATCTGGAGTTGGCTCAAAGGGACCTCCCCACGTAGCGCCAGCATTTGCAACCAGAATATCAAGCTTCCCATCGCTTTTTCTGACCTCACTGGCTAGTTTTTCAATTTCTTCTGTGTTCGCCACATTGGCCTGGATCCCAACCGCATGTCCCGTGATACCCGGGAGTCGATTCAGTTTTTCCACCGCCTGGTCAATGCCTTGTTCCCCGCCGGATTTTCTAGCGGTGATGATGACTTTCTTTGCACCCGCCAGAAGAAGTGCGGTAGCTGTGTGGAGTCCGATTCCTCTCGACCCTTAAAAATCCAATCAGTAAAACGACGAGCTTACAAGTAGAGCAGTATTGAATTGAAATGAGGTTTCAACTCACCTCCCGTGACGAGTGCGATCTTGCCGTCAAGGCGAAAGAAGGAATCGAAACCACGGATTTCGGACATTTTAACAGAAACCAATTTTCGCTGTTTGATGTATATAGGTAAGGAGATCTTAAAGTAAGCAAGCAAAAAAAAAAAAAAAAAAAAAAAAAAAAAAAAAAAAAATCCTGATCCAAAACGTCACGTTCAAATGCAGTCAACACAAGATAAATTCATGGCAAATTAGCTCCATCTGATTCCCCGCGAGAGGGGAGGTAATTCGGTTGTTGATCTACATTTTCCTATCATCCCGCGGCAGAGGGAAGCCCTCCTCCACGGCACAGTTTGGGATATTACAATGAGATTCAATAGCTGGTCTATGAGCTTCCGCGTGAGAGGGCGATGTTAGCTTTGCCTCGGAACAAGTGGGAGTGGAGACTCGGAGATCCCCAACAACAGCCACGGCTATGGCCTGGGTCACGGGCAGCTTTTCGGCATGCAAGTTCTAACCGACCACCAGCGGTTGCGACATGATATTTTTAATAATCATGCTGCCGCATGTCGGATTTGGAATCTGGCATATTTATTTATTGAAATCTCATCGGGGGTGCATTGTGACAGCGCATTGTCGTCCAAAAGATTCCCTTCCTCCATGCCGTTCCCCGCACTTGATGCTCCCAATTGTGACCTGTCACCGTACGTTTTGCCTCTGGACAGCATACAATCTGGTCCCGTTAAATACGTGGATTGATTCGAGGAACGTTCATGTTCAGGAATGGAAGCATTATCCGTTATATCGGAATGTGTAAAAAACGGAAACAGTGCTGGTAATGTTGAATGAATCCTCAGCAAATGATGAAAATTATTCAAAGGAATCAGCTCTAAACATGTCATGACAATAACCGAAAGCAGTGTGTATTCAACTTCTCCACAGAAAATGTCTAGCACCCGGAGGGGAGTGAGTTCATTGACTTCAAGGCTTTTTTGACCCGCCAGTAAAGGCCGACTACGACTTCACTAAATTCCAGTCTCTGGCTCACCGTTGATAGTTGAAACTCTTATTTAAAGCTTAGGGCGATTGACGTGTAAGTAAGATTCCGGTGATGGTTGTCAAGCGCAAGAGTCCCCAAGCCCATCATGCATGGGTGCATGTTGCTGGTCATCCCACTAATCCAGTTTGGATTTAATGTCTTTGTAGCCTAAGCTTTTGATTGCAACCTGGCGTTGCTCCAATGCTGGGTCATAAGTTAGTTAGAACTAACTATCTCTTATGTTGAGGCGGTCGGGCTGCGATCAACAACAACCTCAATATTTGGCGGATTCTCAAAGTTCAGGGTTCATCAGCATCTCCTCCAGTCCACCGGCCTATATATTAGCCTGCTACTTCAGGGTAACTCCTCATATGTGAGATTTTTCTGTAAAAAAAAAAAAAAAAAAACTAACAAAAAAAAAAAAAAACAGAAAAACAGAAAAAATTTAAACATGTCTCTTGAGGGTCTTCCAAACGAGCTTATCCTTCAGGTGGCAGATTTGCTGGACCCGACAGATATTAATGCTCTTGCTCAAACAAATAAACGCTTTCACCGTCTTCTCAACCCATATCTCTACCGTCAGGATGTGCTCTCTGCTGAGCACCTGGCGTTGAATTTCGCTCTGAGACCAGATCCCGCTACTATTCACTGGAAAAAGCAAAGTCCGGACGATGACCTGTACGAATTTTACCATCCAACCTCGTCGATAAATTCGTTTACGCTCTCAAACAACCCGGACCTGCTTACCCGCAATGCAACAATCCGCCTATCCGTTGAAAATGGTGAGGACCTCAAAAGCAAGTGGGCTAGCGATAACTTCCTGTTTGATATTGTCTGCGCCAGCCAGGAATGCAATTTCTGGCTCATGATGAAACATGGGGCCGATGTCCACGCGAAATCTCCTGATAACCGAACCCTCCTGCACGAAGCGGTTAAAGGGTCTAGAACCAAAATCCTCAGATACCTGATCAAAGAGGGCCTTGACGTCAACGCGAGGGACTCCTTAGGCACAACTCCTTTGTGCCTCGCGGCAGAGCACCTAAATGATCGTGCCATTCGACTTTTGTCTGACAATGGCGCTGACGTGGACGCTCGAGACGGGACAGGCTGGACTGCTCTCCATACATTGGCATACATACCTGCTCCATCCCCATCGGGGTATTACCGATCCTTGCAGGCACTTCTGTATTATAACCCCGATATGGATGCCAGGACCCCGAGAACCGGTTGTAACGCACTCCATCTTGCCGTATCACACAGAGGAAACAGCAAACTCATAAATCTATTGCTCGGCATGGGAATGGACATCGAATCTCGTTGCAATGGGGGATCAACTCCCCTGCATTTCGCTGTTACGGTTGGCAACGTGAAAGCCGTGCAGCACCTGCTGGATAACGGTGCCAAGATTACGACCAAGGACAACCAGGGAAGATCGGTTCTACAGACTGCCATCGAAAATCAAGATTCACGAATGACAAAGTGTCTTCTAGACGAGGGTGCTGATGCCTCTACGGTGGTCAAAGGAGGAACGCCATTCCTCCGGCACCTGCTTCGTGAGAAACTGTTATGGACCGCTGTCAACTATCTCTGGAGACCAGAGGGAGATACTCGCGTGGGTGCCGATGAAAGTGAGTGGGACGTAATGGAATCGGGAATCGACCCTGGTCCAGACGGAATGCCTGAATCCTCGTAGCAGATTGCCACGAAATCTTGAAAGCACTGGGTCGGGACCTGGGATTTGGAAGAGTTTGGGCATGAGCACTGTCGCATCGAATGCTAGTCTACCTAGTGGTTTGTTCGCAATTCTTATCTGCCATAGGACCAGTTTAACCAATAAACATTGATTATGATTACGACTTCATGGGCTTTGTCGTAATCTAGAGCAAGCCAACCTTAACCGATTGCATGATTTAATTGGAGCTTCGCTAATGATACCTGAAACAGCTCATGTATACCCTTGTAGAAGACGTGGTAGCGCCACGCAGATATGAAGAATGCAAAAGCGAACGAAAGACAGGGTAGTTGACACAATGTGAAGTACGTAGAAAAGGGGAGGTCCCAGTATGAACAATACTGCCTCTTTTGGTCTTATATACAATCAGCCCATTGCTTCAAATAATAACCACATCTGCACCATGTTTGGCTCTTTCGCTCCCACCTTTGTTATATTGGTGCCGTAGGATGAGGTCATTCCCATGCTAGGAATGATAGAGTCCTGAGGACATATAAAATTATGTCTCAATATCATTGTCTGCAGAAGAAGGAGCAGAAGTACAAGCAAAATTAAGATGGCAAAATAACTTCATTGGAATTCCCCACTGCATTCGCAGGGTGCTTTTGCCGGGATGGGCCTCATCTACGGAAAATCTTATGTTTGGTATTGATATTTGGGCAAGTTCGCCATCGTTTTCGGAGCGTTTGACTAAAGATGACTTTGATAGTACTTGACCACTCTACCATGAACGCCTTGGCCTCCAGCTTGGTCTTACTAAGGATGCAGGATTCGAAGTGTGGCTGTATCTCCTTGGGTCTTCAAAGGCTGGCGGAGTGGTTGATATTGTCCGTTACTAGGCTCCGTTGACCATATTCTTCTTGGCAAAGAACAGAGAAACTTCGCCAATGTTAGATTGTCTCTTTGCAGAGCCAACTAAAGTAGGAACACTGGAACTCCCCGGATTAGTTGTGAATGGGTGAGAGTTAACAATATCGCCGGAAGCGGAGGCAATCATTGTCGAGCAGAATCCGCGGCTAACTGCCTGCATGGACATTTGCGGTGAAGCAAGATGTCAAATTCGGTGGGTTTCACAGGAATACCGTGCGGGATTTTGAACGTACGAGTAATATATTTTTTTTCTTTCTCCCTGTTTACGAGGATGAGAGCTGTTTTATTTGCTTATACGGTTAAAATGCTCATTCGAATTCGTTTAGATGAGTAGTTGGGACCCTATAAGAAGGATCGAATCCGACTGTAGATTCAAGGAGAAATCAAGGCAATCATTATTATTTTTTGTTAGGTTCCTAGCAATTAGTGAATTCACTTTTGCGATAAGATCTTTGAACCTGAACCTTCAGATAATTATTGGTTATGCAATGACTAGTCGTTGGATGGGTAGTGCTTCACACGGTCGGCGCATATCATAAAATGAGCTAGCCAGTACCAACTCGCAGCCGACTTTAAGATTTCAGACCGATTACGACCGGCCACAGACTGTGTACGTATTTTGCTAAGTGATGAATATCGAATACTGGCAAGTGACAAAGTAGGGCGGTTTCGGCCCTGCGATCGTGGTGCATATAGGAACCCACATACATTAACTATGGCGAACGAGCGAGAAGATGCCATCCTGGCTTGATAGTTACAGCGACGAGTAGTTAGTAGGGATAAATGCAGGATTTGGGAAGAAAAGCGCACCAGCTCTTGAGTTTCCCATGGATGAGAACATGGAAACCTTGTCATCCAGGAAAGACCACGTCGATCACCGATGTGATTCGTATGTAGTGTGCTAACTTGCTCCTCATTTGCATCACACATTGTGGATGGGAAGCTGCATGGTTGTGATGCTGGAGCCTGTTACAGGAAGTAACCAGCTAACCCAATGCTCGAATATATTCGCTAGATGCAAACCCCCCCCCTCCCCCCCCAACCAGTTCTAAACGACCAACACGCTTTTGGCGTTGGGCGCACATCCGGGAGAAAATGCATTCTTCTATTGGTGTTCTACTAACCACAGTAGCTGCTCTTCCAATCCTCATGATCAAGCCAGGAGATTTGTTGACCAACGATTGCGTTACCTGGAGAATCGAGCTTCTCTGTTGCGCCCTGGAAATTATGGCGGTGATAAGCCTTTCAAACATCCCAATCCTAAATCTGAAGGTGTGCTTAGAGACTGAGAGATCGTTGTTCGGAGCAGAGTGGCTTATCTGAAAATATAGAATATCTTGTCCGGGGCTGGGACCTGCCAGAAGTCGACTTCGATATAGGCGAAAGCTATGCCGGCACCCTTCCAAAGAGTGCCTCTGGAAACTCCTCTCCTCGGTCTTGGTTTTTCCCGTCTGAAAATCCAGCAGCATCTGAGGAAATCACAGTCTTCCTCAATATTGGTCTGGGATGCTTGTCAATGCTGGGGCATCTTCAAGAGAATGGCCCCTTTCTGTGGCAGCCAGGGACTTATAAGCCTGTCATAAATCCATATTCCTGAATGAATGTCACAAATATGGTCTGGATCAATCAGTCTGCTGCAATGTTGCCAATCAATTCAATGATTTTTGAAAGAGTCTTTCTCATAGGTGAGTAATATGCCAGCATGTTAATTCTGTACATCAAAAATGAGATGTTAGAAAAAAGAGATAAGTATTATTTCAATTTATAAGGGATCTGGATAATGAACCCATTAATCAATGAAGACGATACGATGGTAACAGGTTAGTTATGCCACACATACCTGTGAATCTCAAGGAGATTTTTCAATGCTGACCGGCCATCGTAGCCCCATCTGTCCCCGCACTTAATTATTACCAGTCGGTTATCCAGCTAAACGAGTCCACTTTGGCTGACGTTAACAGACGGTATGAGTCTTGCAGGCTACTCCAAATTCATGAATGTGGCATTGCAATTCCCACCAACGGGTAAATTACCCTCAGCGCCAAAAAGTAATGGTGAGTGCAATTTATGGCAACATATCGTCACCGCAGCGACCTACGTCAATCCGTGTTTCAACATATTCAATTTGAGAGAGTTCTACTCGCTTCTTTAGAACGTAATGCGGTTTCCTCCTCTCACAGTTGGGCCAAGCAACCACTTCAACCGAACAGATGTCCAAAAAGTCCTTCACACCCAGCCAACGGACTATATGCTTTGCAGCATGCAATATAATTTTTCCCTGGAGGTGACAAATCGCCTCCTAGCGGTTTGGGTCCCTTGCCAAATGTTATCGAGAAAACCAATAACACCAGAATCTCGCATGGAGCCCTCGACTTTCTTCTCTTTCTAATCGGGACCTTAATCACCATCCAGAACATGACCTGGAATGGAGCACAAGGGTTCCAGGAAGCACCGTCTGAGAAATTATATGTGCCTTACCACCCCGGACTTGGTGAGATTGCGTCCCGCAATGTTACTGGTCCTTTCACCCAAGTTGCTGGGGCGGGACAGCTCGGAACCGTTCACACAGAGAGAGGACTTACTTGGGCCACTGTCGATTTGTCAGGGCACAGTAAGCCATAAGCTAATACAAATTTCTGACGTGAAATGGTTATTGGCTAATAGATTCCATGACAAAGATTCCCCAGTATTCCCTTAGGTTCGGATATAGAACCATGGAGCTCCTGCTTGGAAGGATAGAAAGCTTAAGTCAGAGAGAGCTTCAAAACACGCCCAGGAGATTTCGAATAGCGGTGCAGCAGCGCATAAAGATATATATAAACCCGGGTATACCGAGCTTATCTTGTGATATATCGATAGTAGATGCTCACCCAATATTTTGCAGTGAGGAGAAATAAGGTTGCAATTTCGGCGCGGGGGCAACCCAGAGACTTGTTAATTAAAAGAGGCCACGAAGGATGTATATATATTTACCAAAGCAATTGGAATGCACGACTTTTACGATGAATGAAGTCCCCATATGCCTTTCTTCAGCCAGACACTTAGGTATCGGGAATTCGATGTGCGTCAGATTAGCCATTGAAAAGGGTAGTATTGGGTTGGACCTTTTATCTCAATAGGGTTCTTTGAATATTTGCCAAGGTCCTCGCTCGACCTTATTGAGGCACGTTACCGGTGGTGGTGGTGCGCCGCGCGGTTAACCATATAACTAGTCTATTAAGCGCCAAACACCCCTAAACTAATCGCTTTGCCAATAAGAACAACAAAGAATGTAGGACGAACGACCAAAATTCTAGCACACTAACGCGTTCTATGTGTGAATCCACGAAGCAGCTAAATATGAAATAAGTGTTTCACCTTAGGTATCTTTGAAGAACCTCACGGCTATACGAATAACCTTGAGAAACCGATAATAGTAATGCCAGGGAATGTATTTGATAATGTGCAGGCGAAAGAAGGGGCTTAATGTGAAACTAAGAGTAGAAACAGATAAGAATTGTAAGTGAATGAATGGGGAAATGACGTGCGGGCTTATTTTCGGGAGTATTAAAAGAATTAGATCAACATGAATACAGAAGGGAAAGAAGGAACCTAGTAATAGGGATAAAAGAGCGAAAATAAAATTTAAAAAGAAGCAAAAAAAAAAAAAAAAAGAAAAAAAGAAAAAAAGAGTATCAGTATGATAAATGTAGTATACTGCAAAAGCAGATGATGTAAGAATGTTAACAAGACGGATTTAAAAGGACATGGAATAATGCATACGTGCAACCCATGTCTTAGAGGAGGAAATTTTGGTTCAGAGGGAAATTAACAAACAAAGCAAATGACTACACTGTATTCTTTGTCGTCTCCGATACCTCAAAGTGGAACCTCATCTAGCTCTCCTTCACCACCCGCCCCGTTCGATTTTTGGTAATTCGAACCCGGAGACCGGGCCTCTAAACTCCTCTTCTTTCCTGGCGATTGCGAGTTTGTCCTGTTTGCTACGTCACCATCTGAAGAAACTGCAGAGTTATTCTCATCAGCTGCCTCCGGCTCACCACCTCCAGCAAGTACATAGTTTTCGCGATCAACTGATGCCGCGTCATCTCCACTTGGCCTCGAGTTCTCCTTTTCGTCTTTAGGGGGAGGGGATGGTGCAGACTGGGATTCTCTATCATTCTTATCCCCACCATCAGATCTATCGCTGCTTGACGGTCCGTTTACTGGACCACCAGGGAAGGGCGTTACCGGGAGTTCCTTCTCAGCCGGTTGGTCTGGCGAAGGGGATGCTGGATTCGTTCGGTCTGCTTTTCCAAGGGATCCAGATCCAGAGGCATTATTCAATACGGAGTTTTTGCGATTTTGTTGACCACCAACACTTGGGCCTATCTGCCTCAACTTTGGATCTGCATTCAAGTAGTAACCGCGTACACTGACGATAGTACCTTCGCGTTCGCATCCCTCTACCCACTCTGGCCGGACAACAGGAATATTCATCTCAACAGCTTTTTCCCAGGCAGGACCTCTACCTTCCGTACAAACAAAGTGTGTTGTATCAATTCGCACTGTGTCGATGAGTTTGGCACCAATTCGATCCACAGCCTCCCCAAGCGAAGTCCTTAGATTCGGTGGTAGAACACCTGGTGTAATGGTGATTCCGGACAAGTCGGTCATCTTGTGTGTGCGACAAACTAATTTTTCTGAGCTGAAAGTACCGGCAGAGGTACGGAGGACAAGGTGAAAAGTGTATTCTGTGTCAATTGCAAGACCGCTAATCTTGGTGCTGAGCATCTCTTTTGGCCTGGGAATGGAGCCTGCCCTGGAGTCATTGCGATATAGCAACAGTGACTTAAGGGACGCGGTGGCCAAGTTGATGGGGTCCCATTCAAGGACAAGGGATGTTTGCGTCGCATTTCTTAGGCGCAGTACTGGCGGAGAGGGAGTATGGATGCCATAGGTGTGTAGAATCCGCTTTTGGAGAGACTGAAAAGAGGCGATACTGGCGGCTTCAGCGGCTTGGTTCCGCGATACAGTAATATCAACGATACTGCCAGATGATATATTCTTTGGCAGGAGGACGGACGGGAATTCAATCTATAGCAGTTGTCGTAAGTAAATGATCACGGCGCAACAGCATATAGACAAAATATAAACAAGAGTCAAATCCTAAGCATTAAAAGATCTCAATCAATTATAATAAACATAGCCCAGCTGTGGTAAATAGCCATAGAAAAGTGGTCCGGGTGAGGATCAAGCTTACAAGTCGATTATCTTGAGTCAAGAGGACAGCAACGCCAGCGTCAACCTTCCCAACGGTGAGAGAAACCAGCATAGTGGGCGGATAGGGATAGACAAGGCAAGAAAACTTTGTGCTACAATGCGAACAGCATTTGGCAGTTCTGATTGTTGCGACATATAAGAAGGGAGCTCTCTATCTTTTTGATGACGACGGAGAAGAGGATGATGAAGCTGGCCAGATCGAGCTGATAACGGTTTTGAGGCTTGGCGGGGTCTGAAGGCAGTTCCAACTTCCCCAAAGCAAGATATAATGGACGCTGCTTTAGTGATTGCTTGGGTAATCTCAGAACAGCGTTGATTCCGTCTACTTTAGGCAATATCAAACCTACAGGGTCAAATCTTTCTGGTGGCAAAGCAACATTCGCGGTGGATACTCCCGTCTGCCACGCAGGATGTCGATTTCATTGGGGCTTCTAGTTCATCTAGTCCTATAATGATAAATCCTCAGCTTCTCCGCATCTCCACCACGTCTGTCACTGATCACGTGGCCCAATGTCTATGCCCCGAAGGTTGTGATATTCAATAACAGTAGCAGCGGGATTGCGACTCATCCAACCCGCAGAGCTCGTCCTCATGTCTGAAGAAAGTCCGGTAGTGAAGCTATCGTTGCCGCTGGTAAGCATCGGAGAATCTGTGGGGGCACGAACGATCAACATTTAACAAATGTTTATCTAGCAATATCAGCAGGACTTATTCTCAGAGCTCAGGTCTGAAGATGAGCTGGTTATTCTCGCAAGAGGACTTGGCCTGTTACGTATTGTAACGAATCTCCTACACTCTTATGATGCTACCGGCAACAACTTAGTCATCGTGGTTGGCGCTGACCGTCGGGAAAATGAGTGGATTGGAGAAGGTATGTTCCCGAAGTGCTGCAGTGGAAAATGTCTACATGCATACTAATGCTTCAAGCAGCGCTGGCGGAGCATTATGCCGTGAGCAGAACTCCATTAGTTCGTGGCCTGAAAGTAATCAATACTGACCAGGCCACCGTTCCCATGAGGTATGGCCTTCTACTTCGGGGTATATTTCATTTCATTTTCTAATGAAACATTTTCAAGGCAAACAATGTACACCCAAGGGGGTATCCTGAGTGTGACATCTCGGATATTGGTTGTCGATCTGCTGTCAAGTTGAGTTCCCTTCCTGTACAGGCTTAGCAGAGCATGCTAACGAAAATATAGAACTTCTGGACCCTGAGAGTATTACCGGGCTAATTGTTCTCCATGCTGAAAAGTAAGGTCTTTCCTGAATGCTTATTTACTTTTACATGTTAAGCTGTTTTTAGAATCGTGGCTACATCTCAAGAGGCATTCATTATCCGAATATATCGGCAGTTCAATAAAGTTGGCTTTCTTAAAGCGTTCTCGGACTCTCCCGAACCTTTCACTATTGGTTTCAATCCTTTAGCCAATATGATGCGGAATCTATTTCTTCGGAAAACCTCCCTTTGGCCGAGATTCCAGGTTACAGTAGCAGAATCCCTAGAAGGTCGTAAGAAAGCAGAGGTCATCGAGCTAGAAGTCCCCATGACAGATAAAATGAGAGATATCCAAAACGCCGTTCTAGAATGTGTTGAAGCCAATATTCGAGAGCTTAAAAAGGCAAATTCTGGACTGGACATCGAAGACTGGACAGTGGACAGCGCATTGCATCAAAATTTTGATGTCGCTATTCGACGCCAATTGGATCCCGTGTGGCACCGAGTCAGCTTTAGGACAAAGCAAATAGCTAGTGATTTAACCGTCCTTCGATCGATGCTTCTGTGAGTCTTTTCATACGGAATGGAGCTGAGGATCTGAGCTAACCTCCGCAGGTCATTACTAACATACGATTCTGTCTCTTTTAATAAATACCTCGACGTCATAATAGCTGCACACTCGCCACCTCCTGGATCAAATAAGCAGAATTTCTCCCCCTGGCTTTTTCTTGATGCAGCTCATGTTATATTTAAAACTGCCAAGTCAAGAGTTTATCGCGGGAAAAATGACCCCTGCGAGCAACTGTCCGACACATCTTCTTTACCACCATCGCTAGAGCCAGTACTAGAGGAGCAACCGAAATGGTCGGTTCTGGCGGACGTGCTAGATGAAATCGAGCGCAGCACTTACCTTAATCCTGTTCCCCCAGGAGACTCCAATGGGACTATTCTGATCATGTGCAGTGACGGCAAAACATGCCGCCAAATTAGAGAATATCTTGAGACAATGCGTATTAAAGTCAAATCATCTAAAGATGCCACGGAGACTGAAATTGAGTCAGACGACAGCCCTTCTGGGGAGTTTATGCTTCGTAGGAATCTCATACATTATCTAAATTGGAAACGTAACTCTACCAGAGTTAACAGCAATCTCTTCACTACGAAGTCAAGGCAAGAGCCAGGCACAGTTGCAGGGTACAATTCACTGAGCTCCTCAACGAATTATCACGGAAGGGTACCCCCAAATAAGAGAAGACGTCTTCGCGGTGGTGCCTCGGGGCTCACACCAGCAAGAGGTGCAAGCAGCAGCGTGCAGCCAGATACGGAGGTTCCAACGCAGGTATCGACATTGTTGGAAGAAATTCAGCTCGAAGAACCAGAAGACGGTGCTATTGAGGCTGAACTGGTGGTCGATGATCTGTCAGACATGGAAGATTACTATGGTCTTTATGACATGAATGATCTTTTAATGATATGTCCATATGATGGAGATATGGATGACCATGTGCTCGAAGAAGTCAAACCACGGTACATCATTATGTACGAGCCAGACGCTGCATTTATCCGCAGAGTAGAGGTCTATCGGAGTTCTCACACAAACCGGGAAGTCAGGGTTTTCTTTTTATATTACAGCGGCTCAGTCGAAGAACAGCGATATCTAAGTGCTGTTCGGAGGGAAAAAGACGCATTCACTAAACTAATCAAGGAAAAGGGGGTATGTAACCTCATTATCTCTTCCGCTTTCTCCTCAACATTGTGTTAAATGATTAAGAAAAAGAAAAACTAACCACTTATTATCTCATAGTCCATGGCCCTTACGATCACCCACGATAAAAGCGCTGAAGATCCTCAAGAACAATTCCTCCGAACAGTGAACACCCGCATTGCAGGTGGAGGCCGATTGGCCGCAACAGCCGCACCACCCACCGTCGTCGTAGACGTGCGTGAATTCCGCAGCGCTCTCCCATCGCTCCTACACGGGCGCAGCATGGTCGTGGTCCCGTGCCAACTAACAGTGGGGGACTACATCCTTACCCCAGACATATGCGTTGAGCGAAAATCGATCCGAGATCTACAGTCTTCCCTTAAAAACGGGCGATTATACAACCAAGCAGAGACGATGTTACAACATTACAAGAACCCCGTCCTGCTAATCGAATTCGACCAGAATAAATCCTTCACCTTCGACGCGTTCACATCTGCCACGAACACACCAGGCTCAGAGAGCTTCTCTACCAACCTTATAAACCCAACAAACCCCAAATCCATCCAACTCCTGCTCACCCTGCTAACTCTATCCTTCCAACGTCTGAAAATCATCTGGTCCTCCTCCCCCTACCAAACCGCCGAGATATTCGCAGAGCTAAAAAAGAACAACCCGGAGCCAGATCCCATCCGCGCCGTGCAGATGGGTCTAGACTTTGAAATCACATCTACCGCAGGCGCCGATAAAATCATGTCAGCTGCGGGAGTTGAGCATCGAACCTTCAACCAGCTGCCGCATGACATGTTACGGGCGGTTCCAGGGGTGACGCCGAAGATAGCGGAGCGGTTGGTTCTAGAGACGGATAATTTACAGCAGATTGCGAATATGGAGATGGAGGAGTTGGAGCCATTGGTTGGGAAGGAGGTTGGGAGGCAGATTTTGAGGTTTTTTCGGAGGAATGTTTTCGATGAGGAGAGGGCTGATTAAATAAGCGGGAGCCGGTCTATGCTATGCGTTGGACGCTGTAGATAGTTGGAAGACTTGGTGACGGTTTGATGGCTCTGATTGTGTTTGATATAGGAGTGTGCGGGACTCGCTCCACAACCAACATTTTGCACGTTTTGGATTGTTCAAATTTGGGATTAGCCGATGGTTTCAATAGCTACCTATATCCCCCATCCTACAGAGAAAGCACAAGGATAGGAATATAGAAAATTACCTATTCCCTAACGTAAAACTTATAATTACTTTAATTTGCTTGCGGTTATCTATGCACCCAAGAACCTGACTTGAAATTGACAAAAAGCGGGAGATGATAAGGAATGAAAGGACAGATACAAGATCGCAGACAAGCAAAAGCAAAGCTAACGCTACGGCTAAAGGTAGGAGGAAATAAGAAAGGGAACCTCAAGAGGCAAACTGAAACGAAAATAATCATACCAGAGTATAAAAATGTATAGGAGGTTTCTCGTCGCCGAGAGTTAACATAAAGATAAAGTAGGAAAGACAATAAAAAGCCCCGTCCAGTCGTAAACCGCGTTAAAAAAGAACAACAAACAAGCGAAGGACACCAAAAACATGAATCCGGGGTGGGGTTAAAACTAGACCGGACCAGTGGCAAGTATAAGAATATATGCCAAGCTTGTCACCCTCATGTCCATCCCGCGAACCGGTTCGAACCCCGCATTAGGCGTATATGGATCTCGATAAGTCTTGTCGATAGCAATATGCGACGTGGAAGTTTTTCCCAGCCGAAGAGTCTGATTTATATTCCCTTGGAGATAACAGGAGAAGGAGAGGGGTGTTCGAACTTTACGCCCCTCAGTTTCACGCAAGCACCAGTTTCACCAGGACTTTTTCTGCAACGATAAGTAACGCCAAAGGATTGAATCGTCCATCTCCGGGCTGTTGAAAACCCTCCCACCAGTTGAAGCCGGGCACGTACACAGCGAGAGGAGTGGCCTCGCTATATCGGGAGGAAAACTATGTTTGGTTGGTCAGATGTCATCAACATCGATGTCCTTGTCCTCTTCGCTGCCATCTCTGTCTTCGTCGAACTCGACGTTGTCATCAATATCCTCATGGCCATAGCTGTAGTTGGTTAAAACGTCAGTAAATGAATGGATCACACACACCAAACCAAAAAGCATAATAACGCCACGGAGTATCCAAGACAAAACGGAGAGTAAACAGCAGTTCAGCAAAAGATTTGGGGGCAAAAACATACGTATCAGTCTCGTTAATCTTAGCGCTCTCAGGCAACTCGCCGTAAGCCTTCAGACTTCTTGCCTCATCGGCATTGTACTTGAGAATAACATCGCCCTTTTCGTCCTGATAGTCGCGCAGAGATAGCAAGATGATGTCTCCCTGGTTAATCCAGACTTTCTTGCGCAGTTTGCCACGGATATGTGCGAGGCGCTTTTCGCCGTCGAAACAGAGCGCTTCGAGTCGTCCGTTGCCCAACATCTTGACAACCTGGGCATATTCTTGACCTTCCTCCTTGAAGGTCAGTTCTCGCTTCTCGTTGTCATTTTCGTTCTTCCCTCGACGTCGATTTTTACCACCCTATATAATATCCGGGAGAATGGATGTGTTAGTGTATATGGGTAATTCCGCACATCATGGAAACGTAGTTCACAGGGGAAATATCTCATAATATCCTCCACCTCCAGCTCTCATTTTCCTTGGGAATTGAAGACATCCGGCAAACTCGATACACAAGCGATGAACAGCAGCGGGGTGGGATTGTTCAAGGAGGGTTACTATCATCATACCTTTCCCTTATTCTTCGGCATGTTGAAGAGTTCTAGGAACTCCCTCTAATTTCAAGTGTGTTTAGATTCCCAGGTCTGGATCTGTGGGGATGTGTATCAAGCGATGCTGTACCCTAGTTGGTAGTTGGTTGGGTGGTCGAAAGGTTCTGCGTTGTTCCGGCGGGTGGATTTAATTTCGAGTTTGTCTTCTACTTCTTAGTTGGTTGGTGGGGTGTGTTTCCAGTCGCCACTTGCCAGTAGTTGAAGCAGCAGCCCCGCTATCCCCGAAGAGGCAAGTCATCCACCGGTATGTACACCTTCAACGCCAGCAAATTTGTTGAGCCACACCCTGTACAGACAGACAAGACCCCTTCCATGTCGGCCTCCAACTGGAGCGTCAATCGCATTCTATTGTGCATGCATGTATAACAGCCTGTCCGTTCTTGCGACAGACATATATGTATGTATTTGCAAAAATGGGCCCTCCCCAATGTAAGCCAGCGATGTTCTCCAAAACCCCCAAAACACCCAAATATCAAGGCCCCCAACAACCCTACTTCGTCGTCCACTTCTCCCCGCAAAACAAGCCAACAATTCGCGCGAAGCGCTTCTCCGCCGATACGCGCATGCATCTCTTCGCGTTCCGCACCAAGATTCAGCATTTGTGGGCGATGCGGGAAAAAGGTGATTTGTGGTGGTCCGCCTCTGCTCACGGGGAGGTCTCGTCTGAGAAGAGCGTTATACGTACGTGGTGCACGAGGCGGGTGCGGACTGCTTTTCGAGATGCGTTGAGAGCACATGGGTACGATGACTGTGGACGGAGGATGCCTGATATCGAGCGGAAGGATGGGGTTCCGCAGTCGCAATTGGAGGTGTTGAAGGGGTCGTTGGAGCTGCATGTTCGGCTGGCTGTTAAGGAGGCTAAATATACGGATCTCGTGAGGCAGTCGGAGCGTGTTGTTGAGAGCATTGAACAGTATCTCATCAGGCTACGGTGAGGGGGGTAAATGCAGCATTCCCGATGGAATGGTTTCTCATGGAGCGTTCAGCAAAGTGGTGAGGCACAGCGTTGAGCGGTTTTATATATAGGTCTTAAGCCGATATATCTTCATGAAAAGTCCAGATGTGTATTGCGCTTCTGGGTTTATATCTTTGCAATATATGCAGGTAAATAATTGTAGCCCGACAGGAGTATCATTTGAAACAGTCTGATTGCTAATCGATAGTTTCTGGGTATTCCAGATTAACCTGAACAATTAGGGCGACAACGTCATTCCCGTACACTCTTCCCTCACCACTAGGAAGTGCAAACAATACAGAATCCATAATTGACTCCCATCCACGCCAATCATGACACGTTTCGATCACTTCCAAAAGACTGGCTACCCCTATCTGCAAACAACAGAACATCAATTTATTATTAAGTTCTTTCACCTGAGCATCGATCTCCTCCCTAGAGACCTTGGGCGGCAGCTCTACTAAATAAATTATACCCAATAGTCAGCCCTAGTCAGCCCTAGCCAACTACCTAAAAGTGCAGTTGGGGAGAATATTTGTCAAAGAAGTTGGGTATTAGAGGGTATATTATACCCACCCTCTGGAATCTGCGGTCCGTTAGCTATAAAGTCATTAACGGAAGGTTTGGGCTTGTCTGCAGCAGCAGAATCGGGGTTATTCTGCAGCCTGTTCTTCTGTGTCTGACTTCGTGTCTGGCGCGTAGTGGGATCGGCCATTGCGGCATAAGAGTCTTGGTTGGATTGGTTGGGCATGGCTTCGATTGATTGAACAAGTTATCTGAATGTGAAATTTGAAGCTATCAGGCCAATAGTTTGGAAGACTTGGGTAACTATATAATATTTTATTAGGAATGTAGATAAGTAGATATGGAGATGGTTGAGGATTGTGGCAGGCAGCATAATTGCGGTTCTACATGTTACGTATTTATGCAAATACATAATCCATGCGTTTGCGATGACATCACAGGGTAACTTCCATCATGGCAGGGGATTTGAACCAAGAAGAGAGGCATGCAAACATGGCTGTCAGTTTTGAGATGACAGACTCATATATATGCAGTGATGTACCGTTTAGGCTGTAATTCTATATATTTGTGGTTTTCTCTTCTGATGACTTGAGACATTGCTTTCAAGTGCATTAAGCAAGGGATTTGAGTTGTCACTAACGAGTTCATGTCAAATTGTTATTAGTTAATACCAGAAATGGCCATTTCATCAATAGCAACGGGATACCCTCAGTAGCAATAAGCAGTATCATCCACCCATCCATTCTCTAATTGCTTTTGTTATTCATGAAGGGTGTGTTGTTCTCTTGATGAAAGAATATGCCGCTTGTGGTCTCCCGGTGGTCTGCATGTCTTGGCGCTTGGAACGTCCAGAGCCTTACTAAGCCTCCTTCCCAACTTCTCAGTGAACAACTGCAAAAGCCACACTTGAACCTTCAAACCTCTCAAAGACTTACAAACTGTTGCCGCCTACAACTACCCCCCTCCCCTCTAATAATAACCCCCCTTCGATCTCTGTAGACAGTGCTCATCCCGGTAGATACTCCACCTTTATTTCTCCAAATCCTGTGTGCTGTTGTTGGGGAACCACTCCTGCAACCAATCACACGATCACGAACAGGCGACTTTCTTCGAAAGGGATATAAATACGATCAGCTATGAATCCTCAAGCTGTTGAACAACACAGATGAGACTATTCTATATACCAGTCTGCAAATAACCCGTTACCTAAAAATCCGGCATCTCCATCATGCCATCCATCCTCTCTGATGCCGATAAAGAAACAGTCCGGCGAACTGTTCCCAAGCCAGCCAACAAGATCCTCGCTGTGGCCGTTGCGCGGCTATACGTAGCATATCCAAATCCGCAGAAATGGACATATACCGGTCTGCAGGGAGCTGCGGTACTTGCCAATGATCTTGTTGGTCATACGTTTTGGATTAAGCTTGTTGACGTGTCGGTATGTAACTACGCATATATGAGAGCATTGGCTGAATATCCCGCTCTTAAGTTTTACCACAAGCAACTAACTTGAATTTTCTTCTACACAGCCTGCTGGCAGAGGAGTTCTATGGGACCAGGAAATCTATGATGGCTTCTCGTATAACCAGGACAGGACCTTTTTCCATACCTTTGAACTCGAGGAATGCCTTGCGGGCTTATCGTTCGCGGATGAAAAGGAGGCAAAGACGTTCATGAAAAAGGTTTTGGAACGGGAAAAGAGCGCGAGTAGAGAGACCAAGGCTACCTCGTTTGGGTCACTTCGTGGTCAGGGACCTGCCCCAGCAGCAAATGGCAAATCTCATCACGGTCTTTTCGGCGGACTGGGTAATTTATTACATGGTCATGGCCATCGATCCTCTTCCGCCCCTACCACACCTGCGGAATCCATTATTCCCCCCAAACCCGTGGCTCCAGCTCCAGCTCCATCTCCCGCTCTCTTCCCTGCCCAAGCTCCAGCGGGAACAGAGCTCCCAGCCGCCTCACTGCAAAAACAGCCATCACCCCTGGATACCGTAGATCCGTCATGGAAGGGCTTGTTGGACGAGTTACTTGCTATGGGCATCACGGAGGACCAAATCGCGGAGAATTCAGATTTCATTAAATCATACATCGAGCAAAAACAAGCCGCTGAGCTTGATGGTGCGCCGACGGAGTCTCCTCCCGAGCCTCAAAGGAGAGCAAAAGCCCCGCCGCCACCACCGCCACCTCCTCCGCCGGCCACCACGGGCCCGTCCCTATCAAAGGCCCCGTCTCTCAGTCCCCAGAACACCGGAAGGAGGGCTGCTGCTCCCCCTCCTCCGCCTGCCCGACGTGGCCGTCCTCCCTCACCTTCCCCTACGCGCGAACAGTCACCACCGCCCCCAGCGCGTGACCCATCACCTGTTAAACCACGGTTCAAAGCACCCCCGCCCCTCGCGGACGCAGGCAAATTTGCTCACTCCGCACCACCCCCTCCAGCACGAAATAGAGCTGCTTCAGGTACCAATCTTGCACACCCAGGTCCCCCGCCTCCACCACGGCCACCCAAAACACCCGTAGATGGAAATCTGGGAGATCGGAAAGTATCAGCTCCTCAGCTGCCCACACGTGGCCCTATTCTCCCACCCCGTCGCGATGTAAGTCCAGGATTACCACCGACGTTACCACACAAAGTTCCACATGGTACGTCTGGACCTGTATCTGCACCGCCGCCATCACCCCCACCGCGTCCTCATGCTTCTCCATCTGCAATACCACAGCCGCCACCGGCTTCCGCTCCACCCCCAGCACGTCAACCACCACCCCCCGTATCAGCTCCTGCACCGCCACCGCCTCCACCGCCTCCACCGGGCCCAGCGCCTTCCACTGCTGTTCCCCCTCCACCTCCGCCTCCCCCGCCTCCGCCTTCTGGTTCTGCCCCTCCTCCCCCTCCACATCCTGCACCATCCGCAAGTCATTCCCCTCCCCCACCACTCTCTGCACCTTCCAGTAGTCCTCCTCCCCCTCCGCCTCCGGCTAGCGGTGTTCCTCCACCTCCTCCTCCACCAGCAGGAAGTGGTGGGGCCCCTCTGCCATCAATAGCAGCGGCCCTTCCAAAGTCATCACCAGCGAAAGATGATCTACTAGCATCAATTAGAGCAGGTACCGGTCTTCGAAAGGTCAAAGATACGGAAAAACGCGACCGAAGCGCAGCTATGGTGCCCGGTACGGCTAGCGAGACTCCCTCGACACCAGCGTCTACTGGCGCAGCAGATCCGAATTCGATGTTGGGATCTCTGCAGGCAGCACTGAATAAGCGGAAACAGAAAGTTAGCGGGAGTGGTATGTACCGTGTTTTAATTATCAAGTTTCCTCCGTTGACTCCCTTTCATCTCGTTGATGTTTAGTATGACTGACGACCTCCGCTGCAGATGATGAGAAGTCAGACGATGAGTGGTGATTCTTGGTCTTGGCTCATTGTGGTCATGTTGTGTCTTTTTAATCCCAGTTGTTTAGCCATCCATACACTGCGGTAAAAAAAAACTCATTCCTGCCTTACAGCGCATATTGGTAATCCATTTTGTGTGTCTCTCTCCTGTCTTTATAGTCTCAGGTTAATCGGGCTGGGGAGGCCTTTTATATAATTGTTAAATTGGGGAGTAACAATGGGGTTTTTTGCCTATTTTTTTTCTTAATTTTTTTTGACAGCAAGTGAGCCGATCGATTCTTTAGAAGGTGGGTAAGTTATACATTAGACAGTGTTGGAGCGTACAAGGCTTTCATGCTATTGTTTGTCCGCTGTTGCTTCTTGCAATATGATGTCATTGAGTGGTTCAGATCGTTATCCGGATAAATGTTTCACCGCCCTCCGACAAAAAATATGACTTCGTTCAAGCAACAGATTTGCTTATCAACATCATCCCAAGTTGCAAAAGAACATAGATCTTTCTTGCTTTCCTATCTCTCTTTTTTAAAATTCCACAACTCCTGTCTAACCCCCCATATGAGGGTGAGATATGGTGTCCCCATCAACCCTCAAGCCATCAGCTCCTTCCGCCAATCTGCTCCGTTATCTCCGCTCCCAGTGGGAGTCGGCCAACTACTTCTCCACCAAACTCCTGCATTTCCATAATTATTCAGTAGCAGCAGCAGGGGTGGCACATCGCAGTCTTCCCCCATGCCCCTGGCGATTCCAATCGCAAAGAGTGCAGGCATTCTCGTCATGGACCCTTGACGCAAATGATATATATCCACCGTGCCGCACCGCAACCCTCGAAGCATCTCTGTTCCCCTTCTTCATCCCCCGGCCTCGGAAATCGCTTGCCACCACCACCAAACCCCTCTTCGCCCATGACCATTCCATGCCAACCCCTACCACCCCGCGTTCAACCATAAAGAGTCTTAACAATGGCTATCTGCTCCCATTCAGCAGTACAACGGGCAAGCGAAACCGAAGTGGGAATTTTATTCGCCGGTTGCTGGGTCTGCGGGCGTCTGAGCACGACCCGAAGCTGCGGGTGAATGATTTTCCCATTGGTGCTGTTATGGATGATGGGCCTGAGGGGAGTATGTTTGCTACGGGACGGTCGTTGGCTATGAAAGCGACGAATGAGCCGCGTTTGAGATGTACAGAGCTAGATGAGAATGGGAATGTTACACTGGTTAATGGGGAGTTTAAGAAGAGTGAGCTGATTGCTAAGGTATGGCCTTTTCTCTCTATTTCCCCCCCTGATTTTCCGTTTTGGTGTTTTCGTTGGTTGTCGTTTGTTTTCGTTTGTTTTCGCTGGTTTTTGGTCTGAACTAACTTTGTCGCTGTTGGTGGTTTGTGTTTATGTAGTATGGGCTTCTTCCACGGGATCTCCGCAAGATCGACTCGTCCGTCCTTCCGCACATTCTCGTTCGTCCTAGGGCTATATTGATAAGCCTTCTACATCTGCGAGTTCTCATCAAGTCGGACCGGGTGCTGGTATTTGATGCGTATGGGTCTACGGATTCATATACCCAGTCGGTCTTCATGTATGATCTAGAAGGTAAACTACGTCAGAAAGAGGCGGTGGGCCGCTCTGCACCGGGCTCCCTGCCATACGAATTCCGTGCTCTGGAAGCAGTCCTAGTCAGTGTTACCAGCGGACTTGAGGCGGAGTTTGAAGGGGTAAGGGAGCCTGTTGTGCGAGTTCTTCGGGCGCTGGAGGAAGATATAGACAGAGACAAGCTTCGCCATCTTCTGATATATTCCAAGAGGTTGGGTACGTTTGAACAGAAGGCTAGACTGGTGCGCGATGCCATTGAAGACCTCCTGGAAGCCGACGATGACTTGACGGCCATGTACTTATCGGAAAAGCGGAAAGATATGCACAGGCAGGAGCATGACCACCAGGAAATAGAAATGCTTCTGGAGTCCTACCATAAAGTCTGTGATGAAATTGTTCAGGCTAGCGGGAATCTGGTTACGAATATTCGGAACACGGAGGAAATGTATGACCCCTGCGCTGCATTCCATTCTTTTACACACTTCCCCGTTCCCTCTCTTAATGATGGACGGAAATATTAACATTACTACCACCCCACAGTGTAAAAGCCATTCTAGATGCCAACCGCAACTCCCTGATGCTTCTCGATCTCAAATTCAGCATCGGCACGCTGGGACTAGCGGCCGGCACCCTCTGCTCAGCCCTCTACGGCATGAACCTGAAAAACTTCATCGAAGAATCAGAACTAGGCTTCGCAGCTGTCTCAGGCGCCTGTTTCGCCTTCACCGCCTTCGTATGCGGCTACGGGCTCATGAAGTTGCGGAAAGTCCAGCGCGTACGGATGTGGGGGGAAGCGGGGCTGCATGATCGTGGTATTGGAGCATTGGGGCTCAGGAGCGTTGGTCCGGCGATCACTCATCGGGCTAATTGGCGAGCTGACTCGATTGATCCGCTCTGGAGGGGGGTGGCAGGTGAGACACGCGGGGAGAGGTTGAAAAGGCTCCGTTATGGGGCTGCCGTTTCGTCTTCTGCTTCTTCCCCCGCTGCTGCTGCCGTCGCCGCCGCTTCGACAAGTAGTCGTGGAACTGCTGAGAAGGCGAAACGGGTAGCATCTACTGGAGGGAAGGATGCAAACAGGAAACAGCAGCGTCAACATCAACCCTCGTACAACGAAGCAACCCATACAGGAAATGCGGAATCAGTAGAGATACCAGCAGCCCTGAGCTCCGTCTCGCGATAGGTCTCTCTTTATTTTTCCTTTTGCTATACTGGATACGACTACAAATTATACCACTCACTCACACCTAACTCGTTTTTCTTAATGTCATCCGGACTGCGAACGGCGGCCCCTCTCTCCTTTGCCATATACACAACATCGTAATTATCGCATAGTTGATATGCAAATATTTTCTCCGTCCTATCGTCTCGTTTCTCCTTACAAGAGCCTTTATTTTTCGTGCGACTCCCATCTTCTTTGTTCTTGGCGTTAGGTTAATGCAACGGGCAAACCAGTATACATGGCAAGGTTTCCTCTTTTTGCTACACGGGATAATTAACTATTTGTTCCGAGGTCGCACATGGGCCTTGAATGATAGATCTTTTTTGAGAAACCGTTCCTGTCTTTGTTGGGGTGGAATTTGGACCGGATTTGGATACACGGTGTTCTTGTTTTGCTTTTTTCCATTCTCCTGTTTTATAGCATATACTACTTATACCATCTCTGCTATGCTACCTACTTTTCAAGCGTATATTTATCCATTCCTTATGCATTCAATTTAATGATCTGGCGCAGCGAGATGTTTTGCTCCCAGGATTTGTTCCCATTGCAGCGGTTCACTCCTTTATTTATATGCCCAGCCACTAATTGGTGCAAGTTCAACAGCATCGTCGCACAGGCCCCGGGCTGAACGAGGAACCAAAGCACGATCACCAAAGGAATCGCAACAAGAACGAACGCCTTCTGCTGGTCATTGGCCTATTCCCCCAAATATGGTTTGACCATCAACACCACAATTGAATCCCTGATCCATTGACATAGCCTTTTTGTCACGCAAAAATGGAGAAAACACCACCAGTTTTAACGGAAAGGGTCTGCGGGCGCCTGGCTGAGTACAGAGTTTCAGATCCAGTCATAGTTCATGTCCGGAGTTGATTGATTTTTCTCCAGAGACACGGACCCTACGGGCAGCACCTTGGCAAACGGGATGAAGTTCTTCCAGCCAGCTTTTTCCCCGATGGAAATTAAACCCACTGTTGCGGGGGCAGAAAGAAACGGGAAAACGCCATTGACATTGACAGCCCTTTGAACTGCTCCTGTTTTCCGTCCATGTTTCTCCTATCATCGAGTTTTGAAAGGCGGCGGCCACCCATACGTAGCATGGAACCGTGCCGGACTGGAATTCAGGAAGGGACACGTTCACATAGCTCCGTAACCCCGTGTAATCGCAATTCCGTTTTGTCCCGAGACAGTTGCATCCCAGAACCCTGTTCAGGAACTAATTTAAGTGGATTTTGTTATTCTCAAAGTCAACGGCGCCAGAATCCAGCGGTCACTGTCAACGCTGATATCGGTGTTGCTCCAGATAGCTGTGTGACTGCGCCAGGGGTTTGTGACAGGAACGAAGGTTTGAATACAAAAGAAGGGCTGCTTGCTAGAAAGAAAAGTCAGAGTTCAGCATATTCAAAGTCAAAGTCTTTGGAAATCTGTGCAAAGTGTCGAACGGAGATAGCCAACGAATTCGTCTCCGCTTTTGGAGATATTTATCATCCTCAATGTTTTACATGCCATGTATGTTTCCCATATCCGGTTCACACTACTACACCACCTACCAGCCATTGCCTGATCTAAGTTAACGGGGCCATCTAGGACTGCCAAAAAGTTTTATCCCACGAATTCTTCCCGGTGCATGAGAAAAACGGACCAGTTCCTCTTTGCGAGACAGATGTCTTTCGCCGATTAGATATGCTATGCAGTAAATGCGGTGGTGCCCTACGAGATTTATACATCAGTGCAATCGGACGAAAGTACCACATGAACCATTTCACTTGCCATTCCTGTCAAAAGATCATTGGATCCGGTGATAACTACTACGTTCATAGAGGACAGGCTTATTGCAAGGACGACTACTCAGCGAAATATGCGGATCCTTGTGACAGCTGCGGGATGCCTGTTATGGATCAATATATCAAGGATTATTCACCAAAAAAGCGAGTATGGCATGACCGTTGCTATAAGACTCATAAACGTCACAATCCTGACTCGTCCCTGGCGGAATTACCTCTTCTAGATGACCATGATACCGAACCTTCAACTAGTGAGGAGGAGAAAATTCTGAATAAGTTTGAAGAGATGGTTATTTCGCTTATTGGCGACAGCCTTGGGCATCTCGAATCCGGTTCCAGAGAGGAAATATCAGATGGCATATTAGCTCTGATTACTGCTGTTGGAGTTCTCTTTTCCTCGATTGACATTGTTGATGACTCTAGGCGAAAGGCCGGCAAACCACGTAAGTGCATTATTGAAGGGCTCTTTATTCAAGATGATTGACTGTATTAGCTTTATCCGACAGCCCAGAAATCGACCTGCTGAGGGCGAAGCTTACCGATTTCATGACGGTGTCTCTGTCCAGATCCCAGCAGCGGACAAGGTCAATGTCAAGTCATCTCAAAGGAATATATGCGGCAAGCTCTGGCCTATCTTATTTCATCAAAAGGGTCATCAAGATCCTGGGGGAAAATGTGCTCAATAATGATCCATCGGGTACACTTGACGAATATCTGAATTCCTTAGACCAGTTCCCGGAAGACTTACCATCAACAGCGATGGTCTTCTCCAAATCTGAGCTTAATAGGGATGATGCAGAACTGTGTCTGGCCTGTAATGTTCCCATAAGGACGGAATGCGTGAGCTGGGGCGGGTATCTACGACGCCAACATCTAACTTGCAAAAGCTCCTGCGTGCACTGCGATACCTGCGATACTCCAGAGAATCTATATCGAGTATTAATTAGTACCCCCGGTAATAGCTACGCACTATGTTGCACCAGCTGCCAGGATATAAGCATATCGGGCTACACCAACCCAGACTCTGTGATACCATGTACATATATTACCAAGCTACAGCAATACATATTCCTCCTCAGGGTGCAGTTTAAACGACTCGGAAACTCCCCAGATGCAAGTTATGACTATATCCAGACGGCAACAGCGACGCGGACAACGCCTCCTCTTGAGAAACCCTCCAAGCCGTTGGATAAAGGTATTTTTGGCCGACTGTCATCCAACAGCGATCTCATCGCCGAGGAACAGAAGACAAACAATATCCGGGATCGGACAGCGGCGGACACATTTGCGATTGGCTCGAAGATTGGGAGTTCTTATCAAGGTTTGAGGAAAGGGTTCTTTGGCAGGTCGAGGAACAATAAGAGCCATATCCGGCGAAAAACGGCAGAGAAGATCATGCAAACGCTACACTAGGGGTGACGCTCCTGCTAACCTTTCTTTAAGTTTTACTTTAATAAAATGTTGAAAGCACAAGCCAGAAGGCAAAGATATTATCGATTGAATAGAATCACCTAATATTTTTGAGCAACAGGGCGATGTTTTTAGATTTCAAGTTCTTTATTCAACATCTAATTCCTGACGTTCCCATCTCTGAAAGAAACAGGAAGTAGTTGAGTTCCTATCTATGCAAGAACAGATATTGCCCAAGTTTTGGCTGGTTATGGTAATACATTGACACTGACTCTAGCCCACATCCCAGAAAACCTGCACAGCGGCTATTTTGAATTTTTTTAACGCTCGCTACCAATTTCACCAATATTCTTCGGATTGCCCGGATCCAACCATTTAGTCTTCCCCACAACCAGCTTCGAAATTCATGCGACATATTTGATTATACCATCCGGGCCACTCAAGCAACGTGGCATGGATAACCCCTGGTGCCAAACAACGAAAACCATCCTCGACATTTTTATGCACTTAGAATGAATATAGACAGCGGGCATTAAGCTTTAAGCATTAAGCATCAAGCATCATGGATACTATATACACCCACCCACAAATGCCGGAAAAAATATTTCCATCCAGCTCTTGGGTTGCTGCTTTCATCGCTGTTACTCCATTCGAAAATTGCATACATATCCAATCCAGAGACGGCTAAATGTGCTACTCTCACTGACCGCGAGAGCCACCGATATAAATGTCCTCGCCACCCCGTGCAGCACAAGAATAATTCCACGGTTCCTTTACACCTAGATGGTTGCTTCGAATGCCATTGGACTGCACAGTAACATTCCAGTTGCCCATCTAGTCTCGCCACTGTTAACGACGTGCATGATGGCGCCTGGGCCCCGATTGGCTTTTGCGCTTGGGTTGGGTACGTGGGCTTTATCGGTTCATGCACATTCGGCATGGAATTTGCGGGTGATGGAGTCTCTGGTCGCGTTTGGGGATAGCTACACGGATGAGTCGAGGCTGAGATACTTTATTGAACATAAGGAACGCCCTCCTGTTGGGTGGATAGCTCCTGAGGTAACTACATATATATATATATATTTATGTGGTTTTTCCTTTGATTCTCCTATTGTATTTGATATTCATTTCTATTTCATTTCCAGTCAAAAGATGTTTGTTGGTGTAGTCTTTATGTGTGAGGCTGGCTGTATAGGCTGCTTTCATTTCAAGCAGTGATACCCCAACTAGCCCAAAAAGGGCAAAATGCTGGTTTTGATTGTTTCATTTGTCTGAGCAATAAAAATAACTATTTCTTTCAGACAAGAATTACCTCAAGTGGTGGCACCGTTTGGGCCCGTTACGCAAGCCGTTACACTGGCGCACAGCTATACAACTACGCCGTCTCCGGCGCCGTATGCTCCAATGACATCACACCTCGATTCTTCGGACCGACCAACTCTACGTTCCCTTCTGTTGAACAGTATGAGATCCCCGCGTTCATGGCAGACGCCAGTTTCCAAGATCCAGCGACGGGGATACCATTCTTGAATCTCCCCCGGCGGGAAACCGTCTATGCCATTTGGATCGGGACTAACGACCTAGGCAATGGGGCGTTCATGACCGATTCGCAGGCTGCAGGGACGACCTTGCCAGACTATGTTGAATGCGTCTTCCGCTCGCTTGATAGGCTATATGATCATGGAGGCCTGTATTTCGTGCTAATGAACTTAGCCCCATTGGATTTGTTGCCTCTATATGCCCTACCGGAGAGGGGCGGAGTGAGGCGGCCGCCGTTTTGTCCGAACAAGCCGGAGAATATTACGGAGATTTCCTATCGGATGAAACAGGCTGTTGTGGCTGTGAATGAGATCATGAAATTAAAGGTCGAGATTTCTATGTGGCATCGATATCGAGGGGCGGGTATTGCCCTCTTTGATACGCATTCGTTGGTAAGTCAATTTCGCCTCTTTGCCTGTTTTCTTTAGAGCATTATACAACGTCAGGTGAAAAAGGCCAGTTGCAAAAAAACACAAAAGCTTTACATCGGAAGAAAAATTAATCTCCCAACCAGCTTTCGGACATGTACTTCAATCCAAGGCGTTACTTAAACGGCACGAAACCCCCCGATATCCAGGGCTGGATCAGACACTGCGATCACAGGGGACAAAACTGCGACGATCAGCCCTCTCCTGACTCGTACATGTGGTATGATGAGTTGCATCCCTCTGAACAAACCGGTCGGATCCTTGCGCAGCATTTCGTGGAGGTTGTTAAAGGGACCAGTGCATTTGCTACGTATTTCAGCTGAGAGGCGAAAGTGAGTTAGGAAGGGGAGGTATATGGGTTTTGGATGTCAGTCATGATAGTTGGCGATGTATAGGTATACAAATATTTTCATCGGTCTCCGTTGGTAGAGGTTTGGCAGGTTGACTTGGATTTACTTTGCGTCCATGCTGCTCCGCATTTATAATCCTGATAATCAAGGGAGACATGTTGAGTTTATGAATCATTTTGCTTCGAAAGCTCGAAACTTATAGTAGTTCTTCTCTCAAAAGTATAAACCGCGAGCATTGGTTCTGTTCCCCTGGAGAATTAGTTCTATCATAGATCTGACAAGTTACACTCGAACCACGGTTCCAACAAGCGGCAAGATAAAAGTTTCCACTTGTCAATCCTCATGACAAAACCCTAAAATATAAAAAATTCAACTTTTCATTCTTCTGTCTCCCTTTCAGCTTCAACTCTAATATTTTGCGCCGTTCCTCTCCAATTCTCAACTACCTACTATCATATCATATCTGTAAAAGAGCCATGCCTCTCTCCAAATTTGATGGGCTCAAACTTCCTGCCTCTGCGGATTTCCACGGTACGGTCGTTCACCCACAGTCCAAAGAAGCTTTACCCCTCACTCCATCTATCCCGCTGAAAACAAATTGAAAATACTCATATCTTCTACCTTTTCGCGGAAACCTCCTAGAGCGGTAATGAGCTAATGAGAAATTGACAAATTTAAATAGTACATTTGCGAGATGGTGACATGATGGAGCTCGTGGTCCCCACGATCAGGCAGGGGGGCGTCAACACCGTCTACGTTATGGTACGATATCTTCTCAACCCCGAATCCACATTCGCAGGAAAACGGGACCGGAGAGACCCGTCTATACAGTATCCTAAATGACTATCCACAGCCCAATCTCGTTCCTCCAATAACCACCGTCTCGCAAGCGCTCTCCTACAAAAAACGTCTTCAAGCTCTCGAACCCCGCGTCACTTTCCTTATGTCCCTTTACCTCCACCCCTCCATCACCCCCAAAACAATAATCGAAGCTAAGCAGAGCGGCATCACGGGTGTAAAATCTTATCCAGCAGGCGTAACCACAAACTCTGACGCAGGCGTCATTGACTATGCAGCCTTCTACCCGGTCTTCGCTGAGATGGAGCGACAAGGCCTGATTTTAAACTTACACGGCGAATGCCCCTCACACGGAGATATTACAGTAATGTCCGCGGAAGAGCGCTTCCTACCCACACTCCTAGATCTACACTCCCGCTTCCCGCGCCTCCGTATTATTGTGGAGCACCTCAGCACCGCTGCAGCAGTGGAGACGGTGAAAACATGCGGCCCGACAGTCGTGGGAACGATCACGGCACATCACCTGTCGTTAATCGTAGATAATGCATTCGGCGACCCATTCTCCTTCTGCAAGCCCGTGGCGAAATTGGTGACGGACAGAGATGCACTATTACGGGCGGCGACGTCGGGAAGCACGAAGTTCTTTTTTGGGTCGGATAGCGCGCCACATTCGTCTGTGGCGAAGAGGGGCGGGGATAAGATTGCTGCTGGCGTTTTTACGCAACCATATGCGACACAGTATGTTCTCGACGCGTTTGAGAAGGGGTGCGAGAGCGGTGTGTTGAAGGAGGAGGACATCACGAAGGCAGTTTTGGAGAGCTTTTTGGGCCGCTCTGGAAGGGAGTTTTATGGTATTGAGCAAGAGGAGAAGGAATTTATTACGCTGAAACGGAGGAAGGGGAGGATTTTGGATGTGTTGAAGTCGGACAAGACGGATGTGGTGCCATTTAGAAAAGGGGAGGAGACGTGGGCGTTGTCATGGGAGTAAGTGAGGGACTGGACAAGAGATAAAGGGGGTTTTTAAAAGGGATATTGGATTTTTGCTTGATGTCACATATCAAACCCCTGAGAAATATGATATCCAATATTGTTCAAATATCGGTCTACACGTGAGTTTGCCGAAGAGCAAACTTATTCCAAAGTTGGCCTCGAAACGTTGGGCAGGGGAAATAGAATCAAGACCTCTTCCTTGTTCCCGGCGCTTTCAATCCAAAGATGATAATTATTGTTAAAATTTTAATGAGAAGAATATAATGTCATCCCCGGTCAAAGGACTTGCTCAGGGATGCAATGGTAATTAAATCGGAGCAGAAGAAATAAAAACACATTCCTATCTAATTCCTGAGCCTCGTATGCTGTATTGGTATATTGGCTAAAAGAAAATTTATAAATAACCAACGACAGTAGAATGGAACAAAAATCGGGCAAGAAAAGATTTTTCCAATACCTTATAAAAACAAAACGTTTATGGGCATATTCCATTTCTGTTGACCGAAATCAGCACATACCAACATAAATAAGAATGAGACGGCATTACCCCTATCCCCCCGACCCCTCCACATCAGACACTATTTTTCTTCTCCGCATAACAGCTACGATAATTTTCTCCAGCGTACTGCCTTGTCCGCGCATCCCGCACACTCTGTGACCTAACAACATTAGCTGCAGCTTCCATGCTCCGATCACTATTATAGGACAGACGACCTTCCATACTCCGGCGCGAACTGGTGTTTGTCCTCGTTGTTCCTGCTGTAGATACGCTGGCGTATGAACAGCGGTATGCATCTTTCTTGTTGATGTCGCTACTTGGAGAAGCAACGCTGACGGGGGGCGTTGAGGTGACGCTCCGCATGAGGTCTGCGTCGAAGGTGACACCTACTTCCAGTGCGGCTATTAGGGCTGCCTGGAGCATTTTGTTCTGGCGCTCGAGGAAGGCGATGCGGGCTTCGCATTGCGAGTGTAGAGTGGGGTCTTGTGTGCGGGCCCGGGTAGGTAATGGTTGAGGGGACGAGGAGGATTGGGGGTGGTTGCTGGCGCTGTTTCTGTTGCTCTTTGTGCTGGTAGAGCTGTTGGTGTTATTGCTGTGATGGGTTGTGGTATGCTGGTTGAGGCTAGGTGGACTGGGGATATCGTGGGAGAAACGCTCACGGAGAGGAGATCGGGATACATGGGGGTTGTCAATCCGGGTGTCAGAGCTATTGCCTGTGTAGAAGAAGGTGTTTTTGCGATTGTTGTCTTTTGGGCTTGGGTTGGTTCTTAGGCGGGAGCGGTCGCAATCTAGACCGCCAGCATGCTCTTCGGTAGATACTGGAGGAGACTGAGGGGTAAGAGGACGAGCGCCGCTAGTTATCATTTCTTCTCTTGGGCCATCGAGCTCCAGTCTGGATATCTGGTGCTCTGCTTGGGTTGACCAGTTCTGATGAGGTATATCGGTTGCTGAACGAGCACTCTTACTCGACCAGCTTTTATTGCTATTGCTTCTGTGCGTGCTTCCGCTGGAACTTGACACGCGTACTTCGGCCTTGCGGGCAGTGGTAGCATCCAAAGATACAGTAGATGGTGGCAAGGTCACCAGTTGATTTGCGATTAGAAGCGTCTTGCTTGTGGAAGAACGCAGAGAGGATATGGGAGGATCCGCTGGCAGGGGCATGCTAGGAGGAGAACCTGGCGTATCGTTACAACGGGCCTTGGGGGAAGCCGTCGACCCATTCAACGGTCTATCTTTCGTCTGCTTGAGGTCCTTTGGTTGCTCACACTCGCTTTGCATTCCTTCTGATGTGCTGCCATGCAGAGCCGGAGCTTGGTATGCATCCCTTTTGGTGCATCCGCGAGCAGCACATATATCTCGCATTCGCAATGCAAACACTCGCTCTGCTCTGGACATCTGGTCCAGTGGTTTTGTTGTATCCACTTTCAACGGTTCAGAAGTCTCCAAAAAGCATAATTTTTTAGACTCCGATGATGCTTTCGGAGTTAAGCGTCTTCCAACATTGCTTTCCATCGATCGCCGTTCCATAGGTCCAGCGAAAGTAAACTGTTCTTGTATATTTGTTATTTTGGCTTGGTGATGGGAATGATCTCCGGTCTCAAGGCACGAAGGATAGCTGTTGGGAGCTTGAACAAACGTCATGTCCAGTGACGGTGACGGCTCTTGTGGTAAAGGCGAAACTGCCAGAGGAGATTTCTTCGACAACAATATTCGATTCCCACTTCTGTTTGCCATTGTCGGCTCGTTTGGTGTCGAGGTCACCGCATGTGGCTGCTGTATCTTATCTAGCGAGGGAATAGAAACTGCAGAGTGAGGGGCATCCGACCAGCGACCCGGGCGAGGGAAAAGAGAAATCAACGACTGCGCTTCAGTGGAATTTCGGGGGAACGCTGGTGAGAAACCACGACAACAACTCTTGAAATCAGAGGTCCGGCCGCGGCCTGGGTGATGATGATTGAAAGCAGCGAATAGCGACGAGCTACGGCAAGCCCCCTTACTGGAGCTTCTGGGCGGTAGACACTGAAGGTCGATGTGAGAAGAGTCGGATGGCGGGCAAGGCAGCGGTTTAGTTGTCTTTGTATCTCCTTTTACTTTGTAATCCCAAGCAGCTGCAACTGGCACTATACCATGGAGAATTTCTGAGGATTGTGGGGCTGGACCCGTGTTATTCAACGGGGGGGGATTATTTTTATCTTGAAACTGGAGCCGTAAAGGTGGAAGAGCTAAGAAGGTTGATGAACCCGCCGCAACAGTCTCCTGAAGAAGACAAGGCTTGAAATGGGATTCCTCTGGGTGATGGGAATTCTCGGGCTTAATCTTATTTTCTTCTGAGAAGCCCTCCCCGCTGCAGCTCCCAGCCGGGATGCTGCTGTGGCAGCCGTCTGGCGCTGTGGATAAGACGCCAGCATCCCTAGCCTCGGGAGGTTCCAACACTAAAGAGTGCGGCTCATTGTCTGAATGGTCAGCATTTGTGCCAGAAGGACGTGCAATAGTGGACCCTTCAGCGCTTTCAACGCCACGGCCCAGGGTGTTCTGATACCCTGGAGCGAGCGCTGACCTCGCCTGCCAGCACACTTCCTCTGGGGCCCGTCGTTGCTGGGAGAGCCGTCTCACCATCATATTCCGGCCATCATTTTCGCTGCAGTTTTTGTCTGGTGTAGTTCTCTCGTGCTCGGGCGACAAAGACGGTAGCCTGCCTATTCCTGGATATAAAAAGTCGCGATTCTCGTAATCGATCAATCTCGACTCCCTTCTGGTGCGCGTTCCAGCAACCATCATCCACTTGCGCCGCTGAGGGTTGCGACGTTGATCGTCCTCAGCCAGGTGCAATTCCACTTCTCCGTTCATGTTCCTCTTCTTTCTCGCCTTCGGAGTGGTTCTCCACATCCTCGACTTTGGGCTCTCCGTTTGGACGTGATTGCCCGTTTTTGCAGCTGTGTTGTTCTTGCGCCATGTTATTGACTTGGTGCTGTCTTCAAGTTGTCGCAGCCGCTTACGACCTGATTTCAACAGCCTCGCCACGATCTGATACGGGGATGAATGATGCATTGGCTCATGCTGGCATTCAAGATATCTTATGAAATCAAGGGTATTCGTATAACTGGCGCCGTATGTGCTCGCTGCTGTCATCAGACACGGTCCGTACTGGCTCACTTCCTCAAGGGAATTATTCCATGTATCAATCTGGATGTTCCCCCATCGGCTGAGGGGCCGTTTATCAGGTAACGACATTGATGCTCTTTTGCCCACCGCTATTATCTCGTCCCTTGACCGCCCAATAGGTTCAGTGGGACTGGATGCACCAGGTCTTGCGGGGACCACGTCTGGACGTTACACCTGGTGTGAGCTGTCAGCCAGACGAACATCTATGGAGGCAACTGCTGTTGAAAATGGTTTCCTGGATTATCTTTTGTCATACAGAATTAGCTAAGGGGAGCCTTCTCTGGCTACTATGCTACTTGTTCTCGAGTTCGAATTTGCACGCACAGCGAAACAGACACTTAAAATTGTAGGTACATGTACATGCAATGCAGATATAGACATCTTGTCTACGAGACACTCCTGCATGAGCGGAAACCCGCAGTTGAACAGCAAACACCCCTCTTCATGTTGCGAAAGTTCAGGCTAGATATAGATCAGAGATAACGTACCACAACACAGCGGGGGATGCAAGGACGTTAAGATATAGGCTGGATGACAGGTCCGGGGACGGATGGCTCTGTGCGCTAAATAGTGGTGAAACTCTTGTGTTGGAACGCTCGAAAACAACAGTAGATGCCTAGCCGCGGGGTGAATGAATATACCTGTATTCTATCCCAAGACCCCGAGCTCAGATGAAAAAAGCATTGAAGCGAATCATCACGTCAAGTAACAAGACCGTGGCCGGCACCGTGGGGGAACAATGGAGTGATCCCACGCAAAAAAGGGCTTGCCAGAAGCCCGCAGGGTTTGGTTATTAAGTCAACCAACCTGCAATAGAATTCATGAGATATCGGAGGAATATATGTTTCCACCACTCTGGAGGAGCTGGTTTTCTCTTTAAACGCTTCAACCAAGGCCAACCACAAAGAGGTGACAGACAAAACAGCACGGGGTCGGGGAAAAATAAATCTATCAAGTTGATAGTCTCAAGCATGGACACATTAGTCCGTCGAATCCAGGGCCTGCGTACAGATATCAAACCTGATGCCCCAAAGCTAACCTGGAATGCCCTTGAGCATCCCATCTAAGATCTCACTTTGTCGATCTTCCGCGGTATCGTACGGTCAACCCCCGCTTTGTTGCCCAGATATATTATCTACGAACTGTGGCTGTGACAAAACTTGGATGGCATCCATCAATTGGCTTCGTGAACCGGAGAAGCTTGTTCCAAAACGAAACAAAAGAGGCTGGGCTAGCGGGCGATCGTCGCTGAATATCCCTGTAAAGAAACGCCCAAAATGCATATTCATGTAGACATGAGAGATCCACGAATAACAGGCTTAGTTGATGGCAACGCAAAGGCTCACCGACCCTTTGGCTAATCTGTCCATTTAGGATTGTCGTCTGGTGTTGTCAACCGGTTTAATGCAAGACAAACCCAACCCCTCAGTGGCGCACCGCTGAAAGACAATATTTGGGTGAAAATAAGAAACAAACTCAAGGATGGACAACTTGTAGTATAGAGAGAAAGATTACATTGCCCCTCTTTCAACGCCCAAATTGACCATGAACGGGCACAAAAAGAAAAGTTGAATTTCCTGTATCAAGAGCCAATCCGAAAAATAAATAAAAATAAAATTGTCGACAAGAAACCAAGAAACTTTAAAATTATATCAAGGAAATACCCAAACCCCGTTCTCCAAATCTCTGCAAGCAACTTCCATCACCGTCAAGTGGGTGCAGTCCAATAATGAGAAAAATTCCAACTGTCTGCTGTGGCAAGGCGGCACCAGCTTGACCAGGAGACAAAAAAAAAGGAAAAAGAAAAAGAAAAAAGCTTCGTCCTTGAAATCCCGACCAGCACAAAATAAATTTTCGAATAACTAAAAGTTCATCTCACTGCATAGTGACCCATGTTATCCGCAGCTCTACCCCTGGTTCTCGATGTGCCAGGCCTCGGGTGGATTCCGCTGAACGAACGCACAAGACAGTGCATGTCGTGGTTGTGACAAGAGCCGACGGCGTACGGGTTTTCGAATCAATCAGTTCAACCCCAATATACGGTGTGGACATACCGATAGTGTAATTGTTTGTTGGCGATGGGGTTGGTTTTCTCTGCGCGTCTCAGATGCTTGCCTGGTTTTCGGATCGCAGATTGTCACCGCATCTGAAGCCATGAATAACTAACTTTGGATTAGGAGTGAGCCAGAACCCGTTCACTTACTCTATAATGTCTATTTTTCAGAAGAAATGGTGAACAACCTCTCCGGAAAAGAGGTGAACATATCATCCACCCAACCTCTCCGGGAAAGAATAGAAACTGAACTGCCTATAAACGGGATATATGGGTAAACCCTACATACTTCCCCCTTGCTTTTCCATCCCAGCCAGAACAATTCTATTATCATGAAAAATGGATATGAGACATAGTATATCTCGACGGTCGCTTTCAATCCAATCTCTCAAAGAAAAGTTCTCCGAAACATATCTCTTTAGAATCAGCTATAAAGGAACAGCAAACGGGCATCGGTAATTGGAACTCGTCGAGAGGGAAATACGGATCATGGTCACTCTAATTTGCACATATTCGTTCCTTCGACAGACACTGACAAGCAAACGGAATCCGTAGTTAAACGTTTAGACTTGGTTAGCTTTGAGCCTCCTGAAAAGTCAATTCAGAAGAAAGAAGAGAACGGGACGGATTCGACATGCCTTGACATGGCTTGAGCTTGCGCACGCACTCCCCTGAGATCGTTGTCAGATGCCTGTTGCCAGTTGGTGGACTAACTATTCGTCATTCATGACGCACGCAAAGCTACCCGCGAAGTAATCTTGGTCGCTATTCTCACGGAGTAGTGAAAGGAGGCCAATAAATTGATCAAGCCAGTCAGAGACTCCGAGGGGGGGTAGACGGGAAGTCTGATCAATCAGCCGTCACATATCGGTCAATGAATCCATGCAGACGCATTAATAGTTTTTCTCGTTAGTTAGAGATCTCAACTTGCAGGAGGCGTTGAGATTTGGCGTTCTAATATTCATGCTTCCTAGGCAATCGGTTGATTTTTCTGCCTGATGGAGATTCTGTCATTGGGGAAGAATGAACGTCTCTTGCTGTTCAGATTTGATTGATTGTTTTATGCTTCTTTTATTCTCTTTTCCTATCTTCGTTATGTATTCATGGGTGGAGCTGATTCGCCGTAGCTATTTGTAACTGCACGAGATGAACAGCAGTTCAACTTCAAATGATAACTCCATGTTTTCTGGGTCTAGTTTTCATATAAAACTTCCCTAAAGAAATGGAGAGATATAAAGAAAAAAATGTCCCCTGCATATACATAATAAACATGATGCCAGCACATTGCTTTACAGCCGTGATTCGATAGGGTGATATCTTCATTTGTTCATCCGTATGCGTGAACCAACAGCCATAAAAGTTCTTGTAGAAGAGATTGCAAGGACTGCTGTGCAAGAGGTGATCTCAATCAGACCCAAAAATCTTATCAATATTAAACAATATAGCTGTTGTTAGGCAGCCCAAACGCTTGTAAAAATTTGGCCGGCCTTTGGTTGCTACATTTCTCATCCACATGCATCATATTACAAGGATGTAAACAGACTGTATTTGCAAGTCAGCAAATACCATGGAGAGTAAGTTCGGTTTCGTCGATCTTCTCACCCGATCATTCAAGTATGCCAGGGGTGCGTATCTTTTCTTTCTCTCTCTTTTTGCCACCAGGCCAGAATAGAATATGAGGTCAATCCTTGGATTTCTTGGAGAGGGATTCACCCCACTCAGAAGCAGTCAATAATTCATCTGAAAAATGAGCGAAAACGAGAAGTAAGAGGAGTAAGGAATGAAGGGCAGATATTCCTGATATCCAATGCAGGAAGAAACGGGATGCAACGACAATCCCCCAGTTTAATCCGCATCAAACGCATGGATGGGGAAACCGAGTCCTGGAAGCCCAGGTGTTGCATGTCGATTCAACTGGATATCCACATTGGAACGGTTGCCCGCCATCTCGTGCTGTGCGATGTTACGCATGCTGTGTGATGTTGCTGTTTGTACCAAGACGTATGCGTTTCATCCATATAAATAAACACATAACTAAGTGTCATACACACTCTGTGGATGGCAATGATATGCTGTCCATGTGTGTAAACGTGCATACATGGACAGATTCTTATAGATGGCCATACGCATTATTCGCGTTTCGTGTGCACGTTGAGCTGCTGAGCGCCGGACATTGCATCTTTCAATCCTGTTCCATTTAATTCCTGAAAACATATTGTCGAGCTGGTTAATCCACAGCTGGAGATCTGAGATCCGAAATGTATGGTATTGTATTTCTTCTCCTCTGCGGCGTCGAAAAAACCCCATGATATTGAACAGACGAATATAAGTTAAACATAACGACGATGACTGCCATAACAGCCTACGAGTTAAGGGAACAGAGACAGTAAAAAATCATATCTTTGAAATTTGTCTCTCCCGCCTTTTAAGTAACCAGAGTAACCAGAGATGTCCCATCCCAGATTCCGAAGCACATAATTAAAAAAAAAGAAAAGTAGAAGGAAACAAAGCCTTAAATGTCATGAATCTGCTTGAAATTGTTCATTCTGAACACTATCTAAACCAAAATTGATGTAGAAAACGATAAAATCAGCATTAAAAGACAAAATTGGTCGGGAAGGGAGAAAGGGAAGGGAGCACTGCCAAATAAAAGAAGAAAATAATGCTGGGAATCGGCAAAACCTGTGTATCAAACGCCGGCAAAATGCTTTCTTTGCTCGCGGTTCTTTCATATGCTCTACTCCATTTAATTCTTAAAATCATGCCACGTATGAAATGTGAGACGGGGAAGAAAGACACGAAACCAAGGACTCGCATGGTAAAATCGTTGCAGGGGGGATGTAAAACATTAAAAAAAACATGAAGGAATATTATCCAAAAAGTGAAACCAAAGGCCAGGGGATTGAGCAGGCCAAAAAAATAAATAAAAATAAAAATAAAAAGAGGCCAAATGCATGGCAATGTTCATGTACAAGCATTAAAGGAGAAGGCAAGGTAAGGGTGAGTAATACAAGGCTAAAGAGAAATATAATACAACATAAGAAAGGAAGTGTATAAGAAATTAGACAATAAAAAAAAGGTTCTATCTTCTCTTAGGTTGAATGAATATACTTGTTGGCTTCTTTTTGCGTATTGGTGGTGGCGGTCCTCTCACTTTGATGTTGCGACGGGGAGATGATGTATTGAGATGTGGAGATGCAGCAGGTGGTAACCCGGTCTTTCGGAATAGATTGTTAGGACCACACGCACCTTCAGGAGACAAAAGAAAAAAAGGTAACATTGTAAACTTACATTTGCGGGATGTTGGTCCAATATGGGCCCAGGACCGGCTGTGAGTCCAGGCCCAAAGCTCGGACTGCGATATTGTTGTTGCTCTTTAGTGCTAATCGGTTGATATCCATTTCCAGGTTTTGACGGGATTACAAGATCCTAGATACAAACATGCAGTGGGTAAATAAAGGCACCTTGTATTGCATATTTAATGAAGAGGATAGAACTTACACTGCTAGGAGGAGCAATGACATTCGGGTCAAATTTTTTACCTCTTGGGCCGATTGGTGCAGTCGGAGGCGGCGCAAACTGAGCATTGAACTGAGCATTCTGTTTCCGGACTTTCACGTTTTTCAGTGGAACAGGAGGATCTGGTTCCATGCGTTTCCGCTTTCCGGAATCATCCTGCTCAGGATTCGGCAGGTCCCGTCTTGGAGGTGTTGCCCTGAATATGGGTGGTGATCTATTTGGGGAGATATTAGAGGGTACTTGGATAGGGGGTACCTTCGGGACATGATCGCCGAGCTGCCTTAGACGCTGCCGTTCGAGATTGGCCTTTTGAACCTCAGCATGGATGCGTTCGGAGTGAGCAATTTTATCCTTCTGCCGCTTGGGGAGGATGACGCTTGATTTGCATGCGGGAGCTAGATGCCCAAACTTTCCACATTGAAGACAGCGTTCTTCCTTGCAATCTCTCTTGGAGTGGGAAGCGTCACCGCATCGCCGGCAGGAGCCCTGGGCGGCCATTTTGGCAGCAAGGTTGTCGCAGTTTGGCGTCATATGCTCGTAACTTCCGCAATATCCACACATGGCGAGCTCGTTCAAACCGAATTTGCCTCCAGAAGGGCCATCGGGTACGGCTGAAGGAGATAATTTTGGACTGTGACCCGGCGTGTCTCTGGATGAGGTATTGTGAGCTTCAGCAATACTGGACAGGCGGCCTGTCGAAAGGGAAGATGATGGACGACTACTCCCATTATCGTTTGGAGTTGTAGATTGGGGCCTAGACGACGGGGAGCATATCGCGCTCCTCGGGGCATCGATCATCTCCACATCGTTGAGCTCTATATCTGGAATAATCTGCGGCTTCTGCAGGATTCCCAAGATATCTCCCTGGGTGACCAATTTTCTGGTATGTGCATCATTAATCAACCCTCTCCAGAATTCGCCTTGAACGAGTGACTTCGAGCTTCCAAGAACCCAAAGTGATGACTTTGCGCGTGTCAATCCGACGTTCATCCGACGAATGTCAGCCAAGAAACCGATGCCTCGATCAGATGCGCGAACACAAGAGAATATAATGATTTCGCACTCTCGTCCCTGGAAAGCATCTGTCGTATTGAACTCGATCATAGTGAAAATCGAACTCCCGTACTTATTGGCAAACTGGTTCTTCATTTCCCTAAGCTGGCCTTTATACGGAGTTATGATTCCGATTTTATTCGTAAAGTCATAGATTTTAAAATCTGTAGTCAACCGCTCGTAAAGTTTCATGGCCACGCGGACTTCCGCCAAGTTGACCAGTGAATGACCTTTTGGAGCGCTGGAATGGAGTCCCTGGACGTCGAAAAACCGATAGGGTCCGAGAAGCTCACTCTTATGCCAGATTCGAGATCGTAGTTTATCCATGTCTGGCCCATCCTGAAGTCGACCGTCATAGAATGCAGCACTGGGGAAACGGCTGATTTCAGGATGCATTCGGTACTGGGTATCTAGGAGATGAACGTCCTGCGGATGATTGGCCTGCATTCTTACGAACAAACTTTGTTCATACTGGAAGCGTGATGCCACCTTGGATAGGACCGTAGGCGGCAGCTGCTTAGGGTCACCGACAAGAATACATTTAGAGCAACCATACTTAAGCGGGATAAGAGCACTCAATTCAATGGACTGGGCTGCCTCATCGATGATTACCGTTTCAAATTCAATATCCAAAGACTGGAACATTTCATGACCGCTTCCGCTCAGTGTCGCACATAGCACATGGGCGTCCTCGAGAATATTTTGCTGTATCTTCCTCCTTAAAAGGTCAGCATTGCGAGCTGCAACCAGGTTACTGTCCCTGGCATCGTCAATAGCTTGACTAAGCTGGGCTTTCTTCCGTTTCAACAGGTCGAATTCTCGTTCCAACTCCTCGGGAACGCGTTCACTCTTAGCGCGGCACTGGTCAATTCTCTCGCGAACTCCATTGAACTGGGTACACGCATCCTTATGCTCCAGATAGAACGTCTGAAGATCCTTCTCGTTGCCGGATTTGCGAGCAGTTCCACTAAGCTTTTCGTTCACAAGCTCATCCAAAGTTACATCGATGACATTTGAATTTATTGCGTCGCTACGACCGAGACGGACAACAGATATCTCCCGCTTGTGTCCGTCCGTCGAAATAACCCCCTGCTTGAATCTCATTACCAATTCATCAACGGCTGCGTTACTCGGTGCACAGACAAGTAGTTTCTTGCTCTTGAATGTTGGAGCATTCTTGGCAGCGGATTGGGTTGAAGACGATAAGGCAGGCCGAGTTGAAGACGACGAGCTAGAGCAAGAAATACTTTGCTCCCTAAGGATGGGACTCAACAGGGCGCCAACCAAGGCGATGATGGTTTTAGTTTTACCCGACCCAGGAGGCCTAAAAAAAAAGAACAAAACTTAGCATGAAAATCATCAAGTGAACCGGAAAATTGACGGGCATACCCTTGGATCAACGTGAACGCGTCATTATCCAAAGCCGACCGGACAGCTTTCGCCTGTGCAGGATTGACTTTGTAGGTGTCTATGATGGGTTGCAAACTCTCCGGCGTATACTTCAGGATAGGCGACGGCCTAGCCGAGAGGATTTCTTCGCTTAGATCATAATACTTAAGTGCCAGTAGGGATCCATATTCTCGTTCCACGGGAGTTAACGACATAACTCGTACGGCAAACAGTGAGTTTCCTGGTGCAATGAAGCTGTTGAGTGGAGTGGAGACGTTTAGACGATAGCCAACCTCTATCATTCCCTTCTTTTTAGTCGAGCTAATGATTCTCGCAAGGCAGTGGGGCTCTTTGCTATCAGAACTGGGATCGCTTGACTTGGATATCAGAACCAAATCCGCCTCTCCCAATCCAAGGTCCTTGACTTCTGCAGGTCTCATGAACGTAGTAACCTCAACAAAAGAATCGACAGTAATGCGACTTGAAACCTTGATTTCAAAGGGTCTAAAAGAGCCCTCTTCTTTAGCTGATTGAAAGCTCTGCCATACTTCCAATATCAGCAGGGGCTGGAAAGTTTTCCGGTAATCCGTGGCATCGGAAAACGTATTGGAAACGAGAGTATAATCTGTACGACCCGAAGCAGGAGGAATGTCACCATCTGCAAAGAAATCCCAGCCCAGCAAAGTCTTGTGTAAACCCGAGAGATCTGGCGACAATCTTGCTCGCATATCCTTAGCAGATCGCGCAACTTTAATTTTCCTAATAGGGCCTCGGCGGTTTAGGAGATGCCTTTTACTTTCCTCATATTCTCTCACTGCAGCGGGCTTAGATTTTATTTGTTGCCCGTAGGCACCTGAATCATTTCCGCCTTCGCTATCGGCACTCGAGTCCGAGTCGGAGACCATCATACTCTCAACAGGGCGATCTCCGCTGCTATTAGCACCAATTCCACTCACACCAGAGCCCTGGTTAGCAGTCTGCACGGAGAGCTTCTTCTTCACACGGGCAAGCTCAGCCATATCACGTTTCTTTTTCTCCTCCTTCTCCCGTTCGCGCTTCTCGCGGAAGGAGGAGACGCTCACAGCTGGTTTGAGTGGTTGTGGCGCCCGTTTAGGGAATGGAAGGGTTGGCCTCTGCAAGGAAAGAGTTGACTTCTCTGAAGAATGGGTTGACTTGTCCGAGGGAAGTGATGGCTTAAGGGTGCTCTTCTCTGATAAAGCAGCTAGTTTTTGTGACTTCTTCTGCGCTGCAATACGGGCCTTGTTTAACTCAACGGAGCTTGACAGCTCCACAAGAACATCATCGGAGAGATAGCCAAATTCATCTCCCTCACTTGCAGAAACCTTAGACGACGAGCTTGAGATGCTAATAGTATCGACCGGTTTTGCATAAGCGGTTATCATAATCTGCTTCTGTTTCTTAGGAGCTGGCGTCGGTGCCAGTTGCTCGCTTGGAAATGACTTCTTATAGTATGACTCCAAAGCTCTCACGAGCTCAGCCTTTTCTTGGGCTGTTAAAATCGTTTTAATCACGGAGAATCGAGCGACGTCTTCAATGTACTTTAGACTGACTGTAGCCAATTTTACTTCCAATTCCCCCATGCGGCGGAGGAGCTTCGCAACAAGCCCTACAATGGTAGTTGCAAGAAAATCATCTTTCAAACGAAGCCATTTGACCATCGACTCCATGGTTGATGCGGGTGCTTTGACCAGGTTCTCACTCGACGATTTGGTTTCAGAGGGATTGAATTCGGCAATGCTGCTGGCAAAAATATTAAATTGGTTGAAAACGAGATCCGCAAACTGAATTGTGTCTCGACAAAATTCCAGCATAACCATCCTATCATTTCCCATCATGTGCCAGGCCTCCGTTTGTTGGAATATCGTAGTGAGAGCCTGCCATTGGTACTCCCAAAGCTTTTGGAGCGCGAGAACCTCTACACGGTCGACTAGCTTCCGAGTCCTGAGGATCCCCGTTTCAGAATCACAAAGAACGTCGATGATGTCCGTCCCAGTTTTAAGCATTCGAGGTGCGGATGCGAATGTTCTCATATTGGAAATTCGTCTAAATGAAAAACTGAAACCGTACATCGTCGTGGCAAAGAAGGATTGTAGAAGGTGCGATATTGCTTCTTTACGACCAGATTGACCACTAATAGTCTTGATAAGATCTACTGCAGCCTGGTAGGTATTTAAGTCGGCGGAGAAAAGCGCGGATATCAACGAGCCATTGGTATCATGGCTCTTGAACAAATGATCCAAATGTTCAGGCTTGAAATCAGCTAGCCGTTCAAGTATCTGACTGACAAGGTGCGTCAAATGGCCGTAGATGACATTGAAATTGGTTTTCTCTCTACTATTCTCTCCTTTGGTTGGGAACTTCTCCAGTCCAACCAGGGGCAGGATACCCATGAGAGCTGCGCTCGAGAGCCCAAGGTTATCCTCATTCAAATGGCGGACCACAGCATCCCAAATCTTAGCCGAGTATGTGCTCACTTCATGTGCCATTGTTTTCTGACGAAGGATAGACTCATAGTCAGATTTTAGTGATTGACATTCTAGCGCAAGGGCATTTCGAATGACAGCCACACATAACCCCGCTAAGAGCTCTTGACTCCCATCGATTGGAAATTCGGTAGGCTCAAGAAAATGGTCAATGTTATCACTGATAACTTCAAGAATATCAGACAAGACAACCCTGGCAACAGAGCCTCGAGTAGACTCGTTGTCAGTGAAGGTCCGTAGAGTGGAAATCAGAATGTTGAGACCGACTCGAAAGCAGTTAAACCTAGATACTGGCGGAAAGCGGGAGGCCTGTAGGCGGTTGAGAAGGTGGAACGCAAGAACCCGACATGCTTGAGGCTGTTGAGCCCCTTGAAGTGATGCCATAAATGGCTCAACCCACGATAACATATCTCTCAGAGGTGAAGGTTTCTCGAGAGAAGAATCTTCGGGTGTTTCAAGAAGGAAGGCATCATATTGAGGGTTAGAAAAGATTTGCTCGACAATAGCCTGCGGAGAAATCGCCTGCATCGCATCCCAAAAATCACCCGGTGACTTCTCGAGGAAGATCTGAAGAGTATTTAAGAGCGGACGCAAACCGGGGGTTGGGATGGCAAGGTGATCCACTGATAGTCGACAAGGGTCGGTTTCCAAAGCTCGGAGGTTGTGGGTGATCTGTTCTTTTCCTAGCCGGTCAATGATGGCATGAACGCCTGTCCAGAGTCTCTGGACAAGATCAGGTTGGAGAGGCACATAGGAGGCTCGACGTATAGCTTCAACAAGTGGCTCCTTGATAGCCCAGTCGAATTCTAGCGTAGTGGGAGGTCTTTTCATTTTCCCCCAAGACATAATTGCCCAACGCCGCCGTTCCTGATTATCACTAAAAAGGAAGTGAGTGGTTGCGGGGATGTATTCGGTCATTTTCAACGTCCGGTTGGTCTGTATCAAGTTAAACGGCTCATCGAAATGCGCCCGCAGTAACTCATCGTCATTCACCATGGCCTTTGAGCTCATCGCTTCAAAAATCGACAACATTGCCGCGCGGTCCAGGACGGAAAGACTCCGCTGTTGAGGGGGAACTGCCTTCAAAGCCTCAGTTGCCCTATCCAGATTCTTCACAACTCGTTTGATATCCCGTTCATCAATAATTTTGGAAAAGTTTTCGACTTCAGACTCGTCATAGCTTTCGCGCAGATTCTCCATAAGCCAGCCCTTTCCTCTATAGTATTCCTTGACACACAGTTCACATTTTCCCAGGTCGTGCTCGAGTCGGCTCCAGATCCATTGCTGATGGATTTGGATTTCATCGCTGTTGTAGGCAAGTAGGCGCATGGATGATAGGAATTTTTGTCGCCTCACGGTAGCCTCGGAAATTCGATCAAGGTTCTCGACGTTGGGTTTCACGTCCAGGCCGGTGAGATTGAGAGATTGTATATAGTCGTCATTGTACTGCCCCATGTCATTGTCATTTTGACGGGGGCAAAACATATGTAGTTGGTCTGCAAGGGTTTTTAGTTCCCTATGATGCGAAAAGGACATTTACATTTCGCTTTTGATTAGCCTCCTGAAACTGCCCACTAGCTTCGTAGATAATGAAACGAGGAACGTAGTGAACAATAGACAATAGGAAACCCTCAATCCCTGGCAAGAGAAAAACCGCCGGAAAACAGATTTAATAAGAACATACTCGACGATAGACACCCACTCCGCCATGACTCCAAGCTGCCCGGCGAATAAGGCAGCCGATCAACTGGTACGGCTTGCCTTAGCAGAGAAAGAAAGATTGGAAAGTAAAGGTGGAAAGAAAAAATGTCACAAAAAAGGGGTCAGTCAGTGGCAAAGGATGCCTCGTATCACTTTCACGTAGCTTATGCATGCCCCGTCGGGACCATCACGCCCTCCTTGCTATACTCCCTGCAATCGATTCTGGAGGTGTATTTTACTTCCTTAATTAGGGCCCGCACCACGTGTGAAAACAGCGCGTCCCACGTTCGCAAAATATCCTCCTCTTTGCGTCCAGCCGGAACAGCAATGGACCGCTGTTGTATATCGAATGACAGGCCAGGACGGACGTAGAGGGAACTGCTGGATTTTGAGCTGCAGTACAAGGAGTAAATTGTTAGGCAACTCGAGGTTACGTTTGCCGCGGAGTTTACCGGCGCTTAGCACTGAAGGTGACAAAGCTCCCTAAGGTTCTGGTTAACTAACTAGCTCTAACTAGTGGGAGGCGAGCCGTGCGTCTGCGCTTAAATAAAAAGCCGCGTGACGCTTCTCTGAGGTTTCATGGCAATTTAGTGGCGGGTCTTGCTTCAGCCACAGTCGGCTGGAACGAAGTTCCATCAAACAGAAGACTGAAGTGGGAAAGGTCTGATCGGAGTTGAATATCAGTCAAGAATTGTAAGATAAGGAAGATGGTTTGTGGAACCTACAATTGAACAGCGCAGAAGAAGTCGATTATTATGTGCGAAAGATTGAAGAGGTCGATGAACTATATCCCCCGCTGTCAAAGCGCGCTTTTGAACGGGGCACATCTCAATACTACATTATGAAATTATCATATAACTTTCTGAATACAATAATGTGAAAAGGGGTCAGTTAGGTGGTTGCTAGCAACTCAAGGCAAAGTTATATTTTATACCTAAGTTTAAAAAAAAAAAAAAAAAAGGATGCTGAAACGAATTTTGAACTTCAAGATATGTCGGTTTGTGCCTACCCCTGACTACATACAACGAACTCCCATCGCAAACAATTTCTGATTTCCGTTTCTGACCTTATCTGTCTATCTCATTCACCTCCAGTTGCCCATCCCCTCCCAGACACCCTAAATCTTCATCCGTCAACCGCTATCTAACTTGGAGGAAAGCAAACAGGAGCTCCACCCTCGAAAAAGAGAAACTCGAACCCCAAAAATTAATATCAGTCCTATCAGTATTTTAGGGGCATTGGAAAGAGTATGATGTTGCCTTCCCGTTCCTTTCTTCCAAGAAGAACAATACCTTATTTGACTCTTTCTCCACCAATGCCCGCTGGACAAAACAAGTCACCCAGGCAACCACCACAAAAAATTGAAAAAGCAAAAAGAAAGAAAAGAAAGAGGAGGATAGTCTTAGCTAAGGAGGGATAGGAGTCCGTATGTGCAAGCCAGAAAACAATTAGAAGATAGGTATTGCCAGTCTTTGAAAAGGAAAACTTAAAATTTGATATATTAAAACTTTGAATATTTTTATACACAAATACATACAGGGGAAGGGAAAGAATAAGAATAATAAGGTATAAAGAAATTATCGGCGGCTGGAGGTGGAAAGAATATGGGACATAAAACGGAATATGTATATATAATTGGAGCATCAAAGCCCAGAAAAGGCAAAGGCAAGACAATAGAAGGGGGGACGGGGGGAGGGTTTAAAACAAAAACACAAAACAAAAGTTTGATATATAAAACCTTGCATTATGGGAATCAGAAAGTGCCAGGCGCCGATAATTAAACAAAAAACAACCACAGCTGCAACAGGGGAACCCCCAAAAAGACAAAATAGAACCATAACCCAAAAAAAAAGAAGAGGAAAGAAAAGAAAAAGAAAATAAGAGAAAGAAGAAGAAGAGAAAGAAAGAAAGACAAATCAAGCATCAAGTTAAACAGAGAAACGCCTCTAATGGTAATGGTAGTAAGTTGTGACGTAAAACAAAGGAAAACAAACCGTAGATAGGACATTGTCTCTCATGCAGATCTTGTGGATTCAAATGGGAATAAACAAAGAAAAAAGAAGAAGAAGAAAAGAAGAAGAAAAAAGAGGCGAGGCATGGACGCGACAGAGCGACTGCGCAGTGAAGAGGAAATGTGGAGGGGTCATCATATTGCCAGGTACGGATAAAGAGATATATAGAGATATACGTGGGTGACATAATAAGAAGAGGGTAAAAAACAGATGTCCCACGCCATCATAAGGAGATTAAGTGGGTTTGTTTGAAGTGGAGAAAAATATATATAAAAAAAAACTGCTCTTTAATCTGATACAGTTTCTAGGGTTTTGTTTGAGTCGACTCCATCCGAGTTAACATGGCCGCGGACGTGAAATCATTGCTGGCCTCAAAGCTATGCCTAGCTCTATCCATTGACCGTTGAACCCGTTGATACGAGGACCTTTGGTCCAGAGGCCCACGTTCCAGCGAGACCCGTTGCTGGTGTCGGAATTCGAGGCTCGACACGCCGGTTCCGTCGCTTCCATTCTGGCTCCTTGGGTTGTGGGTTGCCGCGGTGGGAGCGACAGAGGGTGGGTAGATGGGGCGCTCATCCTCAGACATGGGTATTGGTCGCTTTGTCGAGAGGTCAATGGGTTTATCCACGTCTGTGGATGCGGGAGATAAGTCAGCCGCTGCAGGAGGGACGTACGCCTCATATTCATCTAGATACTTGAATTTGCCCTGCACTATCTGCTCGCGAATGATGTCCACGTCCCTTGGGAAGTATATTTTCTGGAGTGATTTAATCGTGAATCGAGGAGATAGACACACTGTCAATGTTAACAATGTTAATGCCCAGAAGGAAAGTGTGTCGAATACTTCCAAGGCGGCTTTGTAGAACTGGCCGGAGGATTCAACCGAGGTGTAAACACCTGTCCAGAAAAAGAAGAGAAGGGAACTGATGGCATTAATAAGAACAGTCAACCAATCCCAGCGGTAGGTGTTTAATAGGATGTAGGAGTTACTCGCTAGGACAGCAGAGCAAGCCACAAAGACACCCATTCGCATCCGGTCACTAAGGTCAAGTCCGTTTTCTGTGACTCCGGAGGCAGGACGATAAAGTAAGAAGGTCATGAAGAAGCATATGATAGACTGGTAGAACCCGTCCAGCATGTAGAGCCTATTGAATCCATGTCAAAATTTTGGATCCACAGAATCAAGGGAGAAATACACTTACCAGAACTTCTTTTGTGTCCATTCCTTCTGCTCAATACCGGTCTTATACAACTGTGGAACCGCGAGGGAGACCTTATCGTCCACATCCTGATCCAAAATGCCCATCAATATCACAGGGAGAGATGTAAACGCCAAGTTGACCAAGATAATATACGTAAAGTCGAACAGATAGGAACCATCGAAATTGTTGTAGATCGAGTACCAGAAGAGAGCAAAGGTCCACACAAGATTCTAAAAAATGGGTTAGTAACGTATACGACGAAGCACCGGAAAATATACGATCATACCTTGTAGAAGAAATTGGCAATAGTCTCCCCAAGTCTTCGATAGGACCATCTTCCATGCACTAGGACGAGACGCTGCAGAAATCGGAACTGGCCAATCGCATAGTCTGACGACATGACAGCCTGTCGACCTTCCTCACCAGCAATACCAACTCCCACATCCGCTTCTTGAATCATGGCAACATCATTGGCACCATCTCCAATAGCAAGAGCCATAACATGCAACCCGGTCTTCACCATTTGTACAACAGCCGCTTTCTGAGCAGGGCTAACCCTGCAGCACAGAACAGATTTACATTGCTTACACAACAGGAGGAATTTTTGCTTCAGCTCAGGACTTAACATGAGCTGAAGGGTGTCCCCGTCAATAATGAGGGCATGCGTTGGAGCCGGGGGCTCATGATTGTTTTGAGCAGCGACAAGTTCTTCGTCGGAACCCGTCAGGCCGAATGTCCTCAAATTCTTGTCAAGCTCAAATTCAGCGGCGTCTTGGTCATCCTTATCGATATTGAAGACTATCAGTTCCATCTCGTTGCATAACAGATTGCAGGAAAATCCGATGTTGATGGCAGTCTCGACCTTATCACCCGTTAGGACCCAGAGTTTAATTCCAGCCCTTGCCAGGAGGGAGATTGTATCGGGGACGCCGTCCTGCAATCTATCCTCAATAGCTGTGCCGCCAAGAAGAGTAAGTTCCTGCTCAATAGCACTGGAGACTTCCTCGAGCTTTATCTCCCGGTCTGTGAGTGACTGGGCAGCCAAGTCATGAGTCTTATTCCATGCTTGGTACTCCTCCTCGCTAAGCTCTCTCTCTGCGATACACAATGTCCGTAGACCTTCCCTGGCAAACATCTCAAGATGTTTTGCTGTCTCCTTTCGAAGTTGTTGCTGCTGCCCACGAGCCAAACGAGAATAAATTATACTATCTGCGCCCTTGCAGAACAATAAGATCTTCCCATCCGGCATCCGGATAATCGCGCTCATTCGTTTTCTCGATGAGTTGAATTCCAGCGTGTTCAGAACTGTATACGAGCGTTCTTCACCCATAACGTTTAACCGGATGTCGTCACCTGATCGTCCCAACACTGTGAAGCCGCAGTCTCGTGCGGTGGCAACCAATGCTGCCTCGTCAGGAGATTGGGCTTTGAACTCAATCTTAGGAGGGTCACCTGGAGTACGCTCTGTTATGACTGTATGGCACAGAGCCAGAGCAAGCATGAAATGATCGTTAGCGGCTTGTTGCTTCTCACCAGCATTTCCAGCAAGATCAGAAACAAAATCGGGAGATACAAAAGTTAGTTTGTCGTCATGGAGATATGGGTTGTTGTGGATAGAACGGAGCTGTTGAAGCATCATAACTCGAGATTTGGCGATATTTTCCTGAGCCTTTTTAGAAACTTCCTCGACATTGATACCCTCACGGCGCTGCATGCCAGCCATTGCTTCGGTGTATGCTTCGCCATAGACCACGCCGTTGATAGTGCATTTCCTGAATTCCATCACATTCTGAGTCAGAGTCCCGGTTTTATCTGAGAAGATATACTCAATCTGCCCCAGGTCATCCGATATATTCCATGACTTTGGCGTGCAAGGGTATTCTAGTTTATCGTAATACATGAAGTTGTCACTGTGGATGAAGATGGCCTGTGCAGTTCGAACAATTTCTAGCGATATGTAGAGTGAGATTGGGACGAGATTCTGGTAGAGAATAACAGCTGCCCAGAACGTGACAAACCCATCGACCGGCGGCGAACCTCCATACGATCCAAATTCGAAGAAATTCAAAGAATTGTTTCCCTGACCCCACGTGACACCCTGAACGATTCCAGAAACAAGACACATAAAGAACAGAATGATAAAGTTATAGATGACGTTCCAGTTCAGATCTCTGGCAAGCTTGGCCCGTTTAGTCGGTGTCGCGCCAGAATTGAGCATGATCTTTGTCTGAAGACCAGTGAAAATCACCATGCCTAAAACCCATTCAGTATTCTGCAAGCTACAGCCACGGAGGAGGATGTTGTTGATGGTGATAGGTTCCACCATTTCTCGACCGGGTTGATCGGGGAACTTCGGATCGTGCTTATTCCACTTGATAGCTCCATTGTATTCATACAGATTTGGGTGAGGAGGTTCACTTTCAATCGTAAATTCGGCCTTCTCACAATCTCTCGCATGCTTAACAGAGCGGGTACAATGAAGCGCCTGCCGTACCTTAAGATTCGTTTCTCCGTCAAGGTTTTTCGTTTCGACGTAACAGGCACCATCTGGGTCGGAGGTGGAAAACACGACGACATCGGCGGGAATCTGTTCTTCGTTGTAAATACGGACGAAATCACCGACTTGAACGTTTTTCCAGAAATCGCGCTTGAATCTTGCTACTTGGGGTGTCCGTCTTGCCTTATTCAACACGCTTCCATAATCGCGGGCGGAGTGTAGGAGATCGAATTTACGATGTGGATCCGGGGATAAGTAGTCCGTTGAAGATCTTGGAACGGCTAGAGATTGTCCCTCCTGCTGCGAATTGAATCGGTCCACATTAGGTGACGGGACGGGAGTCATCTGAATGGCGCCTCCTTCCTCAATGGGCTCATTATTGTTTGATTGGAACGATACTCTGTATGAGTAAGTGGAGTTTCTCTGCGTGCGACGGGTCTCTATGGACGGGCGTTGTCCCGCGAGGATGTCATCTTCAATGTCCTCCAGCGGTATGCCTTTCCTTAGAGCGTTTAATTTCTTCCAAGTCTTCACTACTGTCTTGGTTGTCGACTTCTTGGCCCGACGCCACAGAGACACATTTTCTTCAACTGAGTTAACATTATTCCACTCCACCAAACGATGTATTGGAGAATTATTCAATTCATTATCCAGCACGGTCCGTCTCCAATCTTCAATAGCATCTTTAATGGCCGTAACTGTCAAAATGGAAATCAGGGGTACCGCGCTCAATCCAGGGTTGGTGGCGCCGAAAATAGGGAAAATCTAAGATTAATTTTTAACGAGTTAGCCACAGGTCAGTTTGGCGTGTTCAAGTAAATAAAACGGGATGGCAATGAAAACTCACAGCTAGAATAATAGTGAACAAGAAGTAAATATTTGCAATATTATGAAACTGAAACCACAAATTCTTTGGAACAAAACTTAATGGAGTATATTTTGCCGTTCTTATCTTGTTCCGCGAATATTTGGCTAGGAGACGGCCGTCCTCATCCTTTGCATCATCGGGAAGCGGTACGTTGCAAAATACCCTCCTGAGGTTTGAGCTGTCAACCGAGCCTTCATCTACCGTCGATCCGTCGCTGTGGGGCGGAGAGCTGGCGGCTGATTTCCGTTTTTCTTCCTTTAAGCCGGTGCCATGGTGTAACCTGTCCAATATAGATCGTCTTTTTCGCGATCCACCGGCACCGGCATGGCGTTGGGTGGCCCATCGCATTCGTCTGACGGGTTTCGAGATGTGGGCCTCATCCTCTGCACCAAACTGAACCACAGCCATTGCAAGGCTACGTAATCCACCTGTAACATAAAATGGGAATAGGTCAAGAAACTGATTCGGACATCTGTGGAATTTTACGGGCGATTAAGGAGACTCAGTTGGCCTTGGGATGGCTCGTGGGGATAGTAAAGGATCAGGGGGGAGGGCGGTGATACCAACGCGACAAAGATCGATAGATATGAGAGGACAGGTAACGATGTATGCGGCTTGACCGAAAATTAACGAATGTGAGGATATGGCAACCGGAAGCAGAATCCGCGTGTGAGAACCCAAAAAGGTAATAGGTTTGAGAAGGTATTTGTTAAATAGAGACACAGCGACAGGGACAGATAATCAAGAGGCGATTGAAGGAGCGAATTGGTTAGGACGAAGACAGATCTGGGATTGCATGGAACAATCGACAGCGGTATTGGAGACCAGCAACACGACTCGATGTAAAGAATGCCACGGTGCGAGAGACAAGCCAGCAGAGAAGACCATGCGCAAGGTGTCCTAAGTTTGCAGGTTGGTCTGTCAATGTAGGTGTAGAGACGGATGGTAATGGGGGTGGTGGTGGTGGTGGTGGTGGTGGCGGTGTTGTTTGGTTTAGAGGCTTGGAGAGGGAAGTTGGAAAACGACACAGTATTAACTCGTCAGCAGGTATCATATGGTAATACCAACGGAGATCAAAAAATACGATGTATTTTGGCCCCCTTTCGCAGCAGCGGTAATGTGACGTACACACCGACGAATACCTTGCGCCTGCATTCACAAATACCCGCCCGCTGACAATTTCTTCCATCCTCTCTCTATAAATAAATATATAAAATAAATTAAGTAAAATCTTTCTACTTAGTTAATAGTTAAATCAACTAACTTATTTTTCCCGCAGGCCCGGAAATATTTATCTCCGTTTGTCATGGTTACATATAACGTATGGACCCTCGCTGCCGTTGCCAGAGGCCGACAACGCATGTTCTGCCACTTTGCCTTCCCTCCTTTTAACTACAGTTTGTCTTTGGAGAGGAAAACAACAGTATTACTCAGCTTGATCATCGGACATAGTTAAAACGTTACCTCGCAGAAGCAAAAGCTTGGGGAAATCCCCCTATCTTCCAAGTACGAAATCGATAACTTATATTGGATGCAGTGACTCTTCGAATCGAACCATCACAACCCCGCTTTACAGGCTGCTAACGGTAGTTAGTAGCATCGTCTCCCAAGTCCGCCCACGCCGAGTTTCTTCTAGCGCTGTCAACTGCCCGCTGCCAACAACCCCATTATGTGGATGCTGCTGTCCGCTGCAAAATCCTCGGGCACGGGGTTTGCTTCCTGTTCTGTGGAAAATTGTGCAGGCTCTTCCTGCATGCCGTCACTATCTTGATCTCTTGTTATTGATCGGGACTAATTACTCATCATCTATTCTGTAGTTATTTACGTACAGGATAAATAAACAAATCGTACCAAAGCCGTTTCAAGAATACATTTTTATAACGTATTTCATGCTTTCGATACTTTTTGGTCATCGCATCATCACCCCCTTTGAGCTTGTCTTCAGTACACTTTACCACTTCATTTTGTGGCTTGAATCCGACCCACGCCGTAGCAAGGGAGTGGCCTCTGGCAACGGCTCTGTCCAGAACCTTTATAGTGGGAGACAGAGTTATGAACGGGAACCGGGTTTGGGGAGAGAACATTATTAAGATGCACAATCTGCTCCGTTTCGGCTCTCTGGTCCATGCTACCCACTACGGTTTTACCCGTAAAACCCTGTCCCAGCAAAAGAACGCAGAACCCACAGAAACCCCATAAGGCTAACGAACTGCATCCAGTACCGTAATTTACCGGGCGATCAGAATCATCTCCGAAGCATCCGAGAGCCGGTTAGCAAAGGCTTGCCAATGGTAGGGCGAAAAGATAATTATCGCTACAAGAAAAACGAAAAAAAAAAAAAAAAAAGAAAAGAAAAGAAAAGAAAAGAAAAGAAAAAGAAAAAAAATAAAAAATAGAGAAAGCACAGGCTGCCAGAAAAGAACCCATATATGCAACTTTATTACCAAGCTCCTTGACAGATCGCTTCTCTGTACTTTGTAATAATGACGCAGCTCGGAGTAAACAGTTGGAGAGCAGGTTGTCTCCGCTGCTTTGGGCTCTCCCGCAGACTTTCCAGAGCTCAGGCATCCAAGCATCACTCTGGGATTAGCAACAAATAAATAAATAAATAATAGTAATAACAACAACAACAACAACAATGTGATTGCATAGAACCAAACGCTGACATGCGCTCTCTCCTTCAGTATAACCCCTTCCATCTGAATAATATCTCAGCACTCTATGTTCTAGCGACCCACATTCATCAACACACCTGTACCCAGCTCTCCAAACGCACGGACGACCTCAGATCATGAACCCTCCAAAATCTCCCACCTCCCCAACTATCAAAACCCGATTTCTCATCCTCTCCGATACACATAGCAGAGAATTCGGCCCAGAAACCAACCCAACACAGCATGCAGACGTAGTCATTCACTGCGGCGATCTCACAGAAGGGTCTACGCTAGAAGAACTGCACTCCGCCATACACCTTCTCTCGAACCTCACTGCCCCCCTCAAGCTTGTCATAGCCGGAAACCACGATTTCACCCTTGACACCCCCTTCTTCAAGGACAAGGTCGCCGGCCAATTCAAAGTCCTTGACCCAGGCCTCATCAAGAAGGCATACGGCGACCCGGGCGAAGCGCGCCAGCTCTTCAACGAAGAACCAGCCACTTCGGCCGGAATCGTATTTCTCGACGAAGGCACGCACCATTTTACTCTCGAGAATGGCGCATCGTTAACCCTCTATGCCAGCCCCTTCATTCCCGCATGCGGAGGCTGGGCATTTCAGTATACACGTCAAAAGGGCCATGACTTTCGCATTGAGAAGGGCGTCGACCTAGTCATAACCCACAGCCCCCCAAGAGGGATCCTGGATCGGACATTATCCGGTGATCAGGTGGGGAGCACACATCTCTTCGATGCCGTTGCTCGCAGCCGACCCCGTCTGCACTGTTTCGGGCATATCCACGAGGGCTGGGGAGCGAAGCTTGTCACATGGCCACCGCGGGCGGAGAACATGGGCGAGACACCGTTGCAGCTTTCAGATATTGATGATGGACAGTCAGTTGTTGTGGGCGATTTGTCGACGGTAAGGAGTCGAGAGGCCAATGGGGCGGGGACGGGGACGGGGACGGGGACGGGGACGGGGGAGCATTCTGAGACGTGCTATGTGACCAGCCATTGTAGTGGAGATGCCAATCCGGTTGAATTGGGGAGGCAAACGCTCTTTGTAAATGCTTCCATTAAGGAGATGGATGAGGATTTCCCTCAACATCTGCCCTGGCTGGTTGATATTGAGCTTCCAAAGGGTAACTAGTCAAGATGTTGCCAATAAGCTATGCACAAGGTTAGGTTGATGCCCAATATTTCATAGATTCGCTAGTCACTTACCCTGGCAGCTAATGGGCTTTTTGTGTCATGAAACAGCCACGCACCTGGTCATCATTGATACGCCGACATAATGTAAAAGACAACCACCCCCAACCCACCTGCTTCTCAAATGAACGTTGAAGCAAGAGATACCCATTGTCACAATCGCAAAAACCAGCCCTTGGGAACAAAATTTTCTACCTAAAAGCTCAAGTTTATGAAATAGTAATAATACCACCGAAAAAGCGAAATTACACACGCGTAAAATCTTCTCCTAAATGGATTTGTCATGAGATTGTGAAGCTCACCTGGTCAGGACTCTCTGCCCAAATAACCGCTTCCCCAACCCTGTTCAAGGACCAGGATGTCAACGCTAAGTAACCGAAGCACGCATGGCCAATTGATCATAATAAATTGATAAACCTGTCAACTAACTAATTAGTTAACTAGTTAAGAGTTAACTACTCCATATTTGAAAATGAGCTACGCCAGCCACGTTGGCAACAACAGGATAATGTGCTTTCAACCAATCAATCAGGTAATAATTACAATATGAAAGCTCAAGTTTCTTAATCGTAATATACACAGATTTTGCGGGATACATGATGAAACGCCGTCGCAGGGCTGAACTTCCTTGCTAAGAATAGACCTTTGGGGGGGGGGGCGCCCATAAGGCTGGTGTATCCTTGCGTTGACGCTGGACGGAGGAGGCTTAGAAATCTATTGAGCCAAAGACAAAAGTGTTCATTCACTATTTCATTAGTTATTTCAAGCAGCTAACGAAGGCTGAGCACAAAGAAAGAGAAAACTGCAAAATGCGGTATGAATCCAGAAATAGAAGAACACAGGCTTCAACTTAGAAAGCAAAGACTGGACCGGAGTTCGATCCCAGGACCTTGTCGGCACAGGGTTGTAGATAAATTTCATCAGCCTTCAATCTTCCAGCTCTCGTCTTTCTCCCGATCTGCCTTTCAACTGAAGCCTTCAGCCTCTCGATCTGAGTCTCAATGGAATGCGAATCCGAATCCTTCAGAAGTAACGACGTTTTTAATGGTACTAGACACTATCTGAAATGAACGAATACGGATACGAAGTCTGTAACTCACAGTTCAATCGTAATCACGCCTAGCCATTGGGTAAATTCACATCTACGAACGACACGGCATCACTCGGATCAGGTCATGGTATCAGCAGCAAGTGGATCTGAATAATCCCCAAGAGTCTTACGAAATGAATAGCTCGTTCACGCAATCACGAAGAAACGCGCGGCTGAGCCTGTCGATCAGCTGGATTCTCGGACTTCTAACCACTGACCAAGTGCGGGATTCTCAACCACCTTGAAATAAATACGAGAATAGCAATCTGTTTCATGAACTACGAAGTACTGCCTTCTCCCAATCCAGATTTTATTGACAAGATATACGTACGTGTGCTAGAGAGATAGACAGGACATACGTCAACAGTCGTTCAGATGGAGATGGATCCGTGATCTAACTAGCAATTTAAAAGCATTATACAAAATTGACAAAGCGGTGCTGGTGAACAGGATCTTTCTCCCCACTTTCAACCGCTGCTTTCACTGGCTGAGCCGAGTCGCGTATAACTATGTAGTTATGTAGTAGAGTTTACATATAGTTGCATATATTGCCACGGCGTATTCAAAAGTAGTTTACCTGATTGAATCTCCCAAAGAGGAAATATTGAATCCCAAACCACGTGATATCGCGATCTACCCGCTTCACGTTTTTTGACGCGACTGAAACAGAATACGATGCAACGTCAGATCGAGCCGCATGTTCCCTGTGGCCAACAATGTCAAGCAATCACAGCTCCTCGGGGCACCAGGCTGGGTCTCCTCCCAGACGTAGTCTTACTCCACACATCAGCACCCTAAGTGCTGCCAGCAGGCTGAATGGGTCCATGGATACATCATCTCCACTTTCATCCCCGCTCAGCCTGTGTTCTCCCTCCGGCCCACCCTCCTCCTTCATCTCACCCGTTCCTCTGGAACGAACCACACAGTGCAATGTCACCTCCAGTCCATCTCCTGTCCCCCATTTTACCAGTGAAGGCGTCTTTTCCAATACGACCATGGGAAGCAGGCTGCCGGAAGCCTCCAGCGGCCAACAGCAAACTATCTCATCGTCAAATTCCTTCTCCCAACGGATCGTGAGAGATGGGCAGGTGATCATTACCAATTCCGATGAGGATACAGACTCGCTCTCAGATCTAGAAACAGCAGACGATCTGTTTAATAAATTTCTGAAACCGATTCCTGGCGCAGCTCACTCCACTTCATTCCCCACCAAGGCTCATAATGGTAGGGATGACGATAACGGCAGCAGCGCAGCTAGGAGATCGCGGCAACCCTATGCAGGCCTTAGCTCTCTGAAATCCAATGATTCAATAAATCTACCCAAATATCAATTTTCTCTGGACACTCTTGTTGAAGATGCTGCCAATGACAAGAGAACAGAGGCCAAAGTTGCAAAGATAAAAAAGAGCCTCCAGCCCAAAGCTCCATCGGATAAGAGTTGTGGGGTGCTGCGTGATGATCTGCTCGCTGCAGCTGTGGAGAATGAGACGGATACCAAGGGCATTCAGCGACTCAGAGATGCTGTTGAAAGAACAGAAATGTTTGCGATTGGGAGAAGCTGGCTGTTCTTCGAAGAGGACCCACCAGCTGTACCTCAGCCTAAGTTTCCCTCTAAGTCCATAGCGCCTGGGTCCTGGCAGGTTAATTTGAAAGGTTGGAAGCTTTTGCCTGCCGCTTCATGTTCGTTGTTATAGGGGTTGTATATATGTCTGGTATTAACGCGATTCTAGATCTTTCTTCTCGCGGTCGAGCATTTTTCTCAGGGATAGTCGCGGATTCGTTGTCGATCAACACTCTGCCGGATGAGATACTGCTGTGGATTCTACAAGCTGGTTTGTTCTTCATGTTCTACCGTTCTAATATCATTGTTGTGTTAATGAATTTTTTTAGTCACGACGGAACAAGACGATTACTTGCGAATGTCATATAGCAATGTATTAATTGTGCGTCATACCAAATCTCCGCGTAAACAAAGTCATACATCACTGACCACTGTAGAACTCCACCTCGAGACGTATATCATCGCTCATAAACCCATCCTGTATCGATCAGATTTTCCAAAGGCTTGGGGCAAGGCCAGCCGCGCTTGCTCTATCCAGCAGCCTAGAGCCCGACTACACAATATCTGATGGTAAATTGTTACCTGCCAGTGTATTATATTGGCAACCTGCTGATGTTTTTCCTTAGAATATCGGATTCGAGATCATAAATATCTATTATCAGCACTCCAAATAATACACGCGCTATCAGAGAAGTAGGGAGCCAAAATATTTCGATAAAATCTCTGAACATATAGCTAACCCCTTCCATTCAGGTTCGACGACAACACCCGCGAATATGTACTCAAGGTCATTCTTCGACTTGCCATAGATGAAGGAGTCATGACGGACTGTCTTATCAGCCTAGAAGTACAAAAGATCATAACGAGCCTTCTGGGAGCCCCAGACAAAATCTCAGACCTAACAGTAAGCGCCTTCATACTCACACATACCCTTCCATTTTGAAACAAACATCTAAACTAACCAAACCCGCCAGCTCTACGACATATCCCTCCACCTCTTCAAAACCGTAAAACACCCCGAACTCCAAATCCAACTCCTCAAAAACATCCTCCCCATGAACCCTCGCATCGCCCTCTTCCGCTGCCGTCTCGCCTGGGCCTACTTCTACCAGGACTCCTCCCCCCTGGGCAAACCCCAAGAACACCTCTTCGACCTCCCCCGCCTAACAGCCTACCTTCGCCACGACAAACGCTTCGACTCAAACGCCCCCCGCAACAATCCCAAAACCCCCTTTAATTTCTGGGAACTTCACGCCCTCACCTGCATCCTAGACATAGCCATCGACTCCGGCACGACAAAGCCCTCCTTCAGCGGCAGTCGGGAGAGCGAGTTCAATGCCGTCGTGGACGGACTGGCGGATGTCATCAAGGCGATATTCTCTGCGATTCGGGATTCGGGGGCGTCGCATTTGCGCAGGTCGGAGGCGAGGGAGAATTTGCAGGCGTTGTATTATCGGCTTGCGTTTGGGGTGAGGACGAGGCCGCGGCCGGCGAAGGCGTTGTTTGTGATTGGGGAAAGGGCGGTGGAAAAGCATCAGAAGACGCTCACTGAGCACGTTAAGGTGGTAGGGGATGGTGGTTCAGGTCGGGTTGAAGGTAAAGGGGCCCGTTGAAGATGTGAAACTGTCAATATTAAGCATGTGTAATGTTACAATTGGACTGTTTTTTTTTACAAGCATCGTAGGCGATGAACATTCTGTGTTAAAAAGAACTTTTGAATAGGAATATGTTGTGGAATCGTTCGCAAAACGGGTATCTCTATATTGATTTATCCCTTAGTTGCCGTGCGAAGAAGTACATAAAGAAGGAAAATACTTGGACGGGCTCTAGTAATACGGCAAATCAACGTCCAAGAATATAGATGCGAACTGCGCTTGAGGCCGGGTAGAGAACAGCCCCCTGCAAAACATACGTAGATCATGGCACACAAAATTCAGAAATGCGACTGACGCCAGCGATAAGAGAGAAAGCACGTTGTATCGGAACAGATGGACAGATAGTGACAACCAAAAAGGGGAAAAGGAGAACGAAATAATCGCTCGGAGTACAAAGCTGTATAGACGAATGCACCCACCATCAAAGATGGTTAAACAGAAAGGAAACTCATTAAGAACAAATATATATAAACCCCCACCCCAAAATAAAGGTAATGAACAGATGATGGGTAGCCCTAATCATAAAACTTGCGGTTCTTATTCTTGCCGAACAACGTTTCCCGGACTGCCGGTAGAGCATCAATCTCAAGGAGCCGCAGCCGTTCTTCAAAGGTGTTGTTGATGTCAATTTTACCTGCTGTACCGATGATAATGACACCTCCCGCTCTAGAAAATGGGAGGGAAGACATTAGCAAAATAAAAAAAGAAAAGAAAGAAAGAAAGAAAGAAAACAAAAAATGAAGCCATTCACAGCAGATACGTGGGGGCAGACAAACAAAGTTGGCATTAAAGAAACACTGAGCACTTACGACCCTTCAGGCAGCGGATCACTCTCCAGCAACTCCACACTACTCTCCCTCCCAACCTTCTCCTTGAACTCCGCCTCCGCCTCCCCAATCGCCTTCCGGACAACCTCATAATCCTTCTTCCTCGCCCGAACCTGCACCTTCCTCTCATTCAACGCATACAACCCCTCCAGCACCAACCCCTTCAACGTCGTCTGATACCCCCCGCCTCCCTTCTTGCCTCCCTTCTTGGCCCCCTTCACCGTCACACTCGCCAACTGCACCCTCGCCTGCTCAAAGAGTTCATCCAAAAGCTCCTGGCGGGCTGTCAAGACGCGCAGACGGGTTTTGTTAGCGAGTGTTGAGCGGGTGATTTGCTGGGACATGGAAGCCTGTTTGAACTTCTTCTCGTAGAGGTGGTCGATGGCTGCTGTTTCTTGGCGGACGAGTTTGGATTTCTCGATGGCGAATTCTTCGTCGGCTTTCAGCTGGATTTCGCGGGCTTTTTCGAGGGCTTCTTGGCGGATGAAGGCGGTCATTTTGCGGAGTTCACCCGCGACCTAGTTCAGGTAAGTTACCTTGCCAGACACTTTGTTTTCCTTATTCATTGTTTCTTGTGGATTGGAGGTGGGGGGTATTGGCTTGGGAGGTCTACCTGGTCGTCGGAGAGGGCATGGCTTTGTGACATTTTGGCGGAGGCAGGGGTGGTGAAGCTGGGTGTCTTGCGAAGAGTAAGGAGGAGATGGTTGTAGATGCCACCAGCTACGGTAGATAGCAGCGGGAGTGTATTGTATTGTATGTACGCTGCGTTCTGAGGCACGGTTATAAAGCAGCGCGACTGACGGGGTGTGGTGAACTCCTGGATATCGTGATTAACTAATAGACGTGGGAATGCAATACCTAAAATATCCACAGAAGTGTGCAACAACATCTCCATGGGGATAGAGGTTTGTATGTAGTTATGAAGTCTTAGGGTTCAACTGGCCCAGTCAGGCTAGCGTGGGCCCTGACTGCCCTGGATTAGGTAAGCAGTCCTAGTTCCAAACGTCACTCTCCGGAATCCTCGACTATTGTGTATAAGTTGACTAACTATGCAGTACCAAACAAACTACCGACTATATATATCTACTCCTACTCTTCATAGGCAGGCGAATTGAATCTACCGCCCTTTTTTACTGTATCTTCCCCAATGCTGGCAATGCCCCTCATCCATAGTTAGCATCTCGAGGTCGATGCCCCCCTTCTGCTGCTCGCCGCTGTGTCCCCCGGCTGATGCATGAGGATACCAGGACATGGGACGGTTAGGGGCCTTGTCGCCGGGCGGAAGTATTGCGGTACGTCCATACATCCATAAACCAACGTCTCATATCCTCAACTGATACCCTTCAGATCGGAGTATTTGTTGGCTTGATATCGACAAGCCTCCAGGCCATTGGTCTGACGCTCCAACGCAAGTCGCATCTCCTGGAGGATGAAAAACGACCGTATGATTTGCGCCGGCCCCCCTACAAACGGAGACGATGGCAGGTGAGGACTACCGACCCGCGAGAGGGATAGTGAATAGGAGTTTGATATACTGATCTATAAATTAATTAGTTGGGAATGCTCATATTCGTCGTGTCCAACATTGTCGGCAGCACGATACAAATCACAACCCTTCCTTTACCGGTGCTGTCGACTCTACAAGCCGTGCGTTCAAACTCATTTCCCTCCCCTCATATGTACACCTACAAACAAGAGAAGATCTAACGCATATCCCCTTTAGTCTGGACTTGTCTTCAATACGATATTTGCAGCCTTGATCCTACGAGAGCCATTTACCCGCTGCTCGGTTTTCGGCACGATCCTCGTCTGCCTCGGAGCCATTTTGATCGGCACATTCGGAGCGATTGGAGAGCCTGCGCATACTCTAAACCAATTACTGGTCCTTCTTGGCCGCCCTCCATTCTTGGTGTGGATGGCTGGAACAACCGGGGTTGTAGTGCTGACCATTCTGGCCGCCCGCTTGCTTAAACTGGTATCCACGCCTGGCAGAACCCGAGAGTGGATGATACAACACTGCATAACCATCCCATGCACGCCGTCCTTCTATGGCCACAATAGTCCACGCATTAAAATGATGCGGGGCATGATGTACGGATCTGTCAGTGGGATTCTGTCTGCGCACTCTCTCCTGGTCGCTAAGTCCGCCGTCGAGCTGATTGTGCGCACCATAATAGACCGCGTGAACCAGTTCAACCGCTGGCAGTCATGGATCATCCTTCTAGGCTTGATTGCACTTGCTCTCACGCAGCTGTATTACATGCACTCTGGCCTCAAGCTGTGTAGTACCAGCATTCTCTATCCCTATGTTTTCTGCATATACAACGTCATCGCTATTCTAGATGGATTGATATACTTTGATCAAGGCTCACGGCTTTCGGGCTTATATGCCGGTCTAATAGCCCTAGGTACCATAATACTCTTATCCGGCGTCCTCTGTTTATCCTGGAGGTTAGAAGATGCCACTGCCCACCCGAACGCCGTGCCAGCGGGTCCAACACCAACCCCGCTAGCCCCCGGCCTAGGCCCGCTCGAAGAACAACTCACCCCACCAAAATACATCTACTATCCCGAAGACGAAGAAACAGCCTTAGGGGAACGACAACCCCTCCTCCAACAACCACAGCAACAACAACAGCAGCAGCAGCAGCAGCAGCAGCAGCAGCGGAAGCGGAAGCCTTCTCCCCCACCCCTCTTCTACACACGCAGCTTAAGCCACCTCCCACTCCGACTCCGCAGAAGCACCCAACCCAGCCTCGAAACCGCCGAAATCTGGGCTGACCTAGACGACTCCGGAGAAACCCTCGATCCCGACCTAGCAGCACCCACCTCACCTCTCCTCCCATTCACCTCCTTTCCCCACAGACACTACCGCAGCAAAAGCAGCACAATCCCCTCCCTCTCCTACTACAACAACAACAACAGCAACAACAACAACAGCAGTAGCAGAAAGCGTTCAATTGGCGTCTCCGACTGCAGCGAGAATAACTCTCCACTCACTAACGATCCATCCTCTCCATTCTCGCCCCGACTAACATTGAACAACCACCACCACCAACAACGACAAATCCGCAGACTCCCCAGCGCATCGTCGTGGACATGGGACCTGTCCTCCCGACGTGTACGGTTCGCGGGCCGCGGAAGCCTGCGCAGTAGCAACGGCGGCGACCAGTGCACGCCGTCGCGACGACGAATGTCTTCGCCGTTTACCAGGAATTATAGATGTGGAGCTGTGCAGAGGGATGTCTGTAGTGCCGCTACTGCTGGCGCCGTTGGTGGTGTCGATGATGCCGGTACTTGTACTAACGCCAACACCCGTGCCCGTGCCCGTGATCTTGGCGACGTCGGTGTTGATCACGATGAAGGAGATCATAGGCCTCAGCACCGATCGCAATTCACGGGCCCCTTGCGCTGGTTAGGGCAGTGGGTGGGGTTTCGGAGGCGGGAAACAGAAGAGGGGGGGAATGGGAGGATGAAAGATTCCGATGACGACGGAGATGGAGATGGAGGGCGAGAGCGGGACCGATAAATGTTGGGTATGGCGCGGTAGATATTCCGGGTGTACCTAGAAAGGGGGATGTTTGGTACATGTTACTTCATCCTTATTCCACATTTGTCTGTTTTTCGTGTTACGCTGCTTCCCATGCATGCGGTGACTGTGCGTGTTGTTGTTTCGACAATAAATATATCATATGCTATAGCTCCATATAGCGCACACTCTCGCGACGTGTATGTACAATATGCTCCAACAAGCACAGCTCGCAAGGAAAAATACAAAGCGTAGATTCCTTGCTTTCCGTCTCGATGAGATAGAAGAGAATGGAGCAAAGGGCTGGTCCCAACAAACAACCCCCAATTCTCTAAATATGCTGGGAGATAAATCGCACACAAGCAGCGCTCGACTCCACCGTAGAAACCCCACGCCACGCATATTTATATTTAACCTCTTTGCCCCATCTAGTTAGCTTAGTTAAACTGACTGTTCCTCATCTTTTCCTTTTAAAGTTTTTTATTCCACTCCATTCCATCCCCTCAACCCAATTCCAAAGGAGCATCCACTATCTGTAGTTTTACGAAGTGAATCCAGCAGAGTCCTAACGTTCGTGAGTAGTTGAAGCCAATCCAAATCAACTAGTTAACTACTAACTAACCGCCTCATTGTAATCAACTCTACGCAACTACTTTTTTTCACACATTGCCATGCCATTAACCCACATAGATCTCATCCACAGGCTCGAAACCCAGAAGTCTCAATGTGCAAAGCAATCAATACTATTTCCATAAAAAACAAAAGCAGAGAAAGAGAAAGAGGTGAACGGGTGAACGGGTGAACGGGTGGACGAATAAAATAAATTAAAGTACCACCTTCGTAAGCTTCACTATCAAACTAACAAAAAACATCTACTACCTTTATTGTCAATCCCATATGAAAGAAAAACATTTAAAATTATAGAAGCAAATAAAAGGAAGAAGGGAAAAAATAAAAATACGAAAGCAAAGAAAACAAAAACGAGATGTAGTTAAACCAAATAAATCCCCGGAAAAAAAAAAAGAAAAGAAAAAAAAAACCTCAGCTGTTACCCCTGCTACCACATCCCTTTTCTTCCCTCTCCGGCCCCAGCCCCCGGCCCCTCGTCATAAAGAGTCGTTGAAGTTCCAGTATATACCATCTCCGCATCCTCTTAGCCTTGCCTTGCCCGCCCTTTCATTCCAATCCCGTAACGAGGAATCAAAACATAACGATAGACTGCTTAACCCCTTAGCCGCCGAAGTTCAACAGAATACACCGACTACTCAAAGCTGACAACCGACGAAACAACGAAAAACCTAATTCAAATACCAAACCTAACGAATAACTTCCAACAACGATGGAATGCACCCCACAGACGCAGAGCTAAATGAAGCAGAAAGAGGGGAAGCATAAACAGGGGCTGAAGATAAACACATAAAACATCAAGTCCATAACCCCTAATAAAGCGGGAAGAAAAGGAGGACGATACGTACCGTCGCATAGAACTTATAAAGGAAAGGGAATGAAAAGAAAGGAAATAGAAGAAGGGACAAAAACAACCCGCCCCCTTTCTCCGCTCACTGATATATAAATAGTGATAGAAATAAAGGAAACAAGAAAAAAAATATAAACTACCGGCATTGAAAGCAGCAAGAGAAAAAAAAGAGTTAAAGAAAGATAGATACGCAGCTCCGCCTTGTGAATCATTGCTCCGCAAAAAAAGGAAAAGAAAAACACCCATCCATCCGTCCATCCATACATAGATAAGATATAAAGCAAAAAGAAAAAAAAAAAAAAAAAAAAAAAAAAAAAGAGAGAGAGAGAGAGAGCCCTTGATTCCCCATTAACCTGCCCTGTCTAAAGTGAACACGAGCCGAAACTGCATCTGGAGGGAGGGGAGAAAGGGCGCGAGGGCTGAGGGCGTGGGCACGGAGACAGGGTGTGAAGTCGCGACGAGACGGTAGCTGGAGGGGAGGAAGCATATATAAGGTTTATATATAGCTAGGTATTTAATACGATACGGTGTGAGTGGTGTTTGATACCAGGCTTCCCCCGTCATCCATTCCACCCTTTTCTCCGTTCGCCCCACCTAAAAATTGAAAACATTGGGTAATTTTTTTTCCACCTTTGGCCTTTTCTTTATTTTTATTTTTTTTTTGGGGTGGGGGGTTTTGTGTTTATAAGAATTTTTAGCGCTGCTCTGGGTATAAGTGTTTTATCCTTAATTTTGTTATTCTGTAACATGGCACGTTAGTGGCCATGACGGATTTGTAGGAGCGTGAGAGTGAACGGGGTTTTGAAGGAGGGCGGGAGGGAGGAACGTCAAGTGAAGGGTAGTTAAATAGGGAAGATGTTAGATACAACAACGAAGGACAAATTAACGGGAAGTACAGAGAAATAGAGAATGGCAAAGTGAAAAAGCGTCATTATCAAAATATCATGGACTAGTCATGTGTTGTTTCTGTTTTGATTTCTCGCTTGTTTCTTTTTTTTTTCCGCTCGTTCAACGTAGCCGTTTTTTTGTCCTTTCATGAAATGACCCAAGGGGAAATGAAGGCCAATGGAGAGTAGTACCGCAACGCCATAACGTCGATTTTTCTTCGATCTCATTGAGCCCATAAGTGCGGAAAAGTTGTGGCATCACATTGCCAGTTGGGTATCAATCGGGAGGGTAAGGCATCCATGCGCGATCAAAATAGTAGAAGGAAAACAAAGAGAGAGAGGGGGAGATAGAGAGAGAGAGAGAGAGGAATGAATACACAAAACAATTAAAGAAAGTACGAGGCAGAAATATAATAGTATCAAACGACGAGCGGCACGCCTATCTTGACGCCAACAAGAAGCCAGGAGTTGAATGACAAAGAAGCAGGGCTAAAACGTAAAAAGAAAGGCGATGGGGTCGGGCAATAAGCACGGGGTTGGAGAAAAGGGAAACCTATGCAGCAGGTTGATGTTGCTGAGGTAGGCGTGCGCCAATTGGCATACCTGTATACTGACCTCCGGCCTGTGCTTGTTGCTGCTGTTGTTGTTGGAGGTTTTGGTAATATGCAATTTGTTGCTGATGCTCACTGGACATGTATCCGGGATGCATAGCGCCAGGACGGGGAATATTGGGTTGTTGGCCCGCGACATTGGCGTGACTGACATCGTCTGAAGCTTCCGTGGGGACTTCGGGTACTTCAACGCCGTTCTCTGCGCTGGCAGGCTCTGGGGCATTGAGGCATGCCTGTAGGAGAGAGGAAGGGCGATCAGCTCTTCGAGTCCCGTTTTGCAAGGCAAGTGGGGGGTGTCAAAGTCTTTAGACAGCAGCAATCATACCTGGATGAGATTCTTCCCCTCTGGTTTGGTGACAAGCGGTTGGAGTTTTGGAGTGGTGAACGTGTAAACCAGACCTGTTTCGGATACCACCAGGAGCAGGACCTGGGTGCCCGTGAGGACGGACAGTTCATAAGCCTAGATTCAGACAAGAACTCATCATGTTAATGCCGTGTGAAGAAAAGGAATAATAACAGGATAAAAAAAAAAAGACGATGACATTGATGATATGAATGCGACAAGCAGAAGGTGTTGAGAAGGTTGAATATTGAAGGTAATGTTGCGGTGGTGGTGGTGGTGCTGGTGGTGCTGGTGGAGCAAATATCCAATGCAAGCAGGGGAGGTATAGATGAAAGCAGTAAGACGGTGCTGACCTTCTTCATTATGCCAGCCTTTCGCTTGGAAAACGTGATGTGGCGACGCGATTTATCCTGGATGAACTTGATTTCTATCTTCCGGCGCTCACGACCAGGCTTTTCATCGTCGTCATCATCGTCTTCGGCCGCGTTGCTGATGCGAGGGCGCTTGGTAGTGCGATTCTCAGCAGCGGCGGCGGCAGCAGCAGCAGCAGCAGCAGCAGCAGCAGCGCCATTGCCCCCGGACACGAGGTCGTCCTGGGAGGGAGAAGGGTTTTCGTCAGCGACGGCGGTGATATCAGCCATGGCGACGGTAGGGGTCTGCGAAGCGGTTGGAGCAGCGGAAGGCCGTCGAGGATGGGATGGGGATGGGTTGGATATGGGCGGGTTGGCCGAAAGAGGAATGATGTTTGCGAAGATCGAAGGGCAGGCCGAATCGAGTAACGCGTTGGCAGAGGAAGGAAGTCGGGAGTTGGTTTGGGAAGGAGCGAAGGGGAGGTTAGACCGCTTATGGAAGGGGAGGCTGACTCACGGCTGACTAAGGGACGTGGAGATAACTAAATAGTTCAGTTAGACCAAGTTAACTTGGGAAACTAACCAACTCGTTAAACTTCCAAGGGCTTATTTTGTCCAGCTGCCTAATACAGCATGTTCCCCTGCATTCAACGCTGCCAGACCGCTGGACGGAACAGATGACAGTGCCCTATGCTGTGTCCAATGGCCCAATTGCCTGTGCTGGACGTGCAGAGTACATCGAGTACATACCGTTATTCCAGACCGGAATGCCACACCCTGGATACCACCCACTGACAAGGGCAAGAGTTCCACGCGTTGATGCACAGGAATACATCCCTGCGCTGTCTCGCGGCTCAAACACACTTCCCGCCGCGTCAGCCATGCCATGCCACTCTTTAGACCTTTGATGGGGAGCCCTGATCATCCGCACACGGCACACCGCCAATGCATGCAAACACCACGCACCACCGGCTGACTAATGGGACCAAAGCAAGCATCAAGCTGTTCGCAGCGAGCGAATCACAGCCCGGACCCAACGGCGCTTCCTCCCCAGCGAATCTTTGGGCAGCAAATGTAGTTATTATTGTCCTGGTAGAATATCTCGGGTGTCGCCACAACCTCAATTTTGGTAAGAGGCGCTGGGACAAACTGGTGTTTGGGTTGAGGGTTGATGGGTGGATTTGTTTATAATTACGGTTCCATTCGATGCGGGGGATATCTAATTTATGCTGCAGGGGAAAGACGCCAAAAACATAGGCTAGTAGAGAGTAGTTGGTTCTGAGAGTGCAATGCTCTCTACTGCTCCTCCTGCCAAAAGGTTGCAGTGATATACGGCAGTGCAATATTAACTGGCTCTCTCGCTGACATCATGTGAGATTGCCCATGTTTACGTTTACCTAACTAGTTATACATAACCCAGACAGATGATCTACTCTTGTATTCCAGAGTCCCCAGAAAGTGGCAGTGCTGTCTTCTGGAGAGAACACAGCACTTGCAGCAAGTTCATGGCAAGGAACCATAATCACTATTTATAGTGGAAGAACCGCGAAACATCTCGTAATGATCATATGAGGATGGCGGTGAAGCTCTGTATCCTTCAGGCTTCAGGAGACAAGGGGCCGACCGTCTAGCACTGAGTCCTGCCAGAGTCGGTAGCTGTTTATCTGGCGGAAGAATGCAACAACGCTGTTAAACACTGGCTGGCACAGAGATGGTGGATTGCATCCCATGAAAAAAAAAAGTCGTAGGTGTGGCGTGGGGCAATGGCCCGGATGGAATACCTCCAACAACAGGACCCTGGGCCCCTCGATATAACTCTGGACATGTCCGACAGATGCTGGAGCTGGGAGCAGACTTGGGGTAACTATATAATAGCGGAGTTTTTTTAAAATGCAAAGGACAGGCGACAGCACTCAACCCGTGGGTCCAGCGTGTTTCCCACTCCCAGATGTTTTTAGTTGCTTTCAAAACCTGGGAACATACGGGTCCTACCGACAAACATTGACCAGGGATTTTAGATTATAGCAGGATCCGAGGTATGTAGAAATATATTGGTTCTGTGAAAAGTAAATTGAGGTTCAGGTTTGGCACTGGGATTTACATAATAGAGGCATCCAGTTAAATAATTAACGGGTTATCTTATACATTCATTCCCACTGGTTTAGCCGGACGAAGGCGGATATTCACATTCATGAGGACATCAAGGAATAAAAAATGAAGAAATCTGCTTCGATAAAATATTTTGATTTCACCAAAATCTGCAAGTTAAAATTAAGATGCTGCCTAACGGTTTACCTCGTTGTTCCAGCAACCGCATTTGCTAACCCTCATCCCCTGGAGTTAGTTGATGGAATCTAATTTAATATAATAAGGTCTCAAAGCCACCAACAGATCAATTTTTAATACATTCAAATACGAACTTCATCAAAAAGTACTGTTGCTATCCAATTCAATAAATGGGATTCACAAGGAATCAGTAACTCCCCATCATCCCGCGCCCCCTCGCTAGCTCGTCTTCATCGCATCTTTCGGCGAGTGCGTATATCCCGCATTTCCAGGCGGTATGAGAAATGCGGAGGAATGCAGCTGAGCATCAGCGTGAGATGACATCGTCCAACACTGCATGCAATCATCTATTAACTCCATAATGGGGTTTCGGAGGTCCCATACGAAGTCGCGGAATGGCTGCATCCAGTGCAAATCCCGACGCATCAAAGTCAATAAGCCTCACTAGCCCTCCGTATTTCTTCTCCCTTGTGTCCGAGCCCTCCGCAAAAACAAGGGGGAAGAGTAACTACGTCCGCTGACACTAAGTGTCTGGCTGCCTTGCGGGGAGGGAGGCGGGCAATCTAGTGCAATGAGCAACCTCCACAATGTTCAAACTGCGCGCGGAGAAGAACTGCATGCGACCTCGCACACCCTGCTTTATCAGCTACATCATCATCATCATCATCATCGTCATCAACAACAACAGCAGCAGCAGCAGTAGGATCACCGTCGACAACTACTTCCTCCGCTCACTCGCGCTCCCCCAGTCTCCCGCTCGTCGGGACCCCCACTAATGCGTCCATCATCCCAACGAGCTCGGGTTTAGACGTAACTGACCTTGAACTCCTCCATCACTACACAAACCTTCACCTACAAAACCCTATCATCAGGTGCGACCCAGGGCCAGCACGAACTGTGGCAGGTGCGAGTAGTCCAGCTAGGATTCCACCATGAATTCCTCCTCCACGGCATCCTGGCGGCCTCCGCCTTACATCTATCCTACCTGCGACCCCAGCGACGGGAGTCGTTGGCGTTGCGTGCATCCACCCACCAAAGCCTAGCCGTGCAGTCTTTCCGCATTTGCATTGAACCGCGTCGACCCGGTCCAACTGCGAAGCCATCTTTGCATTTTCCTGCATCCTCGTCGCGCTCACCTTCGCCGCACCCAAGAGCCCAGGGCTGCAAGGCTTAGCTGCCCAGAAGGAGATTCTGGACTGGTTCCACATGGTTCGCGGCTGAAACTCCGTCCTCCAGACGCAGTTGGAGACCCTCTATCCCACAGCTTCCTCGCCCCGCTCCTGAACAGAGCTATGACGCAGCACACCGCACCCTCGCATACGGTCACCGACTCACACCGGGTTACCGACCTGCTACGGCTTTGCACCTCCGACCCCGTAGCGCAGGACAAAGAGACAGCCAACGCATACGCGCTGGTTATCCACGAGTTGCTCAATGCATACACGCAGGTAGCTATGCTCGCAGGGCGCCGTCAGGACTTTGTGCCAGTCATCTTCGTGTGGCCGATAGCAATTCCGCAGACTTATCTGATTCTCCTAGGCGAGCCCAAGCCGGAGGCGATGGTCATCCTCGCCCATTATTCGGCACTGCTGCAACAGGTGGATGACCAGTGGTTCATGAAAGGGTGGGCCCGGTATTCAGTGATGCAGATTGCAACGGCGCTCGGGGAGGAGTGGCAGGCATGGCTGACCTGGCCCAAAGAAGTGACGGGGGTTCAAGTTGCTTTGCCCCAGTGAGATAGATTCCGAAGTGGTGGGGTTTTACATAGTTCAAGGTTTTAGGATGGAGGTTGGGAGAGCGTGGATCAGGCAGTGCCAGTCGGGGGCGGTTATTTATTTATTTATGTGTTTATATTTTTTTTTTTTTTTTGAAGAAACAACGCAGGCGAAATATCTGGGCTGTCTCCTTTTGTGCCGTTCCGTCTCGAATTGCTGCAGAACGACATTTACGGACCGCTCGCAAAGGGAGCTGGATAGAGGTCATATTATCTCCTCCCCGCCTTGATGCCCTTGCTCCATTTCCCGGAAGTATCAGGTTGATCTATGCTCTGTCTGACGTCTGACACGACTGTACACATTTTTGGGCCCACATGGCATTCTTTATATGTATATGTTAGGACGTGATTGGCTATATATAACTTCAAGGAGCTGCAAATTTTTACTTCGTTTACAAACGACAAGGAGTCTCAAACGTGGGGCTTCCACGAGCTCGCGGGTTGGTTCCGTGTGCAAAACCCATTCCTGAAATTAAGCGCATTGCAGCTGCGAGGAAACATCTTCCACTGTAACCGACAGTGGTTTAACTCCTAACGTCCTTTAGAGCATGGCTGTCCTCCTTGTCTGACGTGCCATCCCCTAACTGTAGAAAAGTCTTCCACAGTCAAATCACGGAATAGCCCCTTTCCTTGGCAGCCCAACCACCTCAACCCCGTCAAACTCTCAACTCTCAACAATCAACCCTCGACTCGCAACTCGCAACTCGTAACTCGCAACTCGCAACTCGTAACTCGCAACTCGCAACTCGCAACTCTCAGCTCTCAGCCATCCCCATCGCAACCACACCCTCCAGAGCTGTCTGTCTGTATTGAATAAAGAACTTATTTACCAGATTAACCATGAAAGTCCCAACCCAGCCCTGCCAGAGCAGCAGCGTCTGGAGTATTCCTAGCTCCCTGTCAAATAGATCCACGCAGCTAACCGCCGGCCTCTCAGTGGAGCCGCAGCCTGGCAGGCCAACTCTGAAACCTCAGTGGTTGCGCATCTGTAGCAGGACGCTGCCTTCAGTTCCACGAAGACGAACTGCTCATGCAACGTGCAAAATGAAGCGCGGTAAAACTTCCTTCTTCTGCTTCTGCTTCTGCTTCTTCTTCTTCTTCTTCTTCTTCTGCTTGTGTCAGTGGGTCTGTATTGCATCTGCTTTCTCTCCCTCCATCTCTCCCCTCTCCTCCTATATTTTATTCTGTGCTCGCTGGCCTTCTTTAAATAATACGGTAACTTTTCTGGATGAGGATCCAGATGCACTACATAGCCTCTCCTTAGGATTTCTTCATTTCTTTCTTTCTATTTCTTCCCACTTTACATTGTCATTCATTTGATTTGTTTTCTGTTTCTTTTCTTTTTCATCTCTTTTTCATTTCTTTTTTTCTCTTTAGTTTTCTTCAACCAGCTGCTACAACAACTACTGGCGTCGTCTCTGCTCTGTAAAATTCAGAGACGCTGGCGCTGGTCATCAATAGCCCTTTCTCTTTCATTTCGACCGCGGATCTGGATCCTATTATTTGAAGTCGATCAGGTTACGCCTCTACTCCGCCTTTCCTGTGAAAGGCGTCGTCATTTTGAAAGCAGAGAGGAGGGGAGCGACGAGTGGGGGAATCCGAACATAGTAGAGAAGCCGGGAGTGCAGGCACTCCAAATTGATAGATATTAGAAGAAAGAAGCACGACGAAGGAGACTTGGAGAGTTCAGTCTTGATAGCAAATCGGGGGATATGGTCAATAAGATCCTCGCCACCTTCTTTGCGGCAGACGGACTTTTCGTCCTTGGAGGAGCCCTTATTCTCGCTGTTGGGCTCATCAGCAAATCCCAACTGGACGCGGAACCGACACTGGATAATATCGCGCATATCTTGCTGTTGTCCCACTGCCCTATAACCGGTTCGTCTCCCCTGATCGCCCTTGGTAGAAAAAACCAGATATTTGCAAAATGCACATACAACAAACGCCCTTTTCACTACTGACGCTGATACACTCTTTTGCTTCTAGCCGCAATCGTGAACGCCGTTTTCGTCTTTTTCACATTCATCTTGTCGCTGCCGGCAATAATACTGGGGACAGACCGACTGTGGTTCAAAATCCATGGCTGGTTCGTCGTCTTGTGTGGCATCTTCACTCTCTGTTTGGGCTTAAGTATCTGGTTCGAAACGCTGAAGACCAGGTCGAAATTGGGAATTATGTGGGGGACACAGACTCCACGAGTGCAGAGTTTGTTACAGCAACGAGTACGTTTTTAACCCCCCTCCCCCTGTTAAAGTGAAGGGTAAAAGGGGATGAAAGAAGTAACGCATTGTTGGAAATATGCTGACAAAGTCGGATGCATTTTACAGTTTGACTGTTGTGGATATCTAAACAGCACCTCTCCGCCATTCCAGGTCGATCAAACATGTCCGACTCCACTCGTCGCTGCACAGAAAGCGGGCTGCGTCGGACCCTTCTCCGATTACGCAAATCACTTTCTTGATGTTATTTTCACGGCTGACTTTGGCGTTGTTGGTTAGTTTTTTTTTTTTTTTAATTCCCCTGTTACTACGTATAGTACTATACAGTTGATTGGCAGATAATACGAATAGGAGCATATGGCGGTTTATAAGCAATGAAGGAAAAAGAAGAAAAAAAGAAGAAAAAGATTAAACGAGTAAATACTAACCGCTATATTCCCTAGCCATCGATGCCCTCCTTCTTCTCTGCATTGCAATTGTCCTCAAGGACCGCAAGGAGCGCGATCGGTATCGCCTGATAGATTCAAAGAGTGGATTCGATACTATATAAACGGATTGACACTCATATCCTCCCGCTGACAGGAGTCTCTTCGTCGTTTTCATTCCCCTTCCTTAATACTGCGCGTTTTGTCTCTCAACATGCTTTTCGTTTTTGCTTTATTTATACGAATTCCATCCTGGCCCCTACGTGTCCATTTCCAGACGCCCTTTAAGTTCTAGGTTTTTTTTTTTCTTTTTCTTTTTTTTTTTCTGCATGTAGTACCGTCCATGTAAAATAAGTATAAGCAATTTTACTTAGATAGCTACAGCAATAGCTATATCACGTGCGGCAATTAACAATATCTATAGAATATACCTCTATTTTTCCTCATTTGCTGTGTGTTTCGTTACGTGCATTATCTTCGTAGGAGGGGGGTTATTTCATTTAGTCGATACATGTGTCGGTAAAGGCAGAATGCTGCGATATCGATATCGATGAAGACGAGGAAAGTGGAAGAGAAAGAGAAAAGAAAAATAATAGAAAAAGAAAAAGAAAAAGAAAGACAGAGTAACTGGAAAAGGTATTCTAATTGGCAAATCTTCATACCAAGTACATACACACCGTATCCTTTTATCATCATCGCCAGCCAAACAAAGAAATGTCAATATAAAAAATAAAAATAAAAATAAAAATAAAAGTGTATTGTTGAAGTTAGTGTAAGTGCAAGTGCATGTACCTAGGCCTTTTCTTCTGTGTATTGAACAAAACAACCAACCTACCGAACAAGCCAACCGAGTTTCGACAACATTTGGATCGAGTGCGCATGACGTATGTGTGGAACTGTACATCGATTGATGAAGAAGGAAAAGGGAAATGAAAAGAAAAGAAAAAGACCCGGACACGCCCACCCTGAACGAAAAAGAAACTCCATTCCGATGCTCCTGACTTCCCAATTTCGCCGTATGTATGTGGTGTGTGCATATATGTATGTATTTTGTTTTCATGAAATGGAACGGAGCGGAACGGAAACTGTAGGACAATGTTGGTGGTCGTTGGGGGTAGAAGGATGAGGAGAGGAGTCGACAGGAAAATGGGATAGGAGTGTGTTTTGCGAGTGTGAGTGTGTTTTGCGAGTGTGAGTGTGAGGAGAGTGAGAGATGTGGTAGAGGACGGAGACGCTGAGGAAAAACGGAAAATGGGGGTTCATATAAGAACCATTTTCACGACCTGCCTTTTGTTTTACCTATCTTTAATCTCATTTCGTTTTAGTTTGCCAGTTTTGCCTTCTGGTGGGTTTAGTTTCTTCTTACTCGATGTTGAAGTTGTTGTGCTTCCAGAATCGCCGTCTCCACCAAAGGTGGAAGCAGGTGTTGGCGCAGCAAATTCTATGGCCGCTGCCATGTCCGGGGTAGTTCCGTTTTTCAGTTTGCTTGGTGGGGTGGACTTATTGCTGGAGTATTTCTTTGGGGTGTTGAGTCTCTTCTTCTTAGGGACGGTTCCAGTGCCCGTTTCATCGTCGCCATTGGGGAGAGAGCGTTTGAGGTTTGACGGTTTCATGGGAGGAGGCACCGGTGTACTTGTTCCGCTTTCTAGTGGGGTGAGGATGCGTTTAGTCTGTCTGCCTGACAATCCGAGGCATCTATCGAGGTGCTGGGCGACTCTGGTGACGACGAAGTAGCGCGGACAGTTTGGACATTTCACGGTGGGGAATGAGATTTTCTCAGTTGTGACCTGTTTAAATGAGTTTGCTGGTGTTGATGGGGTGGATGGAGGACTGGATGCAGGGGTGTTTGCAGTAGTTTGGTGTTGCGGCTGTTGCTTCTTCTTCCTGTTTATCTTGTCGGTTGCGAATGGATTACCGTGAACATCATGGCCAGGCATGATGATTGGGGGATGCTTTTTACAGTACTCTTTGCATGGATCAGGGGGAGGTCTAGCGCCAACACCGGTAAGCGGGTAGAGAAGGCGAGGAAGGAAGCAGTTCGGGCACAGGATTTCTTTGGTCGTTTGTAATGGATTTCCTTTGAGATAAACTTTTCCATTGTCGTATATTGCACCGTCTGTCTCAACTCTGACAGTCTTGTTGACCTTTTTGTTCACAATAGTCGAGACAGTTCCGCTTTCAGATTCCCTAGGTTCGTTGGCTTGTATGCGGGCTGCTTCTTCTTCACCAAGCTTCTTTGCAAGAACGACAGCTGACCTCATACGTGCTATTTTCTCTTCACGATGTACTTCGGCGACGATATCATGGATGATGTTGTAAATAGTGTCATCGAGAAGACTCCGTGCCTGGATACTGGTTAGACCATACACAGTCATGAGGTTCCACGGGCCGGAGAGTGTTCCCCATGCCTGCGGAATAGAGGTGACATTTTTCAATTGGGGCTTACCAGTTTAGACATAGTCGCAGATGGGATGGTGTTGTCTGTCTCCGGGATGCTAGCCATGCTGAAATTGTTTTCCTGGTCTGGAACCTCCAATCAGTTTATATAGGACAGTGAAAGTTAACCAAAACACAGAAACAGATATGCGATGCAGTAGCATATAATGCGTCAAAGACTGTAGCGCTTGCCAGTCTGACGAGAGCCAGAATTGCCAAATCTCCATGCTTTCCTAGCAAACCAACATTGCGGATAGCTCACATTGAATAAATACATGGAAGTAGCTTCAATATGGACTGAATCGGGCTGACCTGATGTTTAAAAGGATAGAGTTGATTTAGCTCAAGGAGGCCTTAGCAAGACGCACCCGCTCCAAGCACAGGTTTCTTGTTTCCCAAGGTAAGTTGTATGCCCCCATGCGTCTTAAACCAAAAGCAACGTCGCCCGTTTGGCTTGGGAGGAAGCTTGATGGAAACCCGTTTGGTATACCACCTCTAGAACTAGCTATCTCCAACTGGGAGTACGTGCGGTTGAACGGCACCCGTTTTATCACTGGGACGGGGTTATGCTAAAACGGCGTGGTTGGAAGGAAAGGTTCGTAGACACTTTTTGCTAATGTTTCCTTAGACGTCTATAAGGGTCGAGGTTCTCCCGAAGTACGGCGGTAAATCTAGGCATATATGGTTAGTTGAGCTCAATGGAATCCCCGTTCAGAAACAACTAGGGGAAGACAGCTAACATCCGGGAATGAAAACAAACCCTTGTAGATGCAGAAATGCCAACGACGATCCACAATTCCATTCTTACATCACTCGTGCAGGAGAAAGGAAGACGAATCTGCAGTTTAAGAAGGCCGATGCTGGCCACTGTTGACCCCGGTGCTGTGTTGTAGCAGTGAGTATCTACTCCGTATAGGCTGTGTTGTTCTCCGCTGTTGGTGACGATTCAGCACATTTGGCAGCGTCAAGAAGCTCAAGAGCTTTTTGGGGTGGGCGGGATATAATACCGTATGGTTCTGTCACGGAACCAATCATGCCTATCTAGGCTAAGCGCAGAAACTTCGGCCGATCTTATCTTATCTCATCTCCGCATCTTTATTTAAGCCGCATCGGCAGTCCACCGTCGGACAAAAGTTACTTTACTTGCCACGACCATCGGTTTGTGTTTTGTTATATATGCCGTCTAGGTTTGCTCTGCTCCAATAGGCAAATAGGCGGATGTTGCATCCTTGAACTGCTTCTGCTATGCCGGACTCCTTTTTAACAAAAGCCGCCTCTCCTCCTGGTATCTCTCCCTCCCCTTCAACAAGTAGTAATAGAAGCGGCAATAGCAGGCCAAATGTCGACAAGAACAACTTCAAGCCTAATATCCCATCCTTTCAGCCAACACAACTTATCTCCCTACCGTCTCTAAATTCATCTCTCGTCAACAAGTCGCGTAACGATGACTCTGCCTTCGCGCCAAAACCGTACCCTAAACCTCTGGAGACCGTTTATACCCCACATCCGAATGTCACTATTGAACCTGTCAGAACTGGACATGTCTCATCATTAATGCGCATTACAGGTCTGCTACTGCCAGTCCGCTATCCGAACTCATTTTACACTGCGACCATCACAGACCCCGTCGTCGCCTCTCTCTCTCGCGTGGCCATCTACCACTACCACCCAGCCACGGACGTGGCAGCAATCACCTTTTCCACGACTGCCAAGGCATCGCCACTACCAGCCTCAGATACAGTCATTGGAGGAATACGGTGTCGGTTAGAACCACAGCCTGTGACTGCTGATCCTTCTCCTACGAACCCCGAAGCGCAATCTACGAATTTGTATATACAAACCCTGCATCTCCTTTCTCCCTATCGTGGGAGAGGAATAGCTGCATCTCTTCTGGAGTCGTTAATATATGACCCTTCCGTCACTCCTGGAATGTCGCCGCGATCGGTATCCCCCATTGTTAGGCATTATAATATCCGGACTGTCACGGCGCATGTCCACGAGACAAACGAGGAAGCGTTGGTCTGGTACGCCGCACGAGGTTTCGCAATTCAAGGAGTCGTTGAGGGGTATTACAGACGGCTGAAACCGGGCGGGGCGAAGATCGTCAAGCTCGACTTGGCATGGAACGAGGAAGGGGAATCTAGTAAACGAGACCCGGTTGACGGCTCTGAAAGAATCAACGAAAGTGACGATGATTGGGAGAAGGTTAAGTTGGATGAAGGGGACAGCGCCACGCCGTCAGAGCAATTTGAGGACTATGACACCCTCGAACTGGATGAATGTGTCTGAAATCGAGTGAAAAGCGCATGACTGCTGATTGATGAAGTACTTCAGGATCTGGTGAACGGCGCTCTCCCAAATTTTGCATTGGAAAACAATTTTATAGAAGGGGGGTACCGCTGGCTTCCTCTTTTCCCGAATCTTGGGTATTTCTTTCTCATGGCGCATTTAAGCACTCAAGTTAAATACTTCTCTGGTTGTGGAGGACTTCAGTCCTTCGATTCGGTTTTAATTAGCTTTCCCAGACCAGCTCGACCCAACCACAACAACATCAACTTGCTGTGAAGGCATCCATACAATGTACTGTATCTCCAGCCACGGGAGGTACCACAAACTCTACCTATCCCTAGGAAAGATGTGCGGAAACAGTTGCAAACCTCACGACTTCACACCCCCACAATGCAATTTTACCTTACCTCAACATAACCCTCCCTACGTTTACGGGATGTACAAGTTTGCGAAGAGAGTCGAAACGGCAACTAATACCACCTCCCATCCATCACTCCACATTTACGTGACTGCTTCTCTGCTTAAAGAACTCCCCCTATTTCCTTTTCGAAGAAGTTCCCTGCGATCTCCCACAAGAGGGAATGCGAATTTAACAAAGCGCCTATATCCAAGAACCAGTGTAGAGGTGCCCATTGTCACCAAAGCACCCGGATCGCTCGTATTGCGCCTTGTGCAGCCACTATAGATAATACCCACGAAATGGATATGATATGTAGTATAGAGTTTTCTTTGTTTATCCCGACGACTACATTTTCTACTCGGATGTTTCATTGACAAGCGTCATTGCTCCGTGAGCGTGCGGTTATACATACCTAGGTAGAGAATGCACATAAATATAGATCGGGACGATATTTTTTCTCTTAGTCTCCTCAAATGCCCGCTAGTTTCCTTCTTTTTTCATCATTTCATGCATGTTGTTTCTCTTAATATAGTTTATCAAATTTTGTATTATTCTCTTCTACTACGCGCTATTGCCGAGCATAATATTTACAACCAGCAACCCGCAACTACTTTTCCAACAACCCCCCCCCCCCCCCCCCCCCCGCTGATAGGAGAAACAATGACGAAATTCTGATACTTACCTATCCGTCAACCGACCAGTTATCCAGTTGACCATAGGCTGGCTATGCTAATGCTGGCTACAGGCTAGTCAGAGACCCGCATATATGCAAGGTTGTATCGGCATAGAGCACAGAGAAGTAGAAGCAGTGAGCAATGTTATATTTTACGTATTATTGAGTAAGGGTATCACGTTAAAGGAAGTATGTAGATATGTGAAGATATTACCAGGAAGTTTTGTATATGCAACAAACTCGAGAAAACAAAAGGGGTACTGATAGGGTTCAGTTGGATACATGCCAAAGGAATGACCCACACATGCAAAGAAGACAAATAACAGGAAATATGTATAAGGATAAGAATAAGAATAAACCCTTCTCTTAGATGTGTAGAAAATGCCAGAGAAAAATATATGTGCTGGATATTCTCACTACGTTCGCCAGTAGGAGATAGATATGTGAGAATAAAAGACCCTCGCATCATATCGCATAATTCTCCGTATGCAAATACAATTCATCCCTCCCCGAATTCCTTATAATCTCTCGCTGCAACTGCGCAACCGTACTTGCCACATCAATCCGCATACTTGGCGGTCCGCAAACAAACACACAGATTCGGCGCCCAAAGTCCTTAGAAAACTGTCGTAGCATGTAAGGTATATCGGGCCTGCCATACTCCGTGCGCCAGCCGTCGCGTTTCTGCGTCGGGAGGAAAGCGAAGCGCATTAGGTTCTTTTGGAAAAAGGTGGGTGTGGAGGGAAAGCCGAAGTCGAAGTTGCGGGAGTCTTGTTGGTCATATGTGTGATGTGGGAAGAGGTGGGGTTGATGTGGCTGGCTAAAGTAATCTATTGAATCTTCTTGAGGGGAGGGAAAGGCGGAGGGGCGGGAATGTTGGTGGATGTGTGCGAGTGGGAGGGCGGTGATACCGTCTTCGTTTTCGCGGCGGAGTTCCTTTTCACGTTCCTGGTCACCACCAGCTTCCTCACGAATGAAGGCGGAATTGCGCTTGCTGGCGACCCCTTGGAAGACGTCGTTGATGCGATCGTGGAGAACGGTGCTGTGTGGTCGAGAGCGTGTCCTGATGGTACCATCATGGCGTTTGGCGGCGGTGAGGTAGAATTGGCAGAAGATGGAGCCTGGAGGAGCGTATTCGCGGCATATTCGTAATTCCTCCTTGAACCATTCCATGGTCTCTGGGCGCTTGAGGGCCCATACAACACGCACTGATCTCGTGAGGGCTTTGCCATCTCGCATTCGTTTTATCAGGTCAAGGAGTTGGCTTGTAATGGCAGTGATGCCGGTCCCTCCCGCGAAGAATATCACATCATCGAATGAGGCTATCTCCCGTCTCATACCTCCGTAAGGCCCATCGATAAATGCACGGTAGGTTTTATATGGACCCTTTTCAAGAGCCGTGTCCAGAACCTTGGCTGTAAAGCCACTAAACGGTCGGAAAACGAGTGTCATATCTCGGAAATTTTCGCCATATTCGGACGGAAAGTCGTCACTGCATAAAGAGGCAACGGTGAAAGGATGGTTCTCAAAGAAAGAAATTCCCGGCATGCGAAGGTAGACGTATTGTCCTGGCCTCCATTTCTTCTGCGTGGGAATGGTAACTTTGATTGCATTTTCAGGAAGGATGGTGATGGCAGATTCCTCTCCGATGAGCCAGGAGAGGCGAAACGGATTGGTCCAATTCAGGAAGAACAGCCTAATGATATAGGAGAGGAGCCAGACGGCCACCGTAGTGAATAGATAATGCCATGAGGTCAGGACATTTCTGCAGTGCCAAAAAAGCATCCCTGTAAAAACAATGGACGCTGGTACGTGTAGCAAAACAAAGAGCTCATATAGCTGGTTACGGAGCACTGGTAAGGAGTGAACACAAAGGAAACAAAGCGGCACGAATGCTGCCAGTCCAGTGCCATATATATACATGTTCCCCCTGCGAAGCTGCTCATATAGAGGCAGCGCGTTGTCCCCCCAGACAGGGGTTATGTAGAATGGAATCATATGGACGAGGCTTAGAAAAAGACAGAGATACCCGGCCCATCTATGGAGAACGTTAAGTCTCTCATGACCTATGCCGGTTATCAGAGAGATAAAATTTGCCTTTGAGCTTAACGCGATGATCCACGGCATCAAAGCAATGGCCAGCATTCCGGCGCGAATAGCCAGAGGAGGAGATCCGGATCGTATGCTGGAGTAGAAAAGCGGTTGGGGGAGAAAGCAGTATAGAGTGACAAATATCAGAGCCAGCAGAATGAGAACGGTGGCTCCCATCGATGGCGGGACGATCTCCAGTTTCCATATCCTAATCACAGGTATTGGTCTATAGACTATCCACCTAACGAGCGCTAGTAAATTGTTTATAAACCGTATATTTGAGATTGAGGACTCTTGCCTAGCTGTTGACGGAAGGGGTCCATCTGCAGGGAAAAATTTGCGCGTGGAGGTTGCGGTGCCGGGGCTTGTCATTTCGAAAGGTGATTCCGGATAAGAGTTTTTGGTGTTGAGTACATACTCCTTGTAGAGACCCGTTCTTATCTTGTCGCACCATACATGGTAAAGGTGAAGTAGGGACGTGAAGACGAGCAGAATGATTGCAAAATACACCCAGCCAAGGGCATATTTGCCTGATTTCTTAAATGGATCCCTTTTGCTGTCCTCTATTTGTTGAATGGTGCTGGTACTGTCGAGTATTATATTTATGCGTTTCGCTAGTGAAACAAATGGTGCTAGCAGTTCTCTCAAAAATATGTCTTCTGCGTCTCCAAATCTGTTGAGTGGTGACATGATGTGTCGACTTGGACGAAGCTGTCCACTTTCTAAAAGCGAACCTGGTAGGAAAAATCGCCTATCCCAGAACCAGTTGGAATAACCATGGAGAATATGCTAAGTGACTCCCAACCCTGAAGAGCCCTCTTGCGCAGTCTGTTTAAGCTCTGCAATATTATTCCGTCTATTCGACCAGCTTTCCATCAATGACGAAGAACGATTATCATCAGGTCCCGCGGTCCGTTTGCGGTGCGTTTATGCACTGCTGGAATTGAAGAAGTAAGACGACTGAGTTGCGCAGAATACTCGCAAAGATAGCTAGCCAAAAACTCTTTGTGCAATCAGATATCAAAGTTATCGGCAGTGTGCATGCTGAAATAAAGCAAGGTGGGGGCAGAGGAGCGGAGTAATCAGTGTCGACAACAGGATCCAGGCTGAAGGATTCCAAAACCTGCGATTCGGAAGAACTATCAATTTCGGTCCCTGCAGCGGAGCCTAATTCACTTGTGGTGTGGAACCAACGCTTGTTATCTTCACTGTATCACAGACGGGTATAACTCGAGCAACGGACATCCACAATGCTGGTACAACTCAGTTGGAGCCAATGTCTTAAAATACCGAAGTGAACGCACAAAAACCACGGACCTTGTGTCGCAAAAGTCCCAAAGAAACAGATCTCGAAAAATAACGAAAGGAGTGAACGTAGATGTTGAGCGAGGCTGCCAGCGCGGTCGATATCCCGTTGACTGTCAACCGGCGTGCAGAGTTATTCTCGGAAATTGTGTGTGTGTCAGGTGGAACATATATGCTGGCGGTCACTAAACTATCACATAAGATCGAAGTGGTACACAAGGTAGCTAGCTGCCTTTTCTAGAAAAAGGGTGTCTTGTCAGAATTCCAATTGGAATTAAGATCGCTTGCGTTAGGACTTGTATGGAAGGAAGATAGAAGGTCTTAAAGATGTGATGACCGTAGGAGTTCAGTGGCAGGAGAAAGTCAAATGTCGCAATTGCTTGACAGTGAACGAGACCGCATAAAATGTGGATATTCGATAGGGACTTTCCTATTGCTGGTCTAATCTGCTTGTGTATCCACTGGCGGCTGTTTGAGCATTTACGGTTGGCGCTCGCTTTGAGAGTTGTTGTACACGCCAGCAATAGAATGCTGATTCTGAAGATTCAGGACGGATGGAGCGGGGTTCCATGAGGAGGATAGCTCTCATTGGAAAAGGGACCCTGGACTTTTCAGGGCGGGGATGGCCCTGTAGCGAATCAGAAACGGGAATGAAGACTCACTGTGACGACCAAGGATGGCGTCCTTGGAGCATCCGATACTCCTCCGTGCATCAATAACTCTCCCGGAGCATAAGTGAACCGTAGCAATTTCCCCTCGATATCCCCAGGATTTTCCAGTTCACTAAGCCAATCATAAAGTTTCCTCTGGTCAATCCTCACAAGTGTTGTTCGGTTCATAATCTGCCACAACCGATAACTATCAACTGATCTTTCGATCTCCAAGCTGAGGTCATTGCCTCAATATCCAAGCCTGCAGGTTCTTTTGGCTTCCTTCGTAATTTCTAAACGTGTTATCTTCGTGACATCTTGAAAACAATTCAGCTACCTGCCTGTTTGCCAAGATTCGCCGAAGAACCACCTGCGAGGGGAGGAGTCCATCTCCATTTTGGTGTATTGGCTGCAACTGTGCCTGCTTCTGCAGACCCCGTGAAGGATACAGGGCAATTACACGGTGTTACGCCTTCATTGGTACTCTCAGGGAGAGCCACAGCTAAACCAACGGGTAACGGTGTCAGAGAACGTCACAGGCTGTTCATGCCCTGCGGACTCAGGCCAACCACCAACCATCAACGCACCGCGAACAGAGAGCAAGCGAATCCTCTCAACGCTAGGAAGAGATCGGCCCGCGAATCAGAGATACCAGAAAGAAGAGCTGCAGACTTTGCGAGTCAAGTGAACGAGTCGCATGGCATTGTTTACCGCCCCAGCTGCCAAGCCGCCCAGTAGTCTTTGTTACGGAAACCCAAGTGCTTCCAGTGCTTCCTCCCCCAAGACCCTGGATCCTGAGTCCCTTGACCGTCCTGGGGCCGTTGTTTGCGGATCAGAATATCCCTGACCCTCGATGGCATTGGAGGTTGATCCCCCGGCTGACGTGCTTTGTGCTGCATTAGTGCCGAGGAAGCGTGGAGTCGGACGTGATGGCTATGATGAGGTCGCAGGCTTCCGCAGCCAATCAGAGAGCGTATGACCGGTTATCCGGAGGCTACACCGACAGAATCAGGGCTAGCGGGCACTGCTCCTCTCACCGACTTCAACTTTCTGCCACTGCCGCCCAGCACATCGGGGATTTTGTTACGGAGTAGTTCTGCTCCAGACTCCTTCCATGGAGATAATGTTGCTGTCTGGATTGAACGACTGTCATGATCTCAGAGCATTCTGCTTTATTTCATCATATATTAAGGAGCAATTTTACAGGAGGGGCAGCAGAAGCCCTAGAAACCTTTCTTGACATCGCTCATCCTCCACTCTTGAGTTTTGCGTGCGGTACCCGTAGGTCTTAAAGGCTTCATCGATGAGCTGATCCCCTGGTCTGTTTCCTGCCGAGGCTCGTCGATTTCTGTTGTTGAAGGCCGGCCCAGCACGAGAGACCAGTCTAGCACGATGGACTTACACACCATCGCTGTCATATTGGAAACAGAAAGCACCCAACCATATGCTCCGGGCACGATCGTCCAGGGGTCGCTATACCATCCCACCTGAATGGTCAATATCCGGAGCTACCGCCTTAATATTTGTCATAAATGAATTAAACCTAAGCGCACGTTCATATTTCAAATGCAATCGTCAACTATCATCCAATATATTGGATATCACGAAATCATCTACGGATGCATTGATGAGTTTGATGACGAAATAATGAACCGAACAATTTCTCTAGCAGCACCAATGGATTGCGGGAACTGCCAGTTTTATTACCCAAGCCTCCCTTGCGGTCGACATTGTGACACTACACAACGTGGAAGCTGTTGGCAAGCTCATCATTAGCCTCTCGTTACGCTTTATACCAGATTGTCGTCACGGGTCCAAAGAGTAATATATAACACCCGCTGCTCCTGCATTTCCGAACCGTGATCCCCCATCAATGGCGGCGGTTTTAGCGCTCGCGATCTCTAACAATGTTTATTTCAAGAAAGCTGGATTTTACCAAAACATTTGGTGTGGTTGTAGCACTGGGTGAGCTCGTCACTCTGCGCTTAACGGAGCATTGACGCTTTCTGGATGATCCCAGGCATGGTCAATAACCTGGTTGGTGGGAGCCATATTTGTTGAGGATCCCCTTTTTCCTTTCTTTTTCTTCGGTTCCGTAGCGAGGTATTTTAGCTGGGCTGTTGATATCTTTTGGCTGCATTGCTCCAGTGTTTTTCTGAATTGATATGTAGAGGATGATATGTCACAGGGGCAATACCCTTTTAAAGAAAAATGAATATGAAGAACTGCTGTGAAGGGTCTTGTAGATTGATATGAATGCAGCCTAAAGGCAGGACGCACAAAAAAGACGGTCTTGTTCTTCATGGGATTGCTGCTCCACACCGGGACTCATATCAATGCATGAAGGATGTGTCCGGGTTGAGATCATCGTCCCTTGACTTTATTCAATAGCTTGACCATTATTGCGGAGTTATGAATCGCCGCCAAATTTCAAAATGGAACCACAAGGCTATGGTTACATTTACGTTTGAGAGTGTGACGAAAGATGAGCACCAGTCAGCAGATTGTAGTTCATGTTCTGCATGGATCACTATAGTTACTGGTAAGGCGCCAGGGAAGAGATCCCTCTGTTTATTTCGTCGTGGTATATCGATGAGTACAGATAGATAGCTGTAGTTAAATTCGCTATTGTTGCAAACAAATCAAAGCCGCCAGTAAATCATGTGACACCTAGTTAATTCAACTCACCGCTTTTAACTAAATATTCTGCCGCGTCAAATGTCAGTTATCGCAATGAAACAGTGTTCAGCGTCAAATGAGAATCTTCATGCATTGATGGGCTGGTAATATCTCTCAAGCTCATTCAAAGCCGGTTATTCAAGCGCTACCATTTTGCAGGCTACCCACAACCCAAGACCAATGGCACCTGCACCTATAGCTGCCACCTCAGGCCTGAACTCAGATTCATCCAAATCACTTCAAGGGCCTCCTCCATCCCTTTCGCTTCCACCCTCCCAATTCGCCAGGCTACAACCGCATGCTTACCTCCTTGCGCATCTTTCACCCCCATCCCTAGATTCGCGAACCCCTCTGCGTGTAAATGGACGCTCGACATGTCAATTCCGCCCCGTATCCGTTAACACCGGCTCCCTAACACACACCAATGCCAGCGCCGTAGTTCGCACTGGCGATACAGTCGTGGTATGCGGTGTACGCGGCGAAATCCTCTCAACAGACGACATAGCAGCATGGAACGTATCTTCATCGGATTCTACTTCCTCTAAACGGAGAAGAACGGGAAGCGCACCGGGGCACCAATACCAACAGCAAAAGCAACAGCAGCGCACCAATGAAGAAACAGAAGAGAGCGACGACGACGACGACGACGATGACGACTCCGAAATACATGACTTCAACCTCCTCGTCCCTAACCTCTCCCTCAGCACGGGTTGTGCCCCTGGCATCTCACCCTCCGCCCCCCCCTCCGCACTCGCCCAATCACTCTCCCACGAGCTCCTCTGTCTCCTCCATTCAACCCGCCTGATCCGCGCCTCAGATTTGCGCATTCTTCACCACCAACCGGACCTCACAAGCATGGCCACAGCTAACACGTCAACCCCCACCCAGGCCCAACCGCAACCATACGAACCAGAACCAGAAACCAAAGCCGAGCCAGAAACAAAAGCCTTCTGGACCCTATACATCGACGTCCTCATAATCTCGCACGCAGGCAACCTTTTCGATGCAGCCTGGGGCGCCGTCGTCGCTGCACTACACAACATGCGCCTGCCAAAAGCGTGGTGGGATATGGATCGCGGTATGGTGCTGTGTTCCGACGATGTTGCTGAGGCGCGTCCGTTGAGGTTGCGGGGGTTACCCATTGCGAGCTCGTTTGCGGTGTTTGAGGCGGATGAGGCGGAGAGGTGGAAGATTCCGATGCCGGTTGGCGAGTCGGGGGCGGATATGGATTCGTTGTTGAAGAAGCCGGTGGTGGCGATGAGTGTGGGTGGGGAAGGGAGGCCGCGGAGGTGGATTCTTGCTGATCCCGATGCGTTTGAGGAGTCGTTGTGTGCGGAGCGGGTGTGTGTGGTTGTTGACAAGGGGTGGGATGGGAAGGTGAAGATTTTGAAGTTGGAGAAGAATGGGGGGTTGGCTGTGGGGAGGAGGGAGGTGAGAGAGCTTGTTGAATTGGCAGCGGGGAAATGGGAGGAATGGAAAGGGTTGCTTGTGGGACCATGATTTTTGGCACTTGAAAGGTGCAGGTTGGTGGGAGGTGGATAGATTTCCCATGTTTTGGGTATATGGGAGCATACTTTTCCTCTCGCATTGCATATATATTATGCATTCATGGAATTCGACCGCATTATGTTCATATCCACGGCTGAAGGGTAAACAATACGTAACAAGGCCAGGGCGATCCGATATATGTACTGAAGTTGGCGTCGATGTACATATTCCACCCATGCCACGCCATATCAGAGATCCAATATAGAAGAGACACGTATCTTCCTTTTCTATCTATATATCTCTAGCCACGCGTTGATGGACATCTACAGCATAGAAAATTATTCAAATGTAGAAAACAGAGCTATTCAACCCATATGGTTCGCCTCTATATCCCAATTGGTTGCACAAACGCCCAAACCACCGAAAAGCCAGAGATCCGATGCAAAACCAAGGCATAAATGTAAATGTAAAACTACAAAATCACGGCGCACAGCCTCAGCGCGGAAATCTACTTCTATCACCTGCCCTCTCGGCCCTGCGCCTCTTCATCGCCGGCTCCTGAATATCAACTCCTACAAGGAGGGGAGACGAAAGGGATGATGAAGGTGTGCCGTCAGAATAGGAGTTGTGAACTTCTTCTTCCTCTTCCTCTTCTTCTTCTTCTTCTTCTTCTTCTTCTTCATCCCCTTCCTCCCGTCTCGCAGCTGGATTATATTGGGACAGTTTCGTATCACACTTTTTCATTTTGTCTTTGCTGGAGAGTGTAACGGGGTTGGTGGATGGATTTGTTATAGCTTTCGATTTTGGGATGGAAATGGAGAACGAGAATATGTCTCGAGATGTAGAGGTCTCGTGTGCAGATGGTTCCTTGATTTTGTCCTTGGGAGACTTAAAAGGGTTCGTAGATGCCTTCGAGTCTTTACCAAAAAATACCTTGCGGAAAAACCCCATTGTGGTAGGCGCATTTTCTTTCTCCTCCCTTTTCTTCTCCATATCTTTATCTGCTGTTATTTCTTCCTCTTCCTCTTGGATTGCATCGGAGAAATTCCACATCTCTTTGATATCCCCCTTCACGAACGCGGTTGTCCACAGGGATCCAAGGACACCTGGGACGAGATAGAGAAGGGCGGGTTGCGCGTGGCCGGAGATCTGCATCGCCAGAAGCGTGGCCAACATGCCCATCGCGTACCCAATTAGGCTGGCGTAGAAATATGTCTTGGGGAAGGATTTGGCTTCGTTGAATGTGAGCTTTCCACCATCCATGCACTGCGAAGGATTTGTGACTGGTGAAGATGGGAACCCCGATGACCAGAAACGCTCACCCCAGCGACCGGTGGTGTTGACGTATATAATTTTCCCGGGTTCGCTATTGCTGATACCTCGGCCGTTTGCTTTGAGCGCCAACATAGCGCCTTTGAGCTTGTAGAAAAGAAAAAGATCAAACCGGAGTGCTAAACCGATCACCATACCAGGTATCACGATATCGCCTAACCCCAGCATCGCCATATTCACCATATCACGATCCTGCCCCGGTAATGGGGGCCGCGGGAATACCAGCTTGATGGGAATATCCAGGCTCTTGGCAACGGTAACCATCAGCGGCGTGAAGAATACGAAGTAGATATCATAAAAAAACAAAGCGCTCAGAACCAACGAGCCCGTCCAGAATGTCGTGGGCGACATGAATTGCATAGCACCGTAGGAAAAGCTGAAGCCTAGGAAGTTGGTAAGCCACCACGGCTTCTTGACGAAGGTAAAGTAGAATACGGCTACAAGACCAAGGATGCCGCCCACGACATCGAGAATCGTGAATCTGCTTTTGACCTCGACGACTGCGCAGATATAGGCGCGGAGTGTAGCCTTCTTGTATACAACCCCTCGCACACTCCAGAGTGCCTCTAGAAATGAAGTGGGGAGGGGAATTCCCCCCAGAGAACCCGGCAGTGGAGATTTACGCTCCTCATGCACCTCTTCCAGAGGCAGCCCGTCATGTTCAACTGGCACGAAAGCCCTCTTGAGCTGATTGGCTTTCCACACCACGCCATCCACAGCGTAGCGGGAGGGGAAGATAAACGACCTCAGCACCGAAAGCCCATCTCCCATAAACGCAATGGCAAAAACAGTCCCAGCCTGTGAAAAATAAAAGCCTAGAATCTTATTGAGGATGGCGGGGTCATTGAGCCAGTTGATCAGGAGATATAGGCCACCCAGCGTCAAGCCGGCCATGACGGGGAACATGATGGCATCAGAAGGCTCAAGGCCTTCCATTTTCGTCAAGCTGGATTCGTCGTCTTCCTCGTCGCTGTCTTCATTTTCGTCGTTGGTCTCTAACTTGTCTTTGCGTGTGGTTGGTTTGGCCGCGGAGGATGGTCTTGTTAAGGATGCATGGGCACCTATGTAGATGAGGAAGAGAGCTGACACGAGTAGGTGACTATATGTAGGTATGAGAGGTTTGCACTTGGTAAACTCGAGCTGGACCTGCTCCAGCAGTTTGGCCAAAAGGCCTGGAGACTCCATATTGCGGAGCGCCTTGGACGGAGAGAGAGCGTCGCACAGTCGAAGTCGACTGAGGAGCTACGCAGAAAAGAAGAAAGATATAGTAGGGATGTAAATTTTCATAATTTAAGAGAGTAATGTTGATATCGTCTCCAGAATCCCCTTTTGTTCATCAAAGAGTGTTTGGGTTGGGTGTTTGCGTGGTGCTTGGTTCAAGGATCGGAGCGGAAGGCGGCTGTGTCTGACTCCATTAGCTCAACTCCCTTATGCAAACCTAACTTGAGTGGAATCACCCAAATCCCTGGACGCCGTTCCAGCTCACAAACCACCTGAACCCACTAAATCATTCGATATGCCCATCACATCAAAAAAGATCCAGCTTTCAATCAGGAAGAAGGCTTCTTTAGTCATTAGAGCTTATGAAACCAAGCAATTTTTGAGCATGCAAGCAGCTCCCAAGGTGTAGTTACGATGTTGCTCTCACGAGCCATTCCTCTCAACTGCACAGTTGAACCACACACATCAATTCTCAACAAGGATATCAAAAGTTGACCTTTATTGAAGAAAAATTTCTTAGTTCAATGAATAGTATACATCAATAAGACAGGTTTATATCTCTAAACTGCAAGTATATAACTAAGATATGATTATTCAAGCAGTAATTAGTAATTTTACGAGTAACTACTTACTATTTACAAGCTTAGCAGCAAGGGATAAAAAGCGAAGCCAAATAACTATATATCTGCATTCTGGGATGATACACTTTTGGAGAATGAAATGATTTATATGCAGCGCTCAATTAGTATGAAATATAATATATATAAGATGAATTGATAGATCTCATAATAAAGCTTATATTGCGGGCGTGCTACCGAGTACAGTCCTACCACTTCCTAGCTGTAAGAGACAAATTCATTAGGGAAGGGAAAGAAGGAGGGGTTCGTAAAGGTAAATTCTCAAGAATGGATACATGTTGTATGAATCGGGGTGGATAAAAGATAGCCTAATTTATCTTATAGCTGATAAATAAATGTTTGAAGGACAGTCTGATCATACAACTGGTAAATGATACTTGATTGCAGAAGAAATCACTTTTAATAACAAAAGCTTTATCTAACTCTACACTAACATAGTTAACTAACTTTATAAATGATTATTATAATAGAGATCATGAAAATATTATAATTAAGACTAATGAAGAGAATAAGCTCTACTTGAAAAGAAGAAGAAATTGCAATATTAAGAGAATAAGAATCTTATAGAGTTATCATATTGATAACTTAAAAAAATCAACATAGGGTGAAGTCTTTAGTCATATTAATTTAATAGATTTTCAACGAAAGTTTACACTGAATAAAGATAAAAGTCTTGATAAAGAATCTACAGTCCCAACCAATAAAAACACAAGAAGTTCACTAAGCATCTAATTATTTATAGTCATTTAGATGGTTAGTTTGTATCCAGCCAGCTCTCGCAGTTCAAATTCTCGGCTTGTCAAAGCATGCTGAGCAGCACTCAAATAACCATTACAATATCTCAAGTATAACAAAAAATAAAAAATCGGCACCCGTTTCAAGCTGGCTTGGAGCATGAGAATGACCTTCAGCCTATATGGTACATGGATTCAGACTGGACAGGTGTAGAAGCCTAGTAAAATCAGCTTTATCATATTCATAAACGAAGCATCCAAAATCACATGGCGCTCTCAACATCAAAGCTTCCGCTGCAAAAATCAAAATCAACCACGGAAGCAGGATACACCAGTTATATCGAAGGCGACATGTGAACTAGTCTGGCTGAATGGTATGTTGCAGGGTTAATAGGAGGCAAAGGGCTAATACGTACGGGAGCTCCATATCGATAATAAGGGGGCGATTGACCTTGTCGAAGCGTTCCCGGCAACGTTGAGAGCCCGTTTAACCATCATATCAATCTATCGCATCCTTCCACACCCCCAGCATGTGACCCTAACCCCACATTAAGTAGAGCCGATTGTCTAGATAATTCCTAACTCAATGAATGGACGAAATCCTTCCCAAAGATTGATTACGTTGGTTATTGGTAATCTGTGCTTAGTCAGCGTGTAATCTCGCTTACCTATAACTAGTGTTTTCCGCACCATTTCCCCCCCACCCCAACCCAATAATGAAAGTCCAGTTGCCACGTTTTTGTTACCTATCAAGATCATCAATCAAATAGCTTCATCCAACAACAAGTTCTAATTGGTACGGCCAGTACATAACAGCACCAATGGTTACCAACGTGATTCTCGAGACTTCGATGGTACTGCAAAATCCTAAAAGCTAGAGCTCCATCTGTATATTATTGGAATAGGCTTGCTAACGCTTCTCAGGGCACCATCACCGTCGAGCTCTACAACGACCATGCGCCCAAGGCACGTCTGCGCACCCCTCTCGCTTTGAAATCAATACCACACTTTTACTCTATTTGCTAATTCTCATTTTTCATTCAATTTCAGACATGCAAGAACTTTGCATCCCTCGCCCAACGCGGCTACTACAACAACGTAATCTTCCACCGCATCATCTCAAATTTCATGATCCAGGGTGGAGATCCAACCGGCACTGGCAGGGGGGGAAGTTCGATCTATGGTGAGAAGTTTGAGGATGAATTCAGCCCGTCGCTGCAACATTCTGGCGCTGGGATCTTGAGCATGGCCAATAGCGGGCCCAATACCAATGGCAGTCAGTTTTTCATTACTCTGGCTCCAACGCCTTGGCTGGATGGGAAGCATACGATATTTGGCAGGGTGAAGGATGGAATGGGAGTTGTGCAACGGATGGGGATGGTGAAAACGGGAGCGGAGGATAGGCCGATTGATGAGGTTAAGATTTTGAGTGCGAAGGTTGTGGAGGAGGGAGCGAAAGAGTGATGCTATAGCGGCATTGCGCGGCCTACCGTAAAGAGTGGCTGCTTTTATCTTATGTTCAATCAATTAAATCTCCTTTTTCTGCTGAAACATCTAGAAGAAGAGTTGAGATGCTGCTCTGCTGTGGGATTCATAGCCGTGTTTAGGAAAACATTCCTCCCGCCATGGGAAGGAGAGTTCCTATGCTCGAGCAATGATGCGGCGAGGATCCGTGCGGCAACAACATTATTGCGTTTGTCTATGGAAAAAAATGTTCCTCGATATAGAGTTAAGTTCACGAGTAAATAAGCAGGCAAGACTATCATTGAATATGGGAAGTATGTGTCACCGCAAAACGAACCGCTTCCATCAGACTTGTGATTCCGGAGCAGCAGATACAGGGTGAATTATGTACTCTACACTCCATAGCGGACACATCCAATGAAGGCGTATCCAAAAGCAAGTTCGCCAAAGCAACAACAGAAGCGTGAAGCGGCCTGTCTGCGTAGGAGTGAGTTGAAGAAAAGAAAAAAAGAATCTTGGCAAATTGGTTGTTCTGAATTTGAGGCTAGGGTTAAAACGCCAAGCCCTTGCCCTTTATCATGTGGCTCAACTCTATTTTTCTACGGAATATTTCTGCCTCTTTCTCCCTTTTTTTCTTCTCCTTGCTTTCCCACATATGAAAAAAATATAAAAATTCTCAACATTAAGATATATCCAACATTTGGACTTGGCAGCACTGTATATTATCAGCTGCAATGAGCTTCTATTTTATCATGGATTGAGCAGTGTATCTGTAATGTCCGTACGATTATCATGGAAAAGCTAACTGATGTTGACTGGGATGTGCTGATCTCCGGTACTGGCCTGCCACAGTCTCTTCTTGCACTGTAAGTGATAATCTGTTCTCTATATATGTGTTTACTTTGTTGACTGCTTCTTATGCTAATCTGCTTCATTCTGCTGGATCAGAGCACTATCTCGTTCAGGCAAAAAAATTCTTCATGTTGACAAACATGGCTATTATGGCGGCTCTGAGGCAGCCTTCACCCTTCACGAGGCTGAAGACTGGGTGAAAAAGATCAACGAGGGTGAGATACAGCGTTAACAGTTAACAATGGCTCTAATGGCCAAAAAACAGGCCACGAGTTCTTGACTCATGGATGCTGATCAGGCCCTGCTGACCAGCTCCGGGCTCTATTCCTTTTGAGGCCGCCTCAATTTTCTCCACCCCACCAGCGGGGGACAACGGCAAATTATCACCTTCAAGGGCATATACACTGTCATTGTCTCCGCAACTTATATACTCCCGTTCGAGGCTAATTCCATATCTTGTTTCGTCGAGAATATACCAACAATTGGAATTCCTGGCAGTAGGGAGTGTGTGGGTGTTCAGGGCCGCATCCGATCCAGCAGGATCTGTGTCTTTGGATCGAGTCCCTGGAAGTCGAGAAGATGTCTTCGCTGACGACAGCATGTCGAACAAGTCGAAACGAACGCTGATGAAGTTTTTAAGACATCTTGCTCAACCACTTCAGGAAGATGGGACAAATGAAGGGGACAGCACCCTTGACAACAGCCTGGATATTCCTTTTTCACAATACCTTGCGTCAAAGTTCCAGGTGCCTTTGGAGCTGCATGACCCGCTAATTTCTTTATCCCTGTCTCCTCGTTCGTCAGATGACACAAGCAGCAGCTACGCTCTCCGCAATATAAAAAGACATTTGGGATCAATTGGCGTTTTTGGCGCTGGTTTCGGTGCTCTTCTTGCCAAGTGGGGTGGTGGCGCGGAGATATCACAGGTAGGAAGTCGCGCCTGTGCGGTTGGCGGTGGTGTGTACGTTCTGAATAGGGGCGTAAGGCATGTGGAAATGCCAGCCACTGGTCAAAGAGACGGTGATGATCCACTACTGCGTGTGCAGCTCTCAGATGGGGAGACTGTCAGCAGCAAGTTTGTTGTGGGATCGCCATGGGACTTACCAGCTGCATCCGAAGCAGCAATTGCCTCTTGCGCCAGGGTTGCCCGCGCCATTATGATCGTGTCGTCTCCGCTGGAGAGGCTCTTCCCACCTACGTCAGAAGGCGGACCCATCCCAGCTGGAGCTGTTGTGTTTGTCCCTGGAACAGCGGCTCGCAAGGGTCAACCCCCTGTCTACTTAAGCATACACTCCAGCGATACTGGGGAATGTCCGATCGGCCAATGTAAGTATCACTCTTTCTCCCCTGCTACATCAATATAAATCCAGCGCCAATACCCTGGCCATATGCTCTCACATGATGATTACACCTTTAAACGAATACTTATCTACATTGTCTGCAATAATATTGATGATAAACTTTCCTCTGACAGCCTGAAGAGAGCTACCCCAATTCGTCCCTTTGTATTATTTACAACCCATCATTACATAATGATTAAATATGCTAACATACCTGCAAGGTGTAATCTACGGCAGCACCCTTTTAACAGGCGATGATGATGATGATGGGCAATCCCTCATCCAATCCGCCACAACAAACCTCGTTACCTCCATAGATGCGAATGCAAGAATCCTCTGGAGTCTTCGATACACGCAACTAGGTACCATCAACGAGCCATCATCATCTCCCTCTGCTACAGAAACACCCTCCGTTTTGAGCAGTCTGTCAGATCGGGTATTCTCCTTTGCACCGCCTAGTCTAGACCTAGCTTTCGATGACGGATTGATCGACCAAGTACGATCGGTCTGGGAAACGATTACGGATGGGGATGTGGAGAGAGGGGAGTGTTTGCAATTTGAAGATCGCGAGGGGGTAGGGGAGGATGGGGAAGGTGTTTTGAGTTGATGTATATATGTATATACACATACCCTCATTGAGATGATTGTGTATTGGGGGTGACATAACCATCAGATTTGGGATTGTGTATCTGTTCCCGGATATTACCAGTAGTCATCAAGTGAGTTTTAGCTATAATTCGAGCTTTCTTGATACTCTCTATAATCACATTGTCCAGTTTTGAATAAGCATCCCGTTCCCATACTGTGTCCCTCGCAAACAGCCTACAGAGTTAACTAAAACTACCAGAGCTTGAAAGCTCAATCAGCTTATTGAGAAAAGAACTGAGAATTTAAATTCAAAAGACGAAAAGTGAAGATCGCTCATCTACTCCGTACAGCATATGCAATATAGCTGAATATAATGACGACCTAGTGCTTATATAATTACCATATATAATCCCTTGTGGGTTGTTGCTTAATTGTCAACTAGAATGATGAGGGTTGATCAAAGAGGCGGTCTGATACAGAAGGCAGATATTCAATCATATGCTGCGCCGGTGTTATAAAGGGGTCCAAATGTTGAAAATTCTGCCAGCGACTACTAACATATTTCCAAAGTCTATTCTCAGATCCCATAAAAAAATATTCTTAATCTAATTTAAGTTTATTTCGTGGTTTGTGGAGATAATCGATTTCGTATCCAGGGCAGAGGATTTTATTGCGCAGATCGTTGAGAGGCCCGAACGTTTGAGTGCCCGTCACGGTATACTTAAGTTAACTACATACATACATAGCCAAGTGTATACTATTATTTATGTTTCAAACACGTTTCAAAACGGCATTCTACAGTCCGAAGTTGAAACATGCTCAAATATAATCAAATAAACCATTGCGAGCAAATTGAACAGATAATACAGCCAGAATCTAGATGATTTTACTAGCATCGATATACTTTTTAACGGGTCCATACTTGCGTGAACACCATACCTCCACCCACTGTCAAGTATACTGCGAATCACAGCTAGTCAAAGAGACAGCTTTTGATGAGACGAAGATCGAACCTACTTTATTTTATTTTATTTTATTTTATTTTATTTTATTTTATTTTATATTTTTTTGATTGTTTTACTAGGATGGGCACAACCATTCATGTGCCTAGGCAATTAGCCAACTGTCTAACCACAAACCAGGATGGGTTTTCGCCGCTGGAGGCCCTGAATAAGTCATGGCATCAAAAAGATTAAAAACAATGAAGAAGAAGAAACAAAATATGACAGAATGGCCAAGCTTGGTTGATTGCAGAGTTTGCACGCTACGAGAACGACTATATTTTGGTGGACAACGGGGTCCCGTGACAGAAGTGTCCAACTCAATATCCACCCTGCGACGATTCCTCGTGTTTCTCGGACGGGTTTTTATCATCATCCTTGTCTATTTCCTATTGTCTTGGTCGAAGCACCGCGTAGTTGTACAGATCCCGTTCTTCGACGTAGACTCAGTAAGCTCAGTAGATATATCCATGCAAGTGTTGCCGTGCGGTATGCCTCGTCTTGACTCGCCTCGCCTCTCCGGCAATGTATATACGTACCTAGGTACTAACATACCAACACGCTTTTGTGTTGAACATCATCATCTTCGACATTTCCTCTCTTCGTCTTCGTCTTCGTCTTCGTCTTCAACTTCCTCTTCCTCTTCTTCTCTGCGTGGCGACGTGTGTCACTGCTTCCTTCAACGTTGCCTCTCGTTTCTAACCTCTCCAAGTCTTTCCCGAAACATACACCTCTGTGACTCTGCCCCCTATAATCACGAGGGGGAATAGCCAAAAGATACCCCTACACTCTTCTCGTCTTCACAATTACCAACGGGCTCTCAGGAGATACCTGTTGACTTCAACATCAAAGGCTCATGCCGGCCCTGAAAGAAACCAGTGCGGTTGCTCTCATATCCACTCCAATGTCATATGTCAGGCTCAAGTTGTTGGCTTCCGTCGTGGTCATCTTCACCATCGCCCTGTTCCTCTGGAGTCTCAACCACTATAATGACGCTGCCCTGAACTGCCTCACTAACCCCGGCCATCGTCTCTCCTCTGCGCTTTGTTCATCTTTTCCATCCCTCTCATCCTCCTCCTCTCTCCCCTCCCACTTACCAGCCTCACCACCATCACATCATGGAACTCCTCAACCAAAACTCGAATTCGGACAGCCAAACCAGCTCTGCGATACATTGGGCATAGCCACAACCCATCCCCTACCCTTCTCGGAATGGCTAATCGCAAAGAACTACACACGCACCTATCTGCGGACCCACCATCTTGCCCCCGAAACACAATTCGAATCCCTAGAAACCCTCCACGGCCGGGTCTTGCAGCCTTTCCGCCCCATGAACCGTGGTATGACAGTAGATCCATCCTCCGACGAGATATCCCAACCCTGCCCACCCATAGTGGACGTCGATGTAGCCGCTGACCACGACCCATCCCATACATCCAAAATCCTCTTCGGCCTCGCAACAACCACAGACCGTCTACGCCACTTCCTCCCTTCCTTGCTATACTCCTACGGTTCCACGCAAGCCAGCCTCCTCGTCCTCATCCCCTCCGACACCAAAAACCTGCGCGAGCAGGAAGCCTTCTTCCGAAACGCCGGGCTAGACATCACCCTCCAAACAAGCCCCCTGGAATACACAGCCCGCTACTTCTCTCTTGTCAACGCCTTCACATCACACATAGAAACCCACCGGCCCGACACAACCTGGGTCAGCTGGGTGGATGACGATACCTTCTTCCTCTCCCTCCCCTCCCTAGCCACAAATCTATCCACCCTCAACACTTCAAAACCCATCTACCTTGGCTCCCTCTCCGAAGCAAGTATGCAGGTCGATGCATGGGGCCACATCGGCTTCGGCGGCGCGGGGATCTTCGTTTCCGTCCCCCTACTCGAACAACTGCATGAGGTGTATGAGAGGTGCCAGGTATGGGGTTCCCAGCCCGGTGACCAGAAGCTGGCGCAGTGCATTGAGACATTCAGTGATGCAAATTTGACGACGTGGGATTCGCTCTATCAGGTGGATATACGGGGCGTTGTGGACGGGCTCTTCGAGTCCGGGAGGAGAATCGACAGCCTGCACCATTGGGAGAGTTGGTACAAAAAGGATGTTGTTAAGATGAGCACTGTTGCCGTTGTCGCAGGGGGGCGGTCTATATTGCGCCGATGGCGGTTCGACGAGGGTATCATCCTCGACGAGGAAACAAGGACAAGATCGAAAACCTTCTGGGTCTTGACGAATGGCTACTCGCTTGTGAAATACACTCTAACGGACCCGAAGCTATCCGCCACCGATGCGGTGGATTTCGATAAGATCGAGAAGACGTGGGATGAGGAGCAGGGGTTTGAGAGGAGGCTTGGGCCGCTGAGGCCGAAGGAGCAGGCAGGCGTGAGGAAGGAGAGGTGGTTGTTGGAGGATGCGATTGTTATTGGGGGCGATGTGTATCAGAGTTATGTGAGAGACGGGGAAGAGGGAAATGCTAGAGACGGGCATAGCGTTATTGAGTTAGTGTGGTTGGGGTCAAAGATTTGAGACAGGGTTTGGTGGTTAGTGGTGGATTTAAGTTAACTGAATTTGATTTGATGGAACGGCCCACTTTTTTTCCCTTTTAAAGATTTGACCTAAAAAATTAATTATAATTAATAAACTAACTAGTTAGTTAACTAGTTACACTAAGAATGACTGACAGAATAATTTTCAAAGTCGAAATACAAGATTAATAAGTAAAAATAAAAGATAAACTACTCAGCTGTCAGCAGAGTATGAGATCATGCTGGTCTGAAGATGAGTTGAAAATGTCACAGCATCAACACTCCATAGCTAGTTACAGAGCTAATATAAAAGACAAAAAAAAAGAAAAAAAAGAAAAGAAACGGGAGAGGAATGAATCCATGAAATTGGCTGCTCGCATGGTGGTTGGCAAATTGGCTTCCGGGAAAGTAGCACAAATCCCATCCTCCTCAGCCATCAAGATGGCGGAGGTTGAGAAGGGATGCAATTTTATCTGGTGGTTCCAGTGCGGACACTCACGGCTGAGTAGTTGGGGGGACCTGTGGGAGTTACCCAACGGACATTGAACCAGATATGTCAAGTCTAAATGATTGCTGCTACATTTTGAGATTATTTTTTGAAGAATTGTCATATCTACAAATTAACTAACAATATCAGTTGGAAGGAAGGGTTGTGATGATGGGTCGAACAACTTTCACCTAAGAAGTCCATTTGTAACATAGTAAACTGGTTAATCCGCCACTGAAAACCGCGGGCAATGAACTATTGCTGCATATAAATTGAAAAACAATTCAATCAAAATGAAAGCTGCAAAGATATATGAGATTTCTAAAAACTACTTTATATGAACTGTTTGCTGGCATCAAATAGCACTTAGAAATATGTAAATAATCATAAATTGACAAAAGTTAAAGAAAGATTCTTCTCAAGCAATTACTAAATTCCAGATTAGTGACATTTTTAATCTGACTGTAATTTCTATAACATGACACATCTTCTACTTTAAACATATACTTTTGATTCTATTATCACTCTCAAAATCAACTGAGCATCTAGATTTGTTAAATACTATTTTCAACTATATACATATTATAATTATTATATATTCTATTATCAGATAAAATTAAAAGAATCTAAAGATTATAAAACAGCATTTTATAAAATTTATAAGATGATATTTAAACTTTGATAAGACTAACTTTATAATAAACTCTATACAAAGTAGCTATGTACTTAATAAATAACTAAATACAGACTTGAAAGAATTTAAATTATATTTTAAACACTATTCAGTAAGTATAACATAGCTATTTATTCTTGATGATTATAATGATGAAAGCTCAATATCTTCAGAATTTCAAACATCTCAAATCACTCACCAGCTTGATCATAAGATTCATCACTTGTAGAGAAGTCTTAATAAAAAGAGACAGCTGTCTTGTAGCTTAAAGTCTCATCTTCAGTATCTAGAGAAAACTGCATAGATGACAATGAATACAAATCTTCTTCTTCATTCTACAAGCAGAGAATGAGTGAAAGATGAAGAAAAAGACATGAAGACATGCTAATCTAGGTCAGAATACTATTCTATCTATACAGGAAGATCATGGCCGTGCTCAGCAGCTTGATATACAGGTGGAAGCTTAGATATCTCACCAGTGAGCTCCACCATGCTTGTAGTGACTGTGTGACCTCTGAACATACTATGTGCAGTTGCCCTAACAAATAGCTATATACTCAACTATTAGATAATCTTAATTTATTAATATTTTCAATATTCAAGTGTGTTGGTTGTTGAATACATTGAATATTTGATGATTTTCAGAGAGAATCCACCACTCAATGTTAGTTACCACAGTGATGCATAATTAAAGCTAGACAAGTATAGTTAGGGCTCAGTGGGTGACTGCGGGTGGCCTTGAGTGGCTTTGAGTGGCTGTGTGGGTCATTAGGCTTGGGCCTAGGGGCGCTAGGCCTCTCCTGGGGAATGAATGGTATGGGCAGGAATCATTGAGCTGCTCAACCATAAGCTCATCCCCAACCCCTCACACAACCATCCCAAGGCACCCCCCCCCCCCCCCCCCTTCTCCCAACCAGAGAAAAGGCCGGGAGAACAAGAGGGAAAACATAAAATATGTCCACTCTTGATCCCGCCTTGAAATCTTGGGCTCTTCCCCGCCTCTCTGCCCTCCTCCTCCTCGATGATGACTCCCTCACTCAGCTGCTGGAATACACATGCTCACTTGACCATGATCAGGGCGCGGAGCATCTGCGGAATATCCTAGGCGACTCAGCAAAGGCGCTGGAGTTTATTGTTGGGTTTGGGGAGAGGTGGAGGAAGAAGAAGAAGAAGGAGGAGAAGATGAAGAGTGGTGCTGGTGCTGGAGAAGGAGAAAATGGCGGTGGTGCTGGGAAAATGAGAAAACCACCGCCATCAGCTGCCGGCCCGCTGATATCAGAGTTTATGCCTAATGTGCGCTCGAAGCCTGCAAAGGCCTCATCTGCCGCAAAAAGGCAACAGCAGCAATATCTAGCAACTTCATCCCCTTCACGAAACCGCAGTCGTAAGTCTCCTTCTGGCTCCGGTTCCGCTACCCCCACAAGCACAGACAACATCGCCGATCTATCTGCCGCCATCGCCCAACTGGAACTCACCACAAATCCTACCCTATCCTCATCCTCCAACTCCACCCATTCGAAACCTCGAAAATGCAACTGTCTCGCCACGCTACACCCTCTCTTTACCCCAGCTCCAAACTGCCTAAACTGCGGCAAGATCATCTGCTCCCTGGAGGGGCTTCAGCCTTGCTCCTTCTGCCAGCAACCGCTGCTAACGCCCGAACAGGTGCAGGGAATGATTCACGAGTTGAGAGCGGAGAGGGGCAGTGAGAAGATGCGCGCGCATAATCGGGGCTATCAGAGGCATGGAGGAAGGAATGAGGAACTGCTGTTGCCATCATCTGCAGATGGAAATGGAAATGCAGGGGGAGTCGTATCAGGTTTAGACGCAGCCAAAGCCCACCGCGACAAACTGCTACAATTCCAAGCGCAAAACGCACGCCGGACGAAGGTTGTGGATGAGGTTGCGGAGTTTGAGACGCCGGATGTTCACGGGCAGAGTACGTTGTGGATGACGCCGGGACAGAGGGCATTGGCGTTGAAGAGGCAGCAGAAGGTGTTGAGGGAGATGGAGGAGAAGGGGAAGGAGGAGTGGGAGAGACAGGGTAGGAGGATTGTGGTTTCGTTGAGTCTAGAGGGGAAGGGGAAGGGGAGGGGGAGGGGGTTTATTAGGAGAGTGGAGAGGTGGGAGGAGGCGGAGAAAGATGTGGAGGGACAAGGGGGTGGAGATGTAGAGGGGGATGCGGACGAGGAGGTGGAGGTAGGTGGAGCTGGAGAGGAGATGAAGGGTGCTTTTGGGAATAATCCGCTGCTTGTTGATGGGGGGTTGGTGAGGCCTATTTGGAAGCCGAAGGGGAAGGGGACGGCTGACAGGAATGGAGATGGGAATGCGGATGAGGGCGGGGTAGGGAGAAGGGGAAGGGAGCAGAGGCAGATGTGGAGAAGGGTGCAGGACGATGAGGGGGATAATGAGAGGTGGATTCTGGATGGGAACATGTATGGGTATGGGAATGGGAGCAGGGAGGGGTCTATGGAGGTTGAAGGGGACGGAACGGATTGTGGTTGATTTTATTTAAGTATTCTATATTTTTTTTCCTTTTTCTTTCATTTCTTTCTTCTTCTGTGGAATTACGACGGATAGATGGATGTGGAGTATGTCCTCTTCTCTACTTTGGATTTAAAAAAACGCATATTTTGATACGGATGGAATGAGATTTGTAAACTGGTTCCAGCATGCCATTCGCGATCATTATTCCTTGTATAAACACACATAAAACATCAATTAGACTTGGGATTTTGGGAATTTGGAATATTAAAACATTTGGAGGCTAATTTTTTATAATTGGAAACATAGAAACGAAAATGCACATTGGTTTAAACCGGAAATGTGCTTGTCGGCTATTTTGCCTATCCCGACTTTTGTCCTTTGCGGTTCCTTGCAACATTCCACTACCCCTCATTTGCCATCCTTTCAAAGTCCAATTCCCCAGATTATTTGCCCTCCAATTTTACTTTACTTCTTATATTGAGTGATATATCGCTAGCATTGATATCCAGATAGTGTCCGTTCCTCTTGCTATCTCAGATCTGGGCAGTTTATCCTAGAGATTATACACCCGTCAACATCGTCCAAGTGCTGTCCATCAAACTTGGCCCGGACGTGAGGAGAAGAAAATCGGGAAGATAGAAGAACAAGAAGGGCAAACCGGAAAGAGAAGAAAAGAAAGGAAAAGATCTCCTTTATGAACTATATTTTCTTGGATTCTATCAACATTCCATCTTCAGAATTTCTTTTGTTCTCTCCATCCTACTTCATCATTTTTGTTAGGTAGAGACTTGGAGTTGTTGCGCCGAAAAGACCCTTCAACCACAGTGAGATCAAGATACTACGCCTCAGTCCATACAACCAACGAGAGATTCATAACTTTAGATACTTATTCTACACGTTAAAGTAATTTTGCATTTACATTCGCAGCCATGTCCTCGTCCTCTTCCTCCTCCCCGGTCCTCGATGAAGCCCGCCGCATCGCTGCCCAGTTCGAGTATCCGGCGGAAGAGCTCAACCGCGGCGTCAGGGAGTTCATCCGGGAGATGCACGAGGGGCTGGAGGAGGAGGGTGCTACACTGCGTCAGATTCCGACATATGTAACTGCCGTGCCAGAGGGTACGGAGAAGGTAGGGTTTCTTCCTCCATTCTCTTTCGTCTAACCTTAGCTACACATGGGCTAACAGCTTTTTAAATCTAACTGCGTATAGGGCGTCTACCTAGCCGTAGACCTAGGTGGAACCAACTTTCGCGTCTGCTCCGTAAATCTCCACGGAGACTCGACCTTCTCCATCTGCCAATCCAAAGTCCCCATCCCAAGCGCTCTCATGACCACAAAGAATAGCGCAGACCTCTTCTCCTTCCTCGCCCTCCAAATCGAAAACTTCCTCGCAACTCACCAATCCGAACACTTCGATTTACACATCAAGAAACGACAAACCGGTGAAATTACAGCCCCTTACACAGACGACCATATCTTCAATCTGGGCTTCACATTCAGCTTCCCCGTCGACCAGCACGGGATTAACAGCGGCACTCTCATACGCTGGACGAAGGGGTTCGATATAAAAGAAGCTGTCGGGAAGGATGTCTGCAAGTTGCTGCAGGACGCCATAGATGAGCGCAAGCTGCCCGTCCGCGTCGCGGCACTGGTCAACGATACCGTCGGCACGCTCATGGCGCGCTCGTATAGCTCCCCTGGCCCATCGAAGGCACTCATAGGCGCCATCTTCGGCACGGGCACAAATGGCGCCTACGTCGAGAAGCTGGCGCGGGTAACCAAGTTGGATAAGAAGAATGGTAACAGCGCTGATGCTAAATATGACAGGGCGACGGGTGAGATGGTTATTAATGTTGAGTGGGGTAGCTTTGATAACCATCTCAGCGTCCTGCCAACTACGATCTTCGATAGCGACCTAGACAACGACAGCGTCAACCCAGGTATTCAGATGTTCGAAAAGCGCATTTCGGGCATGTTCCTAGGCGAGATCCTGCGGCGCGCTCTGCTGTCCATGGTCAAGGATCCGGCTGTGATGCTCTTCAACAACGATTCCGCTGCTGGGCAAAACGGATTAGTGACAATCATCCCGGCCGATTCAGACCTTCACAAGCAATGGGGCATAGACACCAGCTTCCTCAGCACAGTGGAGGCGGACGATTCACCAGCCTTCGATACCACACGCAGCCAAGTGAGGCAGGAATTCGGCATCGAAAACGCAAGTACAGACGACTGTCACGCGGTGAAGATTCTGGTGCACGCCATTGGCAAGCGGGCGGCGCGGTTAAGTGCCCTTGCGCTTGGGGCGGTGATTATCTCCACAGACCGACTGAGGGGTGACGGGGTGGTGGATATTGGGGTTGATGGGAGTGTTGTTGAGCATTACCCAGGGTTTGAGGGGTATTTGAGAGAGGCATTTAGAGAGATTGAGGGGATTGGGGAGAATGGGGAGGCTAGAATTACGATTGGTGTTGCGAAGGATGGGAGTGGCGTTGGGGCGGCGCTTGGGGCGCTTGTGGCGGGGAGGACGGGTAGCAGGGAATAGTATTTTTCCCCTTTGATACATTTATGTTTATTTAAGACAGTTAGTTAGTTAAGAGATATCTATCTATTACTAACTGTCGTAGTAGGTATTCTCCCGTATATATACAATGCCTGGTTTGAAAGCCACAGCTGCCTGCACACACTATCATCAGTCTCTCTTTACGTTAAATACTTTCCCTACAATAATTTGACAATTAGCGTAACGAAACTGTAACACTATAGTTAACTACCATTTCTTTGTCGAAGAGAAATCGTGCGTAGATACGACGGTATCTTCCGACCCACAAGAGGTACCTTGCCCGGTATCCCCACTCACTTTCTCTACTATAGCTATACCTATATATAGATATCTACCGCCTAGATCCTCCAACAATGGCTCCCCACCAAACCCAAACTCCAATAGACTTTTCGCGTTTCCCTCTCCTCGGAAATTGGAAGGACTCTGCGTTCCCTTCTCTCGCAATCGGCCTAGGCCCGCCCAGACTATTCCCCGGGTCGATCCGTTAAGTTGCTCTTGACCCAGGGTTGGGTTGGCAGCTTTGGGGTTCCCATGTCTACATGCTGAGCAGTAATGGCAGCACACAAAGAGGCAAAAATGAGAGACAAAATACAGTTCTACGATGAGTATTCCAGTCCTTGATGACATGTTCTTCTTCTCACTGCAGGTGGCTGGAAGTGCAATGTCGCAGTTATGAGGTTGATCTCGGTTTATCTCTCATCCCTCTGTGCCTTGAATTGGTTTATTATTTTTATCTTTTCTTTTTAGTATTTTATTATTTTACTTCTTTTATCTATATATTTTTTAATTCTTTTTAAGAAAAAATACTGTTCTCTGGGAATTATCTACGTTTCGGAACCCTGGTCCAATCTATCCATCCCTCTGCTATCCTTCCTGGCCCGAACATACGTACAGCAACTGCACATCTACAACCAAACCCCACCTTCAGCAGCAGAGATTAACGACTCCCGCACCCGTCGCGATTATCCAGGGAACGAGCCAGTCACCATTGTCCAAGTGAAGGCTTAGGAGACCGCATGCGTGTGCACCTGGCAAGCTAGACGATACAGTACTTGTTTCACAGATGGAAGAAATGTCCCATCAATCCCATGCGACACGGTGCGATATACTGCATCGTCTTCATTGTCAATATCAATATCAATATCAATATCAGACTCAACGTCAGCGCCAGCACCGATACCATCCACATCACCAGTATTCCACAAGAAACCAGTGCGAGGGTCACAACAGGAGCAGCGACAAGTAGACGACAAGAGGAGGGTCTCCGTGTGTGTCTGACTCGTGGAGAGGAAGATGAAGATAGAAATCCCTGCAAGCCCGCCACCGCCAGGTGTGCATTCAAACTTCAGAAACCCTGTTTCGATTGGTGATCGGTCTATCGTGGTGAATGCGGTGTTTTTGCCGTTGGTGATTATTACGGTGCTGGTACGGTTGTTGACGAGGGGAATATTTTTGCGATATATCGGGATTGACGATTGTGAGTTTCGTGTTTTTTTTCCCTTCTCCATAGAAGTTTGGAATTGGGATGGGACTGGGAGAAGAGCGGGGAGGAGGAGAGGGAGTTGTAAAGAGGAAGAGGATTGATTGAGATTCGTTGTTCTATGCTGACTGTATTTTGTCGAATGGGATAGATGTTATGGTATTTGCACTGGTATGTGATTCACCATTGAGCGTGGAGCTTTGTTACCACTACCGCTTCAATCGTTGGCGCCTCTGGCTACGCGAATGATGTGGAAAGCGATAGCCGCACGTCTGTATCCTACGTCAGACAAGATATTTCGCATTGCTAATCTGAGAAACTCATGTCAAAAACCACAGCTCTTCGTTGTTGCTTTCGCCATCACGATGATACTTGGTATGTTATATCTCTTCCATCTTCCAGTCAAATCTCTATGTGGCGTATTGATATTATTCGATATCGGCTCTGCACATATAAGAACTCGGATCTAATTGTTTAATGCAAAAACAGCTGTCAACTACGGTTTAGGAAGACACATTTGGGACATCCCGCTATCTCGCTACATAATGTATCTTCGGGTATTCTCAACCCCTGAACCCCTAAAAACCCGCCGCTCCCTCTCACCCAACTCCGGATATCCAACTACAACCCAACAACTAACATAAATAACAACCCAGATCACCTTCATCGAAAGCATCCTCTACATCTGCGGCACAGCCCTGATGAAAATTTCCATAATCCTCTTCTACCTCCGCATCTTCCCGCCCACACGTGTCCACATCGTCTGTAAAACACTTATATTCTTCATTCTCGGCTATAGCTTCGCCAGTTGTGTTGTGGTGATATTCATGTGCCGGCCGGTTGAGAAGTTCTGGGATGTGCAGATCATGTACGGCAGTTGTATAGATCGGGCGGCTTCTTATTATGTGAATGCGGCAATGTCTATTACGACGGATATGATGACGTTGGCTATTCCTATGTGAGTGAATGATGCCTCTTTTTTTTTATGTATTCATATCATTGATGAGACATTATTGCTGGTATCACACTGGAAGACAAAGAAGAAAAGGGATATGGCTAACAAGATGTGGAAAAAACTTCTTCTTTTGCAGACCCCTTATTCATAGACTTACCATCTCCCTCCGGCAGAAAATAATAATCGCCTGTATTCTTGGGATGGGCTCATTGTGAGTTGCCACCACCCTTTCAACTGAGAGAGCTACCCCCTCCAACTAAACTAACTTTGCACCCACAGCGTCTTCATAGTCAGCGTCGTCCGCGTCTTCTCTGTTCACCGCCTCTTCACACAACCTGACTCGACCTGTAAGTTTTCAATCACCCGTCCCCTTTTGACGCCTTACTCCACTTCCTTGTTAAAAAAATCTTCATGCTAAACAAATCAAAAATCCCGTTATCCAGGGAACGCAAACAGAGCCACAATCTTGTCCATTCTTGAAATCTATGTCGGCATCCTCCTCGGTTCAGCACCAACCCTCCGCCCTCTTTTCCTTCACTTCATCCATGGTCGACAGGACTCCCCGCGCCGCAGATTATCCAGTTCCTCAGCAGCAAGCTCACAGAGATGGCTGCGGTGTTGGACGAATGTGCAGCGGCGGTTATCGTGTTCTACATCTAGTGGGAGTGGTGGAGCTGGAGCTGGGACGAGCAGGTGCGGGTCGCTGTTCAAGAATTCGGTTCATGTACAAGCGAATCGCTTGGATGGTATGTTGCCCCCACGGGAAGAGCCGCAGCAGCCGCCGTTGACGGTGGTGCAGGAGAGTTATAGGGATATGAGGAGGGCGAGGGGGACGTTGGGGAGACATCTCCGGAATGGATTGAGTGGGTGTCTTAGGCAGGGGAGGAGGAGAGATGGGGTGGATGTTTCTCTTGAGCGGTATGTGGAGGATGATGGTGGTAGCGGGGACGGGGAAGCCGATGGGCTTGCGGATGTTGAAGCTGGTGCTGGGGCGGGGAGGGAGAGAACGGCAGAAGACAGACATCCATTGGAGCTCTATATGATTGATGAAGAGATGGATGCGATCGATTCTAATGCCTCAGTCACTATTTCTGGAAGTCGGAGTCGGAGTCCGAACATGTGAGAAAGTGGCCGCTCCAACCTTGGCATTGGTAATAATGGTCATGAAGCAGTGGTAAACAGAGCTGTTGCTGACAAGAATACATTGATTGATGATGATTGATGATGATACCACGCTTTGGTTTGGTTTGTGATATGTCTGTATTGTTGGCTTGTTTCATGTATGTAAATCCTCAATATGTATATAGTGTTCAGTGGTTAGTTAATGGTGTGGAAAAGAGGTTCAGATTTTGGTTAACCGTCTCCAATAATTATAAATATGTTGGGTACTGGTATTCTGATGAATGGAATTCAGGTAATAAGTCATGTAAATGATATTTAGCCATTCCTTTCATAATCTCTGTGATCTCTTACAAATGTCGTAAAAACACATTTCTATACATTGACCATTTCCCCCCTTTTCTTTTTTCACGAGAAAACAATATCACATGACCATAACAAATAGTCACGTGATCTTTATTAAACCGGACTCGCTCAACAACTCCGAACTACAAAACCTTGGAATATCTTGATTCCCGCCCGCAGTTGATTTTAAACAAATATAAAAGAGCCTGTTTTGTTGTGCGGCAAACCAATTGGCGAAAATCTCCTCTCCCGTCCGCTGCTCCGGGCTAAGAGAAGACTAACGGGAACCCTGTTACCGTTGAACTCTACAAATCCCCCAGACAAAGTGAACATCCTCATACCTGTTGCCAAATCAAAGAGCCGTTCGCAATTCCGGGAACTTTTAAGCAAAAGCTATACCTAAGACCACAGTTGAAGACATAAACTACAAGATGGGAGCCGGAGGATCAAAACCTGCCGCGGCGGGAACTGCGTCTAGACATATCTTTTCAAGGTGAGTCGGGATTGGGAGGGTTCGGCATGGTTGATTTCTAGTTGTTTCGGTTTGTGGTACTGTAAGCAACGGATTGCCGTGGGGATCTGAAATTTTGAATATGACAGTGTTCTCGGAGAGGGCGGTCAATCTGTGTGGAGGGGATTGGATTGAACCGGAGTGAATTGCCTCTGCGCCATTCGACTGTCAAAATATCCGGAAGGCGGATTTGGTACCTCTGCGGGAACGGAGGGACTGCAGTTGTTGGGGATGAATGAAGAGATTTCCCGTTATTGACATATGATTTGTCGACGGGTCTTGCAGATTGAATTCCATTTCTTCAGTTCTATTGGTGTCATATGAATTCCAGTTCAATTCGTGCTTTCTGTTCATATTTGCTAGTAGAGATGAGGGGACGGAAAATGCTCACTAATCCTCTGGAACTGGTTAAATTTGCAGTGACACCCCCGTGCAATTTTCACAAGCATTCGTTGAATCCCTGCAGGGGAGTCCAGAGGTATGTCTATTCTCTATCTCTATGTCTACTTCACCAAATCTTTCAAAGGTCACCCGAACTCCAAAACCAGGCAAAATATATCCAAGGCTAACAAACTCCATAGACCGACTCAACCCGTGCCCAAACGCTAGAACTACACATCCAAAACCGCATTGCCGCAGAACTCGAGCGCATCCGTGCCCGCGAATCTCAAACCCTCGCCGACCTCGAAAAGCGCCTGGCAGAAGACTCCTCATCCCCCTCTGCATCTCCCGCCTCCACGAATACAGACGGCACACCTGTGCAGGAACTGAGCAGCGCGCGGGTGCGGCAGGAGATCTCGTCATTGAGCGCCAAGTTGGCGGAGAGGCGCAAGGTGCGCGAACTGGATGAGGGGGTTGAGAAGGCGCGGGGAGATCTTGTGAGATGTTTGAAGGGCAATAAGAGGAGGCCGTTGGATTGCTGGAGGGAGGTTGAAGGGTTTAAGAGGGAGGTTGGGCGGTTGGAGAAGAAGTGGGTGGAGAGTGTTGTTGGGTAGATTGGTGGTTGATTTGGGGTGGGGTGGATGGGTGTGGCTTTTTCGATGTGATGGTGTGGTTGCACGATTCTGCTGCATCTATGAGAGATTATTTGCACATTTGTTTCTATCATTGTATATGTATTGGTTCTTTTCCCATGTGCTATTTATGGGGGATAGAAAATGGAGATTTTGAATGTGTTCACATCATGTCCTGTTAGATCCTATCTCTCGTATTAAAAGATGATAATGCCTTCTAACTGCGATTTTGCAGCAACTGGCCATTTAAGTATCAATTTGCATTCGCATCATATCAATAGCGACAAAACACACAAAGTACCTCCTTTACCTTCCAAGTCTTATTATCCCATCTATCCTTAACCCTATTGTCACACAACCTCCCAAACCCCCAACCTCCCCACCCTCTCCCCAGCAGACCGGACAATACACACCCTTGCCAATTTCTCCCTGGACATCCCTACCTTTATCCCCTTGGCACCTTTTCCAGATACCTGGGACCGCGACTCGGACAAAGAATCCAGCTCGTCAAGACCAGAAGCGTCGCAACCAACCACCCTGTCCACCAACACTGAAGCAACACCAGTCCCCTTCCCAGCTGTCAAATTATAATTCCCCGTCGTGACGAAGCCAATTAAATCCTCCTCGCCCGGCATGGGCAAGTGAGCTGCTGGCTGCGGGTCAGCGGATAGATCTGTCGGGAGTAGTTTGCTGCTGGCTTGGAATATTTGGGCTTGTTTCTGCTTCTTGCTCTGGTGCTGGGCGCTGGGTGTGCGCGCTGATGGGCTGAGGAGGGATAGCCATTCATTGCGTAGGGAAAGATTGGTAGCTGGGAGGCGATAGATGCGTGCGCGGGGGGTTGGGGTGCCGCGGTTGATGAGGGTGAGTTTTACTGTGGCGAGGGCAGGGTGGGTGAGGTGGAATTGGAAGGGGGTAGGGAGGCTAGCGGAGGGCTTTGGCCTTGACTTTGCGTTGAGGATTGTAAAGGCGGCGGAGGGGGGGAGGTGGTGGATGTGTAGCGGTGGCGGGGCGGGACGGGTAAATGTATACGTGGTCGCGCTTGTTGATGCAGATTTATTCTGCTTTTCTCTTTTTCGTTTTTTATTTTCTCTCTCTAATGGTTTCTGCTGTTTCTTCATTTTAATTTCTGTTTGATCGCCTTCAACAACCGCGGTGGCGGGTTCCCCGGTCTTTGCAAGGCCTTCATCCTTTTCAAGGGGCTCAGATTGGACAAGTCGTTCCCAATCACAAGCCCAACCTAGTCCAATTTCACCCTTCTTCGGCCCACCGAGATCAATGCTGTCATATGCAATGCGCTTCTGCTTCGGTTTGCGCTCCCATTCTTTCCTTCGAATGTCCCTCTCGCGCATTTCCCATGCCCATCCGGCATTTGTTCCTGGGTAGTCCCCAGGAAACCAAGGCTCAGAACACTCAAATGAAAGTTGCTGCTTTTCCAGCAGGCCGCCAAAGCGAGGGTTCCCTCCTGAGGACATGGGGTAGTACATGATATAATACCACACGGGTACAACACATTTCCATGGAAGCATAACTGTGTAAGTACCCTGGGAATTTCCACCGCTAGATAAAGATTTTGGGCGTGATGCCAGGATGAGAACTGGTATGCGAGGGTCTGTAGGTTTTGGGGAAGGATATTCACCTGGGCTGGCTAGGGATTTTCGGCGGTTGATGGCCTTTTGGCTAGGCAGGAGGCGAGAGGCTGTTAACCGTGCGGGGCGAGAGAATAGGTCCGGTCTAAGTTGTGTCGAATCAGGCTCCCATGAAGATAAGAGAACTGCAAGGTCACTTGAACTGGCTTCAGAAGTCGGGAGTTTGATGGTTCGAGGAGGATGCTGTAGACGAGGATCGGAAATATTGAAAGCTAGCAGAGCATTTTGTGGCAGTGATGCTGCATTTGTGAGGCCTGCGAGTGAAATCCATGTTGATTCAGGGGAACCTTTTGGCCACTCTTTCCCATCAGACTTGGGTATAGGCTTTAGAGCACCAAGCAGAGCCTCAGTCGCACCGGGTCCCGTAATCTCAATACTCCCAATATCAAACCTAAGATCCTCAACCATGACTTGCGGATGTTGTACCTTTGCCGCTTTCAACACCTCCTCCCACACCTGCAAGAACGCCGACGGATGGACCCTTAGAAACATCCTCCGTTTAGGCTTCTTTGCTTTGGCCCCTGCATCAGCCATCTCGACATCCTCATCCGTTTTCTCCGAGCACCAAATGAGCGTAACAGGCGCAATTGGCCTTTTTCCATCTCCCATTCCCTCCTCTCCTCCGGTCTCAAACAGCCATACCTCCAACCCCCTCGTCCCGGCCTTCCACTTTTTCCCCTTATTCCCCCACGCCTCTTCCCCAACAACACCCAGCGCCGTAAACAGCCGTTCCAGACATACCTCCAAACCCTCCAATCCGATGGTCGAAATATAGCTCATATCCCACGCAACGGCACCTCTCGCCCCACTAGCCCTATGAGTAGGCCTATAACTCTTCTCCGTCGGACTCAAAGGCACCACAAACCGCCACAATGGATCCTTGGGGCTCGTCATGTGCGCCCTCTTCGCATGGAACACGTGTGTGGGCAACCAGGTCTTGCACCGCTGGCGCTTCTTGAATTTTGACTGCGGCTTTTCAGGATGAGAAAGCCTGTTTTTCTTAATCTTCGGCACGCGAGGCGCAATATTGACATCGTGTGTTGGTCTTTTTTGGGATCCTTTCCCTTCATCCTCGGGAAGGGGAACTAGATCCAGCGTCGAAGCATTTTTCGCAGCTCGTCTAGCCTTGGAGCGGGAGTTCAGGTTCTGTAAGCGCCTGGCAGTCTCTAACCGCAAACGTAGGAGCTGTATAGGTTTGCGTCGTCGAGCCGTGACCTTTGGTGTATTATCCTCAATCATCTACCACGTAAAATTTAGCACATAATAACCTCAAAGAGACACAAACCGCTTATAAACTTAAAAAAAAAAAAGACTCTGCGAAAATGGAAGAGAAAACACCCTCACCTCCCTCCGCGCCCTCGCCCTCAACCGACTAGGAACCCTCTTCACATTGTGACTGGCTGTCCTCCTCCGAAGACTCCTGGGAACTTTCTGAAACGCCCTGGATGCCAGTGCGGACTTCGAATTACGGATTCCGGCCTCCAGCGCACGAACCTCGAATTCCCGCGCCGCTACGAAGGCGGATACATCGAGCTCACCGGTCTTGGAGAGTGCGGCGTCGGAGCTCTGGACGGCGAGCTTGCGGGCATCGTAGGTTCGGGCGCGTTTGCGGTCTGCGGAGTCTGAGGAGGGGATGGTGCGCTTTTTTGCTTGAATAGAAGCGGTGGTACGGGCGGGTTTCGGGCCCATTGAGGAGGATGCGCGAGGGGGGGGGGGGGGGGGAAGAGTGTTAATGTTACTCTGAGGGGCGTTTTGCGGGTTGTTCTGGTGTTCAATCTGAGATGGGCTGGTAAAGTTTTCTTTGGTTGCGCCTCTGGTGGCCGGCGGCTGGGTCTGTTGCATAAATCAATAAAATCAAAGCTAATTCCAAATACAAGACGGGCGTGTGTTTACGAATTTTTAGAAGGGTTCTTTTAAGGGATCTTTGTTTTTCAACATTTTTCTAAAAAGTAATTATCGAGATGAGTGCAGCAAATGCAGTGTTAGTTATAGGGTAGAATGATATTGATATGTCTACACAGATATACAGGATTCATTTACTTCAGATAGATATGGAGCCCCAAATGGAATCACAAAGCTCTGATCTCAAGTGGCCAGGACAAGTAGTTAATTTGAATTCTATTATTAGACATTTTTGATTTTTGCGGCCTTGTTTCAGTTTTGTTTGATTTTTCGATTTTTTTCTCTCATGTTAAATGAGCATGTCGGATATAACCATCCTGTCGAGCGGTGTCCAGGACTGAGGTAACTCAAGTTTCCAACACTTCTCTCCATCTGTCGAAAAGCGAAAGAGTCCCATATTCCAATTTCTATAGCTTGGACAGGACAGTTTCGGCACTCGAAACCTACAGTTGTGATTATCCGTGTTAGCCTTCTCTTCAAAAAGAAGCCGATGAAACATTGGAATCGGTTGCCAACGAGGGGGAAATAAAATAAAAATAAATAAAAACAAAAAAAAAAAAGAAAAGGTAACGTCTTACCGTAACTCCCTTCGCAGGCTCTTTCTCAGCATAGGTCACCGTACCGTGGTCAATGATGAGAGCATATCGAGCAGTTCGCTCACCCAGAGTCCAGCCAATGCTCTTGGAGAACGCAGTGTCCGTATCGCTCAGGAAGAGCTATTATTGACCATTGGAATCAGCATTGGTTCACTCCGTCCATCTGGCTTCAGGGTATTTCAAAAGGGAAGAAAACTCTGCAGCATCAAAGAAGGCAAGCATACAATGTCGTCTCCTTTGATATTATTGGCCTTCCCCCACGCGCTCATGACGAACGGGTCGTTATATGCAATGACAGCGACGATGTCGACACCGTTGGCCTTGAAGTCATTGAGGAGCTTGATGTATCCGGGAAGATGGCTGATGGAACAGCTGGGCGTGAATGCGCCTATACATCAGGGAACGGAAAATTGATGATTTAGCACCAGACCGTCGAAAATCAACCAACCAACCAACCAAAATTGATATTTAGGATTTCAAACTGGCATATCTACCTGGAACAGAGAACAGGACCACTTTCTTATTTGCCCATTCCTTGGAAGCATCATATGGCTGCGGTAGGCCACAGGCGGTGATCTCTCCATTCTCTTTGGTCCACGGGACGTATCTGTTGTTGATATTCATTAGATGTTAAGCACGGAGCCTCTCAGCCGTGAAGAAATAATGAGCAGTGGCTTGAGGTTCTCACGAGAATTTGACATCGGGAGGGAAACTGTCCCCAGCCTTGATAGGAGCCATTGCGAATCAGTTGATTAGAGTGAATTGTTCTGAATAACGTCAGAGTCTCAAATCATGTCCACACCTCAGGAGCGTCTTCCCAAGAGACTGCAGGACTGTCTTACCCAAGCGCGGCTGTATTCTTGACAGATTGCTTGCTGCCCAGGTAACTCTTAGTGAGTTACTGTACCCGGCAGACTCCGGAAATTCTTGTGAGCGGTAGGAGATGAAAAAAAAAAAAAAAAAAAAAAACAAAGGGGGGTGAATGAAACAAATATGACTAACAAACAAATGCTTTCCCACGGAGATATTTATTGAACTAGTTAATAGGCAGTGCGAACCGTGGTTAATCATCAATTTACCAATTTGAGCGGTGATATCAACGACTTCGAGGCCGAATCTCCAGCAAGTAGTTAAATTACCCAAATAGCTTGGTCGACTGGCTTACTTATGGATCAAGTAAACTAACTAGTCAACTGCTTTGTTTACTAACATAAACCAGCTCAACACTTCCACCCAACCTGCTTCGCCGCTTTACTATTTACTCCTCTCTATTATTTAATCCTCGCCATTCATTGAACCAGCCGTCACAGCTTCGATATGCTTCTAGCAATAGCCAGGTTCCAGAGAAATCACATCGGCGTCTGCCCGTAACTGGCCATCATAGTCCTAGATTGCGATGCCTGCTCGCGAGAGCGCACGTCTATGACGCAGGCAATGAGGGATCCAGCAGCAGAGCTTCGAGAATCCATGGGCACCCAATATGGTCCCACGACAGGAGCAATCAATCCCCACATCATGGTGGATTCCGAGCAAGCTTCTGTTTCTCTGCTCGGAATCAGTAGTTGTGTTTTTGGAGAACACCTGCATTCCTTTCATCTAGCGCATCGGAACCTTGGAGGGGTGAGGGGTACTATTTGGGAAATTGTAGAATTGCTCAAGTGGATGGATGTATAAATAAGCAGCACCTTATGAGCGACTACAGAAGCCCCCATGCCTAACAAAAAAAGTATACTGCAGAGACAGAGAGAATTTACCGCATGTAGCAGAAGCCGCTTCAATTGCCGAGCGTCATAGGGGCCTGCAATCACTTTACTTGTACATAGATTCCTCACTCGAGGCAGCCCCTGGGGTTCAGAAGTCCAACTCTGCCCCGTGGAATTAAATGCCTAGAGATGGCACCTCTTTGATGGCTAGAAACCCGCAATTTAAGAGCAGAAAGCATGGGCTACAGGTGTCTTTTTAAGACAACCAGAATTGCCGCTGCTATTATTTCTATATATATATATATATATATATATATATATAATCCTATTGCTACTGAGGCTAATTTTTTTTTTAACTCAATTTTCATTTCTGGTGTCTCACGCAGAGATACAGCCGCTGCAACTGTTCAATACGATATCTACCTAATCATGTCATTTAATTCATGTGAGTCTCAAAGGACTTTTTTAATCCAGGCGTATTTTGATGGTATTAAATACTTCCTTCTCGTAGGATCTCAGGGCGGCGGAATTCATTCGATATGACTGGTGGATGATGTGGGCTTAACTTGTCGAGTGCCCATAACGGAACGGTAATCGCAGACTTGCCATGTGAACAGGGTAGCAGGAGGGACGACTCTTTCACAACTTTTTGCTTTCTTCCTTCGGGGTCCCACATGGTCCATTGTATCTGGCGAGTTTAAGGGGAAATCTTGTCACAGTCTTCTAAGACGGAGGGGAATTATCCATTCTGAGGCTAACTACTCTCGAGGGTATTTAACTAGTTAACTAGTTAATGTTAATAGCGGGGCACTCTGAATAATTGGAAACCGTATATGTGAGCAAAGGCCCTGCCAGCTGGAATTCGGCAACGGGGAAAAAGAAAGAAAGAAAAGAAGAAGAAGAAGAAGAAGAAGAAGAAGAAGAAGAAGAAGAAGAAGAAGAAGAAAAGAAAAAGAAAAAGAAGAAAAATCAGGTGTACAAGTATAGAAAACAAGGAGAGCTGTAACGATTCAGGCGGGGAAAAAGGAATCCAGCGAAGCCCACTGCGCAGTTAAGGCCCAAGTAGTTTTAACTTATCTGCCTACACCTACACCGTTGCTGTGTTAGTTAAAGCCGGTAACTAGACTGGCTCTCATGGCTAGCCACTGCCGAACCAACCGGAAGCAACCGTGGTGCCAAACCACCCCCTGCAATCTCCGATCGCCAAACAACATGGGGCAGACAACGGTTGATCCCTCTTTGCCCTTTTCTCGAGGCAAGGTTCTAAGAAGACGGAGGAAAGACGGTGCTTGCACTTTTCTTTATGTTTGCGTTGTGCTGAGAGGCTATGGCGAATCCGGCGAAACAAACCGTTGTTGTTGTTGTTGTTGTGGTCATTGGGTCCGTCGGTTCGGTTCCCAGGTGTATCCTCCGCAGTTGAATAACTAACAAGCTGCTTAATGGATAGTCAACTATACTAACTCCCTTACTCTCTGTGCAAATAGAGCCGGAGTGATAGGGGTCTCCTCAGCGCTGACACTTCTCGAGACCCTCCCGCGCCAAAAATATCACATCATATTGGTTTCCGAATTCTTTTCTACAGATGGGTTGAATCCGTCGTACCCCAGTACTCTTGCCGGGGCTCACTATCGCCCTATCCCAGCCACGACACCACGGCTGGAATACGAAGCCAAGCTAGGAAGGACTACCTACAACCGCTTCAAGCAGCTGGCTGCGTACCACCCAGAGTTTGGGGTGAAGTTTATGGAGGGCATCGATTACGTGTCTGGCGAAGCAGTCCCGTCCTACAAGGCCCTGTTGCCCGACTATACCAGTGTCGATGGATTCCGCATCCTGAAGCCCAGTGAAATGCCGGAAGGTGTAGAATTTGGAGCTAGGTACGAGAGTTATTCGCTCGATCCTGAAGTATACATGGTGCATCTCTTGCGGCGGTTTAAACTTGCGGGAGGCGAGGTGAGACGGATGCACCTGAACGCGGTTGAAGAGGCATTTGAAATAAATGGCAGCAGAGGGGTGCGGATGGTGGTTAACTGCACTGGAGTTGGGATCAACGATCCGAAATCTTTCATAATCAAGGGTGTGTCTTGACTCGGGCGACCAAACACGACCTTGGATTTACCCCGCCCTAATTCTATATCAGCTAGGAGAACCCGGGTTGATCCTGAGCAACCAGCTTCCGAGGGAGACTGTGAACTAACCTACGTGGAATTCCAGGACAGGCATGCCTCGTCTCAAATCCCTGCGATAAGACCATAACGCGACAGCTTGCCGACGGTAGATGGTCATTCCTCGTTCCTCGTCCCCTAAACGGGGGCACTGTCGTTGGAGGCACGAAACAGCCCAATGATTGGAACCCCGAACCGTCCCCCGCTGTGCGTGAGCAACTGCTTGAAGATGCAGCAAACCTTTACCCAGCTATTTTGAACAAAGAGGGCAAGTTCGATGTAATCCGGGACATCTTAGGCCGACGGCCCGCGAGGGAGGGAGACATGAGATTAGAGCTGGAGACACTTCCCAATGATCGCAACGTTATTCATGCTTATGGTGTAGCGGGGAGGGGGTTTGAGTTGAGCTGGGGTATTGCGGGGGAGGTTCTGAAAATGGCACATGAAGTTTTGGATATGGAGCAGTGTCGTAGCAAGCTATGATAAGCACCGACCACTTTTTTTTCCGGGCTTTTCAAAGCATTACGGATTCACCTGGATAAGCCTTTTATGGTTTTCTTATGGCTGGCTGTTTATTAGGCATTTAATGACTCCAGGAGAGGAGGGGGTTCACGTTTTGAATGCATTTTCCGGGTTTAACCTGATATCTACCTTCGTCGATGACCCTACATTCTACTACAATGTTTGTGAAGCCATTACCTTTACGAACCGCGTTAGCTACATCGTCGTGAAATAGAAGACATACCTAAGCTGTCAACGGCTCTCCCCCCCCCCCATCACCATCATTTCAAATATCGCTGACGCAAATGATCTTCTAGTCCACCAACTGAAAAAGATCAGTTTCCTCCACAGTATCCCAAAGATTCTAGAGCCGTGTTTCCCGGGCAGCCGAACTCACCTCTGCGATGAAGACGCAGAGTCATTACACCGAAGTCAGTGTGAGCTCCAACGCGCCCTTGTGATGCCTGGAGCATCAGGGGTGTGTGTCGACAGATACTGCTGTGCTCGAACATGGGCATCAACACGCAACTGGGCCAGCCATTTCTCGTATTCCCAAAAAGGGCTTCCAGCTAGAACGAACAAGAAACGAACTCGCCATCCGAATCAGACGCAAATTCGCCAAAATAACCACCCGGTACAATCCAACGAATAACGCCATCAGCCCGGAAAATGATAGTCGACAATGCATGCACGCCATTGAAATAGTCCTTCACCCAAAGACATCTACTTAAGGGGAAGAGTATCTCAGTGGGAAATATGTATTGGCTCGCAGTTTTATTTTGACAAGAAGCGTCTTTCTCTTCATCGGAACCGTTTGGATTCGGGTGCTTTCTTTCTGCCTTTTTGTTTACTTTCCTTTCTCAATAGCGGCTGCTATCAATCTATACAGCCATGCGTTTTGCTACCCCCCCTCTCTCTCTAGCGCTGCTTCTCTGTAGCGCGGTGTCCGCCATTCCATCTGAAGGAATCTTTGAGCGTGCTGTGGGCTCCAGCTGCAATACTATGGACGCAAAGGTAAATGCATGGCAAAGAGCAAGTGCGATAAGGTTTGCTACGATGGAGTCTGTGGGAAAAACTCTGGCAATATCCGAGTACATATTTATTAACTCGATATTAGTCAATGCTAACATAGTTCTGTGTTAGTGCTGCGTTCCCGTCAAGTGTAAAGTTGGCGGTAAATCGGGACTGTGCAAAACCACCAAAAGATCGGGATGCAATTGTGGGAAATTTCAGAGGAGCAGTGGCATGCGTACATTGTCACTACATTCTTACAATTCTTTCCAAAGGGCCCCTGCATTTGCCCTCCCTGTGCAACAACAGAAAGTTGGCCATCAGGCTTACTCGATGGTATAGGTTTGCCCTGCTGGAGGAGACGTTCAATGCTGCATCAACAAGAAAGGCCGCCAAACCACCCGAGGATGATGCTCCCAAGTCTAAACTTCCCAAGGTTAAGACTCCAGGAAAGAAAACCGTTGGCCAATAGATCCTTGCAGTCGCTACGAAAGACAAAGGGACAAAGTACGTTTGGTGCGGAGGCTCATGCAAGGGTCCTACCGGTGGAGGTTATGATTGCTCTGCCAGAGCCCACTCGCTATGCCGTATGCAAAGTTACCAAACGGAACCTTTTCTAAGGTTGTTTCCGGGTGACATATTCCATGTACTGTGCATCAGGCAGCCAGCTGGGCAAATTCAAGCACGCAAAAAAACCCTTCGAAACCTACTGACTCCTCAACTCGGAAAATTCCCCTTTCCAACCGTCGTGCGGGCGATGCTGTCTTTTTCGTCGGAAGCACCTGCAGCTGCACCCATAATAGGGCGAATATTTACCATGTGGGCTTGATGATGTACGTATCTGTATTGCTTTCTATATCTCTCAGGAGCCCAGAATGTCTCTTCTCATCTAACCAATCTCGTTACCTAGTAACTCCAGGGATCGCATGCTGCATGCGTCAAACCCGAGAACTGTAGTCAAGGAAAAAGGGTAGCATCCTCCGCTCAAGGCAGCAAGGCTTGCCCCTATGTGATTTGATTCGGGTGATCGCATGCATTGCAGTGGCATTTGATCTTGGGGGTCCTGGTGGTATCAAGACTCACCAATGCATTTCCTTCCCTGACTTTACTTATTCTGTTTCTCCTATTCAAATTTTCAAACCTTTCCCTTCCTCACGTTGGGTGATTCCTTGATGAGCGTATTTTGCTTCACATTTATGTACAGTATATACTTTGTATGTCTGTGGGCACGCCGTTGCTCAATATGACCTCATCTTTTCTTTTACAGGCGCCGAATAAAAGGAATAGACCTGGACTTTCATATCTTGAAAGTGGAAGCGCGGGAAAAACGCGGGATACAATCTAAATCTAAATCACAGCCTTCTTTAGCCCCCGATGAAATAAATTGTCCCGGCTTCTCTGAGCCTTCTTAGTCTTCAACATGGCCAAGCCCTTGAAACTGAAGCTCCAGCTCGTCCTAAAAGCGGTGCGGAGGTTCGGGGGAATCCACGTCTCAAAGTATATATTGAAAATTAACCTGAAGCATAGTTACGACAGCATGCTCACATCAGCGAATTCTTTCACAGTATTCTTTTCGTGAAATATCTCCGTCGACATCTTTTATAATGGGTTCGAACCTAAAATCCCACTAATAATGGAACCAAAGGCAGAACTTGGAATCGATATTTCATTATTACCCCGCAATGTTAGTTGAATCCCACTCTCCACCTTTGAGCTCATACTTAACTAGTTAACTGGCGGTTAATCCAAGATTTGCATTACATATTCCGAACTGACTGAAATGAAAGTTATGGAGTTAGGTTCTTTATTGTTTCTCTGATAGTTATCATCAAAATATCACCTGTTCCCCATTTATCAGCCTGTTTCTCAAACAAGATCAACCTCATAACTAAAGCTGAGGGCCGAGATTTTTCATTAAAATACCAGCTAATTAGCTCCCCTAGCACAAGCTATGATCCAACGCTAACCAGTTGGTTGGTTATCTACATAGTTGGTCAAGAGAAAAGATTCAGCATCATCCAATAGGGCACTGCGTAATTCTACACTTCGACAAAAGTGGGACACTCTGCGTTTATACCGAGACTTCCAGGTCGCAACATACGGAGTTGTTCCGGTGCCTGCCAGCAGCGACTGGGGGCATGCAACCCATGGGAAATGCATAACCGGGCCCCGGTAAGGAGACCCCTGAGTTACCAGGATAACTACGCAACCACGTGAAGGAGAGAGAAACCCTTCCTATAACTAACTACCCTTGGCGTACGGGGAAGGCTGCGGGGGGTTGGGGCCGGTCCCATTGCGAAAGTACCATGTACAGTGGATTTTATAGCTGCAGTAGTCACGACGTACTGCCACATAACAACAAACAAGGTCTGTGCTACAAGTCTATTAAAGAGCCGGGATGCCGTCTCCTAGCAAGTTCTTTGTTTGTCATTTGCAGCTTGGGTGGCAGCAAGTCCTCGCGAATGGAAACGAGCATTATGCTTCAGTCCACACTTCTCCTCGCCTTTGCGGGTATAGCTCTGGCCTCTTTTGCCGGGAATCTAAACTACCGCAGCCCATCTCACAACCATCCGGGCCTTGGTATCTCAATCCCCAAGGTGCTCAAGCGTTCAGACCCAGTGGCAAACTATTCGCCGGATGACCTACAGTTCACGCACGGTGTTGCCTCTGGAGATCCGTACCCTAACTCTGTCATCCTGTGGACACGATGCGCTCCTTCAACTGACAATGCCAAAGACCCCGTCTCATCCAAAGATGGTGGGGAATTGTATGACTCCGTACCCATTTATGGAGATAACGAGGGCAATGCTCCAGTGTCGAAGGCTCCCGTATGCCTGGAGTATAAGGTTGCTGAAGACAAAGGATTCAAGACAGTCGCGGATTGCGGCACAGTCTACACAAGTTCAGATGTCGATTATACCGTCAAGGTAAGAAATGGGCCCACTGGTAATTTCTGTTAGTATTGCTAACACATTTTAATCAGGTAGAAGCATCGCACCTAAAACCTTTCACCACTTATTACTACAAGTTCAACGTTTGCAGTTCAGACAAATCTAGCCAAGTGGGAAGAGCGAAGACGTCCCCAACCGAACACGATGAGATCTCCGAGATATCCCTTGCGGTCTATTCTTGCACTAACTTCGGTAAATCCATTGAAGCTTGATGAATTCGGGTACCGTCTAATCCTTTGAACAGCCAAGGGGTACTTCAATGCCTATGGAAATCCCGCTCGCAAGGACTCCGTTGATTATGTTGTTCATCTTGGGTATGAGAGCTCCTCCTCCCCCTCCTCCTTATTTTCTTTTGTTTTTAGAATAAAAAACTAATGGATTATAGCGACTACATTTACGAGTTTGGAGAGTAGGTTACTTGACACAATAACGATCCAGTCCTTTACCGTGCTAATTGGTAATAATATTGTTTTCCAGAGATGGCTCTAAGATTGGCCGCACGCAGTACCCGAAAACGGTGGTGTATACGATCTACCAATACCGGAAACGCCACGCAACTCAGAAGACTGACTTGGATTTACAACTGAGCCATCGAGAGTTTACATGGATTCCTGTATGGGATGATCACGGTTCGTCTCTGTGTTTCCCATTCTGGGCCATGAGCTCCCATGTAGTAATATCTTAATCAGAGGTTTCGGATAACACGTACCGTGATGGATCGTCGCTCCTTCAAAATACGGAATCCTCATTCATTATTGATGGAGGAGTATCTGTTGACCAGCGTAAAATGAATGCTGTCCGTGCTTATTTTGAGTGGATGCCAATCAGGTATGAAAGCATCCAAGTTAAAGTCAACACTTGTTTTCGGTCTAACTTCCTCTTGTATTTAGGCAAGTTGAGATGGACGACAATCTCAGAATTTGGAGAAACTTCAAGATCGGCAACCTCCTTGACCTTATCATGTTAGACACACGACACTATGACCGATCCATTACCGATTTATACTTGAACACTCAGTATATAAAGAAAATCGCAGATGATGTTGGCCGATCAATGATGGGTCCCCGGCAGGAACATTGGTTCTATGAGAAGCTAAAGGCGTCTGCCAAAAGACAAGCTACTTGGAGAATCATTGGTAGCCAAACTGGTACATAGCAATTCTATCCAAAGGAAAGGAGGGGGTAATAATAACAATCCAACAATTCTAACTTTATCTCGCGTGTAGTCTTCTCTCGCATTGATGAAACAGATTCAATCGGCAAAGGAACAAACAGCGATTCCTGGGACGGCTACAGGGGCAACCTCAACCGCACCCTGAGCACCTTGTACAAAAATAAAATCGGAAACAACATCGTCATCGCCGGCGACAGCCATGCCAACTGGGTGTCCGATCTCACCTGGCTAGACGAATATCCATACGATCCAAATACAGGAGCTGGAGCTATTGGCGCCGAATTTGCCGGCACAGCAGTTACCAGCAGCGGGCCTACAACCAACGTCGCCATGGGTAACCTAATGTCGAAGACATTGATTAACAAGAATAAAGAACTGCAGTGGTCGGAGCTGTACTATAGGGGATACTTCGAGCTGAATATCTCGCACAATCGCACCAATGCTAAATTCTTCGCTATCCCTGATATTAAGAAGAGAAGTCCCGTTGAGATCTCCCTGGCTAACTTTACGGTCATTGCTGGTGAGAACAGACTTGCGCGGACGAATGGCATTCCGTCGACTAATGGACAGGGCGTGCACAATGGTGTTTTGAAGAATGGGAAGCTAGAGAAGCAGACTATTCAGTATAATACTGAGACAAGAGAGTGGTCGAAGACTTGAGAAGTGAAAGACAAGAGCTTGAGAACTTGTGGACAAGAAAGCTGAAACCTGTGAATGCAGCCATGGCTCATAACTATTTTATGTATATATCTGTATAAGTCCCTTGAAACTTGATCATAATCAACATCGACATACCGTTTCAAAGTACTCTATCTCGTCTTTTCCTTTTGATGGATGGATGGACGAGGCGTTGAATGGCAGCCTGTTTACTAAGCAGCACCAATAACTTTAACTAACTAGTTAGTTATCTTGGCGCGGCGAAGTTCAATATTTCAACCTCAATCCATTGTTTTGCTCTTTAAACAACTTCACCAACAACCAACTACTGTGGTTTGCCGGAACAGTCAACCTGCATCGTGAAACTATTTCTTTCTTTCTTATTGAATTGACCATGCAGGTACATTGTTTCTATGTATATAACTTCCCTCACTTTACAATTCTCATAGATCGTGGTATCACCATGAGAACAGAGGGTTGTTAATCCCTATGCCTACCTCTTTCTTGGAGGTAACTATGGTAGAGACTCCTAAGGCAACAAGTTCATAAAGGCATGAACAAAACAAGTTTCATTACATGCAGAGAGAGGGAAATCTCTCATCTATCTTATATTCATGATTCCTCTTCAACGCTTTTCGGCGATCCCCTCCGTGGTTTTCTTTTTATACCCTATGGAGCCGGACTTGAGGGACAACCGCCATCCGCATACGATGCGCAATTGTTATTCTTACAGACGTATGGAATTGCTGCGATATTAGGTTGCCTACGGATATGTTTCCCCTTTAGCATAACTGCTTTTTCTCTCTGTTTCTCCCCAGAAAATAGCATTATATGTTGCATTCAGTCAGGCTGGCTTTCATGGAATCAAATATCATCCGTCCCTTTGACCAAGAGGTTCCGAATCCTGTTGTTGTCCTAGGACCGCCAGGCCTCTTTAGCTCTGTTCTCTCGGATGTTCTCCAATATTGCTACTTTACATACCCGTTTAATCTCGTAAACTTCAACGCGCTCTGTTCTGCCTCCGGGGGGCAGGGAAAATAGACTGTCCTTCGTATACAATGACGGGGACCCGCTGCCGAATTAGACTCACCCCTCGATTTTACTGCACTTCTGCTTCTTGCCCCGAACTACGTAAACTCGTGCTTGTGGCTCGGGCCGGTAGGGCTGCCGGTGTGTATGTGTGTGCAGTGCTTTTGTCAGCCTCTGCGTGTATGCCTCGATGTTCAGGCTAACACAGTCTGCTCATCGTCGCCCGGAAACCAAAACAACAACATCCCAACTCCCAGAACACTTCGCTCCGCAAGACTCCCTTCGTCTTCACACACTGTACATCCATTTTCTTCCATTTGCTTCCTCCTTCAATCTCCTTCCGTTTTGACCCATTCCTTCTTCACGAGAGAGACCAGTTGTGATCCCGTGCTATCCCCGGGCACTGGTAGTGGGGAGAGGGTATACTCTCACTCCTCCTGCTCACCCAGGAGAGCTTTGCTGGGGATTGATATGCCAACATCAACACTTCCGCTGATGCTAGTGTTCCTATCCCTCCCGCGTCCAATTTAGAGGCATGCTCTTCTACCTCTGTTGGCTGTTAACGAGCATTTGACCACCGGGTTTCCCTTTGCTCCTGTGTCCTTATACCCGCTGCTGTCGTAAATCCTCTCCAGCAACCTGCAAGCTGCAAAGCTAAACCAAGTTGATAAGAACACGTATCAAGCGCGAGAAGCCAACTTCCTCTTTTCCTCGATTAGGAATATCGCTTCACAATCTTCAGAAACCGTGGTGAAGCTTTCCTTTCAAAGCCGTCACCGCTGCCTTGCCCCATCACATCCCCTTCATTCAATTATGAGTTACGAAGGCACTACGTCCCGTTCCCGATCTGATCGGCGTCCTCTACGCGACGCGAGCAACAGACTCAACCTCCTGAGAGGATCAAGGGAGCAATCATACGCCCCAGATAGTTCTCCACTAATATACAAACGCCAAATGTCCATCCGGTCCTCAGAGATTCCAGCAACCGATGGCACTTTAACGTCGGCAGCAGCAGCAGCAGAACCAACAACCCCTTCTCCCTCTATTGTTGCTGCTGAAAACAAACGCATATCCTTGGTGGTGGATTCGCAACCAAACTCGAACCGCAACTCCGCAATATCAACCACCTCCACAGCGTCCGGGAGATCTAAGAGGAAAACACACATTGGGCCATGGCAGCTGGGTAGGACCCTGGGAAAGGGCGCTACGGGTCGTGTTCGTCTGGCGAAGCACGCGCTCACGGGCCAGACGGCGGCAATTAAGATTGTATCGAAAAAGTCAGCTGCAATGGCACAGAGCCAGAGTATTGCTGCTATGGATAAAAATATTGAGCTAACGACCTGCGTCCCTGGCGGGAGGGTGATACCATGCGGCATTGAACGAGAAGTAGTGATAATGAAATTGATTGAGCACCCTAATATCATCAACTTGTATGATGTGTGGGAGAACCGTGGAGAACTGTACGGTTTCTTCTGCTTCCTTTCAACGTTGCTGTCCTTCTCTTACTTTATTTTATTTTATATATTTATTAATTTTTTTTGTTTTTCAGTTCTGATTATGTGACTTGTGTTTTTTTGGTTATTTGCTAATCTGGAGAAATTCCCCTTTCATCTCTAGGTATCTTGTTCTCGAATATGTCGAAGGAGGAGAATTATTTGACTATGTCTCCGAAAGGGGCCCTCTCCCTGAAATTGAAGCTGTCCGCCTCTTCAGACAAATTATCGCAGCCCTTTCATATTGCCACCGGTTTAATATCTGCCATCGTGACCTCAAGCCTGAAAACATCCTTCTTGACACGAAATGCAATATCAAGCTAGCAGACTTTGGGATGGCTGCCCTCCAGCCTGCAGGCCATTGGTTAAATACCTCCTGTGGAAGTCCACATTATGCTTCGCCGGAAATTATATATGGTCACAGATATCTAGGGGACAAGGCGGACATCTGGAGCTGTGGGATTATTCTATTCGCCATGCTGACGGGCTATCTGCCCTTTGACGGTGGTGACTTGCCTAACACTCTCCGTCTGGTCAAAAAGGGGGACTATATTTTCCCACCCTGGCTTAGCTCAGAAGCAATGAATTTAATACAGCGTATATTGCAAAAGCAGCCGGGAGATAGGATAACAATTAATGAGATGTGGTCCCACCCGCTCCTGAAGAAATATGAGCGACATCATTTTTCGATGTCCTCGGAAGGCGTTTCCTTGGGTCCCCCTCCCCCTTTATCGGATAAGGACTGCGGGAAGAAAATCATACGCCTCCAAGACATCGACATGGAGCTCCTGAGAAGCCTTCAAACTCTTTGGCATGGGTCTAAGGCTGAGGAACTCATCCAGAGGTTGTTAAGTGATGAGTAAGTCCCCTTTCCTCCAAACTGCTGACTCTTTTAAAACTAAATATACGTTGCCGTAGAGTCAACCACGAAAAAATGTTTTATCATGCCCTGGAGAAATTCAGGGATGAGCAGCTCGAAAACTATGAAGGGCCGGTTGGATATTCTGCCAGCGACTATCAACATATTTCCAAGTCTATTCTCAGATCCCAACTGCGGGTTCCAAGCAGCCGCCACCCAAGCCAGTCGTGGCGACGGTCTCAATTGTCCATTGCAACCGGTCGATCTGCCAACAGAGAGAACCCTGAGCAAAAATCTGCTCGAACAATCGCCAGCTATGATCCCTATAGATCGTCCAGAACCCCCATCTCCAATCCTCAAGTGGAGTTTGCGAATGTGACCATCCACCGTCAATCTCCTGGTTCTCCAAATAGCAAAGGGGATGATAGATCCTCTGAGGCATCAAATTCTCCCAGCAATTTCACATTGGAAAGGCATATCCCTAAGGACCAACGGTCGTTTATTCAGAGCTCCTCTATGGGCCACAATCGGTGGAATGGGAGGGGTTCAATTTCCTCGTTTCAATCTCGAAGCTCTATTGCAAGTTCGCGCCGACGTGCTGATGGTTTCGCAGCTCCTCGTTCAAACAGCTATAGGCGAAACGTTTGTTTTAAGCACAGCCGTAACCACCGTTCCACTGGGAGACGTACTCCAAGACAGAGCGGCGTTGCACAAACACATTCTCAGTATGCACTATCCCCTGGAATCGGGGAGAAAAGTGGCAAGATTGCTTGTGATCGATTCAGCAGCCCAACGCTCCCCACGCCTCCACCTCCTATTCGCATGCGCAAAAATCCCAACAGGGAAACTGACATTGAGACTGCAGACCACCGTGTTTCTTGTCAATATTGGCGAGATGAAGCGAGAAAAATATCCATTGAACTCGGGAAAATCTGTGAGGAAGCATTCAACCGGACTTCAGTATCCTCCAGCGACCACTCTGTTGACACTGCAAAACCTCCTGAATCTCCTCCAACTTCGGTTTCAACACCAGCAGATACAGGGGAACCTGAGGATAAGTACAAAACGCGTCTGTTGCCAGTGCCACCAGCGGAATCGTCCAACTCGTATACACTTAGAGAGCTAGCAGACACTCGACGCCGTCTTATTGAGCACTCCATCCAGGCAACGTCAGAAGATCTTCCACAGTATCTTTCCGAGGTTATTGCTCATCTGGATCGTTTGATTGGAAACGAAGTTGCTCCTCGTACCGACCAGAGTGCTGCTGCACATGCTCCCGAACCGCTGCTCCAAGTCCAAGAGCCATTTCTTCCATCCATCGCTGAGGATGATATATTCCAGGACTCCACATCGATTGTTGAGGAAATTCAAAACGAGCAGAAGCCTCTGCAACCCAAGCGATCAACGAACTGGAACTGGGAACCTGAGCGAACCATTCGCATCGTACCACAGGAACCTGTTGTTCCTGAAATGAGTACGATAAAGCCATTGACAATCCGCAAAAAATTGGGCCCTGTATCAACGCACAAAATGAACTACTCTATAAACTCAATCGGACGTCACCGGTCTGTTTCAAGTTCTGCTGACGAAGACCTCACTGTTAGCGCTCCGCTCAGCAGACACAATAGCAATGTACGCTATTATAGTGGGCTAGAACCTATAGAAGAGCACCCGACAACCCCGAATCGTAATAATGACACACGCAACTCGGGGGAGTCAAGGAAGTGGTCATGGTTCAAGTACAAGTCACAGAGCCATGAGCAAATTCCACCACCACTCCCGTCCAAGGATACTCCACCGCGCCCAGTGCCAGCTGATAGCAGTACACACCATGAGCTTGGTAAGAGGAAGAGTGCACCTGGATTACTAGGCATGAAAGAACCACGAAAGGTTTTCGAAGGGAGCAAATTGGAGAAAAAAGAAGTAAAGGGCCTGTCCTGGCTCTTTGGGAGGAAGAAGCCACAGAAACAGAAACCGTTGCATGAAATTGGCAAAGGAAGTAAGACCACCTACAGTTCTACTATCCCTCCCCCATTCACTCTTTGTCTAACGAACCTACCAATCAAATGATACAGTCAACGATTTCAATGATGCAACCTCGAGTGTTCTTAGCGTCCCTGCCACAATAGCTCTGAGTGAAGTGCCTGGATCTCCTCTCCTCACCGGGAATCATAACGCCAATCAACGCAATGATGTTTCTAAACGAGAAACACGGAGTTCACGGGGCCAGAACTGGTTCGCACGGTTTTTCCACATCAAGCCTGCCACAAAAACCCTTGCGTTCCAGGTATCCAAACTCCGGGCGAGAAAGGCAGTGGTAAAGATTTTGCACGAGTGGAAGAAATACGGCATGGAATATGTATATTTCGACAAGGAGAGTAATATTGTCCGTGGGAGGGTTGCGGACATTAATTGTAAGCAGTCGAGAAAGGCAAAAGAAACATCGAAAAATTATAGTCCACCTACTAATAAACCTAACAAATATTTAGTTCTCCGTCTAAGACCCGTCGAATTCTCCGGAGAATTTTTCACCGTCCTCGAGCAAGGTAAACATGCGAATCTTAGCTTGCTCCATCTGAAACAGGAACGTGGAGCCGCATCATCGTTCCATAAAGTTGTCGATACGTTGCAGATAGTGCTGAAGAAGCGCGGTCTCTTGATCGAGGATGCATCCAAGGCTAAGAAGATTGCGAAGGTGCTGGATGTCGTTTCATAGTTTGTCTTGGGAGATATATTTGTGCTTGCTCTTTCCCCCCTTTTTTACGTTTGCGTTTTTTTGTTTGCGTCTCGTGTTAGAGTGTTCCATCCCATTAAACTCCTTTTAATTTATCAGAACTCCGCTGCTGATATATTCTCTATGTCACATCAGGTGTCTGTGTCTGTTTTTACGTTTCTGTTTAACATTTACCTCGTTTTCATTTCAATTTTCGACTGTGGTATTAATCTGGCGTGTAACTTAAAGGTGTGGTTCCTTATTCTGGTTGATGATATGTTACCTTCGCGCTGCATACGTTGTTTGCTTGATTTGCTTTCCATCTCTGTTTCTTTTCCCTATCAAATGTTATTTTCCTTCTCATTGATCTTAGGCGGTTTCACCTTTGGCTGCTGATTGGCTCTGCTGATTTGCTTCTTCTTTTTTTTTTTCGCCCCCCCCTTTTTATTGTATGTGTTTGGATTGCACTTGTACAGTATAGCACCTACCCCGTCATAATCCGGAAAGCACCCATTGGGCCGGAATTTCAGGAACCAGCTGCTTGTGATATGTCGATTTGCCAAAGCTACTACTTCTTTCTCAGGCTGGTGGTAACTCACCTGGGCAAGGAGAAAGTCAAGTTATAATTAATTACCTCTGCGCTTCACTTCTCTCTTTCGCCCCCCCCCCCCCCCCCACCCCACCCCCCTCCTCTTTTTCCCTCGTTCCCCTTTCACGCTTTAAATCATTAGTCTTCCTTATAATTCCTATCCCCCACTTATCTTGATGTTTAATTTTGTATCAGATAGCCATAGCTACCCTGGTTTTACCCTCCTGACAAAATTAGCTCCGTTTTATGCTTTTCTTTAAAAAAATATAATACTAATAATAATTGTTCTTGCTCTTCGAGTGCCAATCACAATCACATTCCAACTAAGCAATATATATATATATATATATATATATATACATAATACGAGTCGAAAACGAACCTCTCTATTTCTGTTTAGCAACAAGAAGTGGAAAAGGAACCCATGACGTTAACCGATCATGCGTTTATCGCGCTAATAAGATTAAGGTTCCGTGGCGGTACCAAACTTCTGGTCATTCCGGGCATCGAGATCT